GGTGCGCCCGCGTTTCTCCTCCTCGCATGGGCCCTGGACGACAGTCGAGCGAGGCCGTCGACCGGCGTCAGTTCGGACTCGACTCGGCGCAGCCGCCAGACCACAAGGCACCCAACTGATGCGCTCGTGTGCGTGCAGAACGACATGGCGTCCTCTTCGACCGACCCCATCGACGCGCCCGTCACCCCTGCGGCCGGCCTCGCCTCCATCCTCAAGCAGCAGTCGGCCTACTACGACCCGTCGTCCCCGGCCGACGCCCAGTTTTTCCCCTCGGAGCCGACCCACCACGCCGACTCGTTGCCGCCCGCGACCGAGCAAGACCCCGAGGCGGCCGGCGCCGAGGACGACTACGACGACCCGGACGGCGCCCTGTGGAGCGGGCCCGCCGCCCGCTCGGTCCCGACGAGCGTCAGCGGCTTCCGCATGCGCGCGCGCAGCCGCAGCGAGATCGACCGCCGCTCGCGCGAGCTCGCCCGGGAGCGTGACCGGGTCGCGGGCGAGCAGAGCGAGGCGGACGACGACGACGCCCGCAGCCGCAAGAGCCGCCGGCGCAGTCGGCGCCGGCGCAGCGGCTCGTCGAGGCGCACGGCGCGCTCTCGGCGAGCGAGCGACGCGTCCGGGACGACGACCGACGCCGAGGGCTTGACGACCGACGCCGAGTCGGTCAGGTCCCGCTCCCGCACTCGCCGCAGCCGCCGCGACGCGTCGTCCGGCAGCGACTCGGAGGAGGACGGCGAGCGCGTCGGCTTCTTCGAGGGCATCTCGAACGCTCTGCGCGGCCGCCGCTCGTCGACCGTGCTCAACAGCCGGCCCGACGCGTCCCCGGCGCGGTCTCGCGCCGGCTCGATCCGCTCGCGCAAGAGCACCCGCAGCCGTGCGCGCACGTCCGGCTACGAGTCGGACGCCGTGTCGGCCCGCAGTGCCGAGAGCGGCGACGACGACGACCCGTACGGACCGTACGGCTCGGACGACGACTCGCTCTCGACGAGCTCGAGCACCCAGTCGTCGTCGTCCTCCCTCGACGAGTCGGGCGGTCCTCGTCGTCGTCGCAACAACGCCGGCGTGCTCGGCCTCCCCGGCGCGGGCGCGAGCGACTTCTTCGGCGAGTCGCGCATCGAGTTTGGCTCGGACAGCGGCGACGATGACGAGATGAGCGAGTTGAGCGAGGACGAGGACGAGGCCAAGAAGGGCGGCAAGGCGTCGCACCAGCTCGTCTACATCCCGGACGAGGACCTGCCGTTGCGGTTCGTCGGCCTGCACCTCAGCCGGGCACGTGTCGTCGCGTGGTGGGTCGGCTGCGTCCTGAGCGGCGGCATCCTGTGGCTCCTCGGCCGGTGGCTTCCGAACCTGTGGCGCAACAGCACCGGCCGCATGGGCGAGTTTGACAGGGCGAGCTACGTCGTCGTCGAGGTGCGCCCTCGTCCCTTTTCCTCCCCCTCTCCCCTCGTCCCTTTTCCTCCCCCTCTCCCCTCGTCCTGCCGGACCCGAAACTGACTCTCGCCTCCCCTCTTCCCTTGCAGACGCATCACCATGCCTCGCAGATCCTCCCGCTCCAAACCCTGAGCTTCGAGACGCCCGTCCCCCTGTCGAGCATCTTCCCGCCGTCGGTCACGGTCCCGCCGGCGCATCGGGAGGACGTCACCAACGCGTCGCGCGCCGAGGTCGCCGAGGACGAGGTCGAGGCCGGCTCGGCGGGCGGTACGAGCGGGACGGCGACGCCTGTCGGCAACAACGGCCACAGCCTCGCAGGCGCAGCGCCCAAGAAGAAGCTCAAGGTCGGCGGCGGCCCGACGGTCGACGAGATCAAGTTCCTCGACTACCGCTACTACCGCTTCTTGCTCCACCCGGATGGGCACTTCCGCATGGTCCGGTCCGTCCTCTCTCCCTCGTCGTCTCGCCGCACCTGGGTCTCGGGTTTTGAGACTTACCCTCGTCGTGACCGACCTGCAGCGAGTGGAAAGACCCGCAGTGGTCGTCCCTGTCGGCCCTGCGTCGCGGCCTCACGTCGAGCGGCGAGGTCGCCTTGCGCACCACGCTCTTTGGGCTCAACGCGATCGAGATCGAGGCCAAGACGGTCGGCCAGCTCCTCATGGACGAGGTCCTGCACCCGTTCTACATCTTTCAGCTCTTCTCTATCGCGCTCTGGAGCGTCGACGACTACTACTGTGCGTCCCCGAGCCGTCCTCCTCTCAGTCTCGCGCGCCTCGGATGCTCACCTTCTCCCTCGCCCTCAGACTACGCGTTCGCCATCGCCGTCATCAGCGTCGTGTCCATCATCTCGACCCTGCTCGAGACTCGGGCAGTGCGTCGTCGTCGTCGTCGTCTCGCCTTTGCCCCGGACCGTGCCTGACCGCCCTTCCTGCCCGCAGAACGTCCAGCGCATGCGCGAGATGTCGCGCTTCTCGTGCCCGGTCCGCGTTCTCCGTGACTCGGAATGTGCGTCGCCCGACCTCGTCTGCCTCAGTCAATGTCCCCTGACCCGCCTGATGCGTCCGCAGGGGTGACCGACGACTCGACCTCGCTCGTTCCCGGCGACGTCCTCGACCTGTCCGACGCGGCGCTCAACACGTTCCCGTCCGACCTCCTCCTCCTGTCGGGCGACGCCATTGTCAACGAGTCGATGTTGACGGGCGAGTCCGTCCCGGTCTCCAAGTACCCGATCGAGCCGTCCGGCGTGCACCTCGTCGCCGCGCCGTCGCTCGCCCAGCAGGCCGGCGAGATCCACCCCGACCTTGCTCGTCACGTCGTGTACAACGGCACCAAGATCATCCGCATCCGCAAGACGTCGCCGGGCGTGCTCGGCGGCGCCAAGGCGGGAGGCGAGCTCGAGGCGACGGCCATGGTCCTCCGCACCGGCTTCAACACGACCAAGGGCGCGCTCGTGCGGTCGATGCTGTTCCCCAAGCCGTTCGGGTCCGTCTCGCACTCTCTCTGTCGGCCTGCAAGCCCGAGGGGCACGCACTGACCTTGCCGGCCCTCCTCGCAGGTTCGCCTTCTACCGCGACTCGTTCCGGTTCATCGGCGTCCTCGGCGGCGTCGCCGTGTGCGGCTTCCTCGCAAGCTCGGTCAACTTCATCAAGCTCGGCGTACGCTCTCGTCGTCTCACTCGACCCTCGAGGCCGACGATGACTGACCTGCTCCTCTTTCCCCGTCCAGATCTCGTGGTCCGTCATCATCATTCGCGCGCTCGACCTCATCACGATCGTCGTTCCTCCGGCACTGCCCGCCACGATGGCCATCGGCACGTCGTTCGCCATCTCGCGCCTGCGCAAGAACGGCATCTTCTGCATCTCGCCGACGCGCGTCAACATTGGCGGCAAGGTCAACATCGTCTGCTTCGACAAGACGGGCACGCTCACCGAGGAGGGCCTCGACGTGCTCGGCGTGCGCTCGGTCGTGCGCTCGACCAACGTGTTCACCGAGCTGCACCGCGACCCGGACGACGTCCCCATCTTTGGCGCCGCCGACGCCAAGACGCCGCTCCTGCACGCCCTCGCCACCTGTCACGGCCTCAAGGTCGTCAACGGCGAGGTCATCGGCGACCCGCTCGACCTGCGCATGTTCGAGTTCACGGGCTGGACCCTCGAGGAGGGCAAGGAGGGCGTCGGCCGTCCGTCGTCCTCGGCCGACGACAAGGTCAAGCGCAAGAAGCCGACCGACCCGACCGCGTCCGCCAAGGTGCCCGAGCGCGCGCAGACGCTCGTCCAGACCGTCGTGCGCCCTCCCGGCGGCGAGCGCTTCAAGCTCGAGGACGCGCTCAAGGCCGGCAGCAAGCACGCCCACTTCCTCGAGCTCGGCGTCCTGCGCACGTTCGACTTTGTCTCGAGCCTGCGCCGCATGAGCGTCCTCGTCAAGAAGCTCAAGAGCACGTCCGTCGAGGTCTACGTCAAGGGCGCGCCCGAGGTCATGGTCGACATCTGCGACAAGGCGACTTGTGCGTCCCCTCCCCCTTCCTTCCACACAGGCACGATCTCGTACTGACAGGCCGAGCGCCTCCCGCAGTGCCCGAGGACTACGAGGACATCCTCGCCGACTACACGCGGCACGGGTTCCGCGTCATCGCCCTCGCTGGCAAGAGCATGCCCGGCCTGACCTGGATCAAGGCTCAGCGCCTCAAACGGTGCGTCCCGCCTCTCTCATCGTCTCGGCCATCGCTCTGTACCCTCTGACGAGCGTCCCCTGCGCGCAGCGAGGCGGTCGAGTCGGGCCTGCGCTTCCTCGGCCTCGTCATCTTCGAGAACAAGCTCAAGCCCGGCACGGCGCCGGCCATCGCGACCTTCCGCAGCGCGCACATCCCGACGCGCATGGTCACGGGCGACAACGTGCGCACGGCCATCTCGGTCGGGCGCGAGTGCGGCATGATCCAGCCGCTCGGGCGCATCTACCTGCCGAGCTTCATCAAGGGCGGCGCGACCGTGTCGAGGAGCCAGATCGAGTGGACCGACGTCGAGGACGACTCGCGCACCCTCGACCCATACTCGCTCCAGGTGCGCCCCCTGTTCGCCTCTTCCCTGAGCCTCGAGCGCGAGAACCTGACGGCCTCTCCTTCCCCAGCCGATCGAGCCCGAGCAGGCGAGCGTCTTCAGCGGCTACTCGGACGAGCGCCGCGAGTACCACCTCGCCGTGACGGGAGACGTCTTTAGGTGGATGATGGATTTCGGCGCGCTCGAGACGCTGCAGCGGGTGCGTCCCTGTCTCTCCCCCTCCCCTCATCGTCCTTGACAGCGACGGCGAGCAAGCCTAACCTCTCCCCTTGGTCCCAGATGCTCGTCAAGGGCCTCATCTTTGCGCGCATGTCGCCCGACGAGAAACACGAGCTCGTCGAGCGCCTCCAGTCGCTCGGCTATACCGTCGGCTTCTGCGGCGATGGCGCCAACGACTGCGGGGCGCTCAAGGCGGCCGACGTCGGGCTCTCCTTGTCCGAGGCCGAGGCGAGCGTCGCTGCGCCTTTTACGAGTCGGCAACCCGACATCCGGTGCTTCCTCGAGGTCATCAAGGAGGGCCGGGCGAGCCTCGTCACGAGCTTCTCGTGCTTCAAGTTCATGTGCGTCGACCTCCTCTTTCTCCATCCATCCCCAAACCCGTTCAGGACTGACACCTCGTCGTCGTGCAGGGCCCTGTACTCGCTCATCCAGTTCACGACCGTCTCGCTCCTGTACACGATCGCGAGCACACTCGGCGACTTTCAGGTGCGTCCTCTGCTCGCCGCCGGCCTCTCAGTTCCTGTCGCGTGCGACTGACTCGGACAACGCGCACAGTTCCTGTACATCGACCTCGCCCTCATCCTGCCGATCGCTGTCACGAGTGCGTCGCCTCCTCTGCGCCGTCTTCCGCCGTCCCTCGACTCACCCGCTTTCCCTCGCTCGCAGTGGGCCGCACCGAGCCGTTCCCTCGCATCCACCCGAAGCGCCCGACCGCCAACCTCATGTCGAAGAAGGTCTTGACGTCGCTCATCGGCCAAATCGTCCTCACGTCCGGGTTCCAGGTCTTTGCCTTCCTCTTCATCCGCTCGCGCGACTGGTGAGCACCCTCTCGCCCTTTCTTCTCCCCCAGAGAGCAGACCCTGACTGCTTTGCGCCGCGCCACAGGTACACGCCGCCCGTCGTCGACCCGGACCAGCTCGACATCTCGTCGTACGAGAACACGTCGCTGTTCCTCCTGTCGTCGTTCCAGTACATCCTCGTCGCCGCCGTCTTCTGTGTCGGGCCGCCATACCGCAAGCCGCTGTACACGAACCGGTGGCTGGTCCTGGCCCTCGTCGCCCTGTCGTCGTTCTCGCTCTACACCCTCTTCATGCCGGCGTCGGCGTGGACGTTCCGCCTCCTCGAGTTTGTCGAGCTCCCGCACGAGTTCCACCTCGAGCTGCTGCTCCTCATCATCGGCAACGTCACGCTGTGCTGGGCGTTCGAGGACGCCGGCGCGCAGCGTGTCGCCAAGTGGATCGGCGACGCGCAGCGCAAGTGGCGCCGCATGCGGGGCACGAGGAAGGCGGGCGGCAAGGCGTACAAGGCCATCACGAGGTGCGTCCCTGCTCTACTCTCTCTCTCTCGCTCTTTACCGACCCCTGACGCTGCTCCTCTCGCCGAGCAGGGCGATGGACGACTGAGCGCAAGAGCAAGTAGACGTCGAAGAGGAGCGGCGAGGCGTGGCAGAGTGTCCCTGTATTGCAGCGCAACGTGTATGTCGACCTCGCAGAGAGCTGTGAGAGGCAGGTGAGCGGGCGCGTCTGCGTTGCGCGTGGTTGGTCGGCGATCGACAGCGACGAGGAGGAGGAGAGAGAGTCTGTCCTCTACCTCGTACCGCACCTCGCCCTCGCCATGGTTGCCCGCTCTGCTGCACACAAGCTTGTCAAGCAGGGTGCCCGTGCCCTCGCCACGGTTGCGCCTACCACGAGGCCGTGCGTCCCCCTTCTCCTCCTCCGATCCTCGCTCGTTCGCCGGACTGACTTCTCCCTCCGCCCTCGCCATGCAGCCCAACCGGTGCGCTGTGCACGTCTCTGTGGGCGTGCGCAGGACTCGACTGACCTCTTGCACCCTCTCCATCTTCGCCTCGTTCCCCGATCGCTCCTCCACCGCCTCATCATCGCCTCCGCATCATCGCCTCGACGACCTGTCCTCCCTCTCGGCATGAATGCCCCTCTTTGCGCCGACCGTACTCGCCAGCTGTCGTCATGATGAACATGGGCGGTCCCGCAACGGTGCGCCCCCATCTTTCTCCTCTCGTTCGCCTCACCCCGGCGCTGACCTCTCTCGCGCACCCGCCAGGTTCCCGAGACGGGCGACTTTCTCTCGCGCCTGTTCCACGATGGCGGTAAGCTCTCCCGGTGCCGCTCGCCCGAGCTGGACAGCGAGCAGGACTGACCATGTGTTCGCCTCCCCCTCCCTCCCCCTTCGCGCAGACTTGATCCCGCTCCCCTTCCAGTCGACCCTCGCCCCCCTCATCGCTCGCCGGCGGACGCCCAAGATCGAGGCCCAGTACGCGGCCATCGGTGGCGGGTCGCCCATCCTCAAGTGGACTCGCACGCAGGGCGAGGGCATGGTCAAGCTCCTCGACGAGCTGTCGCCCGACACGGCGCCGCACAAGGCCTACGTCGCGTTCCGCTACGCCAACCCGCTCACCGAGACGTGCCTCGACGAGATGAAGCGCGACGGCGTCGAGCGCGCCATCGCTTTCACCCAGTACCCGCAGTACTCGTGCTCGACGACGGGCAGCAGCTTCAACGAGATGTGGAAGCAGAGTGTCGAGTTTGGCAAGGGCAAGGCGGCAGAGTCGGGCAAGGAGTTCCAGTGGAGCGTCATCGACCGGTGGGGCACGCACCCGGGCTTCATCGACGTGCGTCCCCGTCCTCCTCTCGCTCCCACCTCGCACCTCGACCCCGACCTGACGACGTCGCCTCTCGTCCCACGCACAGGCCGTCGCGCGCAACATCGAGGACTCGCTCAACACGTACCCGGCCGAGGCGCGCGACAAGGTCGTCCTCCTGTTCTCGGCGCACTCGCTCCCCATGTCGGTCGTCAACCGCGGCGACCCGTACCCGGCCGAGGTCGGCGCCTCGGTCTCGGCCATCATGGCTCGCCTCGGGAACCGCAACCCGTACCGCCTCGTGTGGCAGTCGCAGGTCGGCCCCTCGGCGTGGCTCGGCCCGCAAACGAGCGACGCCATCAAGGGCTACGCCAAGAAGGGCCACAACGACCTGCTCCTCGTCCCGGTCGCCTTCACGTCCGACCACATCGAGACCCTGTTCGAGCTCGACCAGGAGTACCTCGAGGAGGCCAAGGAGGTGCGTCCTCTCCCTCCTCTCGTCCTCGCCGGCATCGTCCCTGTCCTGACCTCGTCGCCTTGTGTCCCGCGCGCAGCTCGGCATGACGGGCGTCAAACGCGCCGCTTCGCTCAACGACTCGCCCTACTTCATCCGCGCCATCGCCGACATCGCCGCCGCCCACCTCAAGAGCGGGCAGACCGTCTCGCCGCAGCTCATGCTGCGCTGCCCCAACTGCACCAACGACAAGTGCGGCAAGGCCAAGTCGTGGCTCAAGAGCTTCGAGGAGACTGCGGTGGCGCCTGCCCAGGCCTAGAGGCGAGCAGTAGAAGCCCGAGTCGTGTAAAAACCTCGCAACTCGCGCCCGGAAAGCCTCGAGCGAGAGCCGGACCGAGAACCCGAAAGCTTTGCCGCTCTCGTTCTTCATCGCTCGCCTCGCCGAGAGAGGCTAGCAGAGAGTGATTGGCAGAGCAGGAAGCGTACTGCCAAGCTGCAGTTGGGGAACGGTGAGCGAGATGCGCTGCCCAAAGCGCGCATGGCCGAGTTGAGAGGCGAGAGGGACGCAGGCCTCCGATCGCCCTCGTATGGGAACCAGACCGTGCACATTCGACTGTGTGGAATACGGCGCGGCAGCACTCGTGCAGCCTGCGAGCCGAGAACGACCCGCAGCTCTCGCTTGAGCCCCTTCGCTACTGCTTTTCGACGGGTTTGCTCGCCCGCCGGCTCTGCGAGGCGCCCGAGACGAGGCCAGCGTGTGCTACATGAGCTGAGACGGGCTTCCACCGAGCCGCCTGAGGATCGGTCGGGTCTTTGCTCGCTGAACGGCGCTCGACGCTGGTTGAGAAGGTGACTCTCACGACGCCGTTCGCTTCGTGTTCTGCTCGTCGGCCTCAATGTTGGGCGCCCGGGCGACATCGAGATGGACTAGGGGAAAGTCTCGACCGCAACTCAACGTCGAACAAGCTGCGGAGCCCGAGGGCCGCAAAGTGCGGCTGCGACCGCCAGCCGGGCACGACGACCTTCTTCGGCTGCGAGCTATTCGACGGCCGCGTCGACGCTATAAGATGAAAGCGCACGCGAGGCTCCAGCCGCTCGAGCCTCGAACAGCGGACAGCCAGGATGAGTAGTGCCGAAGAAGCTGGCGAGCGAAGCGGTCCGAGCGACGCCGCAGAACCGCTCTCCTCTCACCGGACGGCGTTCGCGCAGGGTGCAACGTTTCTGACTGCGCTAAAGCGAGAGAACGCGAGGCACGGACAGAAGAACCTGCGCAGAGGAACGCAAGCATCTGATTGTCGCGGCAAGTCGTTCGGCTCGCCGAGCGTCGCGACGGCAGCCGACGTCTTCAGCGTTCCTTTGCAGCCTTCCAGGCCTCAGGCCTCGTCGCTGATGCTAGAGGGACGCAAGGAGACGAAGCGAGCGAATCTTGACTGCGCAAAAAAAAAGTGATCGCACCCAGGTTTGAACTGAGGACCTTCAGTGAACTAGATGTTAAACTGACGTGATGACCAACTACACCATGCAACCTTGCTTGTCGCAGGGGTTCCAAAGTACAGTACAAGTTACCTGCAGCCAGAATCTGGTCGCACTCGGCCAAATCGGCTCCAGCCCGACAACGCCCTCGAGCGAAAACCAGCTGCAGCTGCACCGAGAGCTGCGTGCCTGCTCTATGTTCACTCGTTCGCCGAGGAGAGACGCTCACTCGAGATCTCGTCAACTGCGCTCGTCCATGCTGATGCGCTCGAGCCTGCTCCAGCGACCTTCTCGAGTTCGCCGCTTTCTCGTTCTCACGAGCGGGGCTCGCTCTCGACTGGACGACAAGGCGAGGGACGCTCTCCGTGTGTGCTTTCAGGCCACGAGGGACAGCCACCGGTCTCCACGAGCTCTCGCTGCCTCTCTCAAGCGAGGGCGCACTTTCGCACAAAGCTCGGCATGCGGAACGGCTGCGATGCACGCGCACTACTTCTTGCCTCCCTTCTTCTCCTTCTTCGCCGGTCCGACGACGTCGCGCTTGCCGAGCGCCGTGCCCGGGCTCTGCGTCGTGACGCCCTCGAGCCAGCTCATGTCGCTCTCCATGCCGAACAGGCCATCGTCCTTCTTGTCGCCTCCTGCCGCTGCTGCCGCCGCCGCCGCCCCTGCAGCGTCGCCCGCCTTGTCATCGGCCGACAGGGCCGCACCGCCGAACCGACCGGCGAAGCGCGCGAGCCGGCCGCTCTCATCCTTGTCGATCGAGCGCGTCTGGGCCGAGTCGGGTGCGGGCGGGTTCCACAGCTTGTGGTTGGTCGGCGAGGCGGTGAGCGGGATGAGGGGTCGAGGCGCGGTCGAGTACAGGAGCTGGTGCGGGCCGACGAGGGGACGAGGTGGTGCGGGAGGGGCGGAAGGAGCTGCGGCCTGCAGTGCGGGAGTGAGGGACTGGGTCAGTGACCTGTACGAGCTCGGCTTGGGTGCATGTACGCCGCGGTCCGCGTGCGTACGAGTGGGTCGCAGCGAGTGCCTCCTCGCGAGGAGGAGCGACGCGACCGATTGGTGGCATCGCTCGGCCGGAGCCGTCACCGGCGCGGCCCCCATACTGTGCCCATGCTCGAGCAGAGGCAACGCCCCGCACGACCCGCACCGCGCGTCGAGAGAGCGAGAGGTGGGCGCACCTTCTTGCCCTTGCCTTTGGCCGGCGCCTTTGCCTCCTTGTCACCCTCCTTGGCCGGGTTGGCGTGCTTGACCGCGGCCTCCTTGGCCTTGCCGTGCGCCTCGACGGCGAATGGCGCGGGCGGGTGGGCGACGACGCTCCGGAAGAGGGGGAGCTTGGGCGGCGGGAGCCGGGTCGCGTGGGCCGGCGAGCGGTATCGCGGGACGGCGTGCGCTGCACTCGACAAGAAAGAGGGCGAAGGGCGCATGTCGGGCGAGTGGGCGAGAGCGGCGGTCGGGTAGGAGGGACGACGACGAGCGACGCGAGGGAGCTCTCGGCGGATCCAGCAGATGAGAGTTGTACCCGGCCGACCTCTCTCGAGTTGTAGACGCTCTGCAGAAGCTTCTGACGGCATGAATAAGACTATGCGATTCCAACTGAAACCAAGACCGCGAGACGAGGAGGACGAGGACGGGGCGGGGACGAGGAGAGGGAAGAAGGGGCGAGAGGTACCCAACGGGCCGCAGCCGGACACGACAGGGGAGAGGAGGACGAGGGGACACGGAAGGAGAGGGGTACGACAAAGAAGAAGGCGTGCGACGGAGCGTGGTCGGGGCGCGAGAGACAGGACGACGGCGACTGGGCGTCGCGAGGGTCGAGACGCCGCTCAGAACAGGCCCTGTACGACGAAAGTGAGAGTCTCAGCTCGGCTGAGCGTCAAAGGTCGAGGCAAAAAGGAGAGAGGTGGACGCACGAGGTCCTCCATGGCCGCCTTGAGGATGCTCTCCTCGACCGCCGCAAAGACGACCTTGAGCTGCTCCGTGTCGCTGCGCACGAGGATCCAGGCAGGGTCAGGTCACAGTGCGCGGCCTGACAAAGAGAGAGAGGAAGGGGGGACGCACGTGGCGCAGGTAAAGTGGACAATGAGCGGCCGGGCTGCCTCGTTGCGGTACAGCGGCCGGAACTTGCTCTCCATGTAGGCGCACCCGGTCGGGTAGTCGGACGGGCCCTCGTAGTCCGAGTAGTACTCGTAGATCGGCGACGTGATGAGCTTGGCTGCGAGGGAGGAAACAGGCGAGTGAGCGACGTTGGACGGGGAGAGTTGCCGAGGCCGAGAGAGAGAGAGAGGGGGCGTACCCTTGAAGAGGTCGGTCTGGGAGGGAGCAAAGACGGCGAGTCAATACGACGACTCGTTGGCGAGAGAGGGCGAGGGAGAGGGCGAGAGGCGCACCTTGTTCATGAAGAGGATGACGCTCGACTGGGCGAACCACCTGCTGTTCGAGATGCTCTCGAACAGGCCCGCCGCCTCGTTCATGCGGTTGATGTCCGAGTCCTCGTACAGCGTCTGGTCGTACTCGGAGATGGCGACGAGGAAGATGAGGACGTTGACGTTCTCGAAGCAGTGGATCCTGCGCAAGGGGGAGGTTTGCCGTGCGTCAGGGCGGTTCAGGAGTCGCTGAACGAGAGAAAGGAAGGCGAGGGAGAGGGAGAGGGAGAGTCGCAGGGACGCACCACTTCTTGCGCTCGCTGCGCTGGCCGCCGACGTCAAACACGACGTAGTTGAGCTGGCCGACCTGGAAGCGCTCCTCGGTGAGGCCCGTCGTCTTGACGCGCGACCTCAAGATGTCCTGGTCGGTCGGGACGTAGTCCTGGGCGCCTATCCGCTCGGCGGCGTCGAAGTAGTAGCTCGCGCTGTCGTTGAGCTGGAACTCGCGCGACTTGGACACGCACGCCTTGGTCGTCGGGTCGGACCACAGGGCGACGAGCGCCTTGGTCACCATCGGGTCGAGCATGGGCGGGCACGGGTCGTGCGCCGAGACGCGGATCGACATGACGTAGGCCGCCTTGTCGCGCAGTGTCGGCGGGAGCGGCATGTTGAGGTCGTGCAGCGCCTCGATCACGACCTGCATCGACTGGATCTGCGACGCGGCAAGACCGAGTCAGCTCTGTCGAGCACGAGGAGGCGCGCCTGCGCCTGAGACGGGCGGTGAAAGGGACGGACCAAGTTGGCGTAGACAATCTCCCGGTAGCCGTCGCGCTCCTCGTCCGTGTACCCGCCGAGGTGGTGTAGCCGCATCTGCTTCAGGATCGTCGACTGCGAGCGCGAAGAAGAAAGGGTGAGCGTGAGTCGGGCACGACGAGCGGCGCGACGAGAGAGGTCGGGGCGCACCTTGCCCGACTCGCCGGTACCGAGGAGAAGCAGCTTGATGTCGCGCCTGCGAGATTGAGAGAGTACGAGGGTCAGTGCTGTGTCTGCCGCCGGCTCGACCCGACCGCTGCTCCGCTCGTCCTCCCGCTCGCGCTGCGGCCGAGTCGCGCGGTGACCAGGCCGGCTTCCACGAGCGCTCGGCGGGACGGTCGCCGGCCCGCACCGCAGCGATGCAAAGGTCGACAAAGCGGCACACGCTGTGTTCCGGCGACTGCAGATCCACTCTGGCGAGTGACGCCGAGCGCGCGGTGTCGATCGAACGAGATGCGGAAGGACGACCCAGCGAGTCCGGCCCTGCTCGACGCGCGCTCGCCCGCTCGCCGGGTACGAGAGAGGACAGGGAACGGAGGGACGCACCGGGCGATGACCTTTTCCTCCTCGTTTTTGCGCTCGCGGACGGCCGTCTGGTAGTCGGCCTCGCGCTGAGCGTCCTTGGAACCACCGCAGCCCATGTTGCTGTGGTTGGTGTGGTGAGGGTCGAGAGGATGGGCGAGGGGAGCTGTTGAGCGGGTCGCTGCTACGGCTGAGCGGGCGAGGCGGGCGCAACACGAGGGAACGAAGTGAGGAGGGGCACTGGGGTGGGGACGACGGCGCTAGAAGGCGAGGGCGGCCGAGGGTGGTTCGGGGCGTGTGCTTGAGCGTGCTCTGGCAGACGGTGCGGGTGCGCAGGAGCTGGCGGCCTCGGGGCGGGGCTGGACGAGGTCGAGCCGAGGAAGGAGGCGGGGCGGGAAGGAGGGAGATGGGGGCGAGGCCGAGAGGGGGCGGCGGTCGAGCTGGCGCAAGGACGTGCGGCAACGAGGGTGAGCTCGCGAGTCCCTAGTCGAGCAAGGGTGGTCCCGGTAGTGCGGGTGCGACGAGCGAGGACGAGAGCTGCCCGCCCTGATCTTCGTCGCCGCCGCGCTGCGTGACCAAGGCCTCGCCTCGAGCGCTCGCTCGATCAGCCGCGGGCGGCTCCGTCTCTCACAGAAGGAGACTCACACAGTGCAGCGGCAGCAGCCAACACACAGAGAAGGACTGGGCGGTCGTCCTAGAGCAACCACAGCGAGCCGCAGCCAAGCTTCCAAACTCTTGCTCTCCTCCTCGTCCTCGCGCTCTCGTACCGCCTTCCCTTCCCGGCCAGCTCTCTCTCTCTCGCCCGTGAGCGGCGCACGCGCCGCCGCAGCTGCGCCGGCCCGACAGCCGAGGATGCGTGCGATGCGAGTTGAGTTGCAGATGCGCGCCCGAGCCTCGTCGCCGTCCGAGGGCTCGAGCGGAATACAGAACGCCCTTCTACCTGTACCGTTGCGCTCGCGGCTCACATGCCGGCGCCGAGGCCGCCGGCATACATCATCGGCCGAATGTGGCTCGGGTGCTGTTGCGGCGCGGGCACGAGCGTCAGATCCAGGTCGTCGTCGAGGACGAGAGGGGGGCAGGAGGACAGGGGCGCACCGGCTGCGCTTCGAACGTCGTGAACTTCATCTCGCCCGACGAGTCGATGCGAGCAAACGCTGCGAGGTTCCCGACCTGGTCGACCTGTGGGTCTCGAGCGCGAACGACGACGAGAGAGGGGAGGGACGGAAGGGTCGAGAGGGAGGGGAGGGGTGCGGCGACGAGGCGAGAGGCTCTGTCAGTCTACGGCTCAACAGAAAGAGAGAGAGAGAGAGAGAGAGAGAGAGAGAGAGAGAGGCAAGACGCACATAGTTGGGTGCGCTGAAGACCGTGATGAGGAGGCCGCCGTGCTCGACGCTGTACCCGCCCTGGCGCACCTCGTGCGCCCGGATGACGGCCGTGATCTCGTTCTTCTCGGTCCAGGCCCGCGTAATGTCGGGACCAAAGCCAAGCCCGACGCCTCGCTTCGACGGTCCACGGCCGGGAGCGTCCTGCGGGCGACGAAGAGGGTCAGCTCGACGTTCGTCGTCAAGTCGAGACGAGAGGAGCGAGTCGACGACGGGGCTCACTTGAGGGTCGGTCCTGCGCAAAGGAGAGGAAAGTCAATGACTGGCCTTGACGGCGCACGAGAGGCGAAAGGGAATGTCGACGCACCAGAGCATCTCGCACATGAGGCCCTCCTGGCCCGGCTGCTTGAGCTTCATCCTCGGGATCGCCCGCACGTCGTCGAGGGTCACGTCGTCCCGGCTGAACAGGCCACCGTGCACGACAAAGAACCGCTTGACGCCCTTGCACAGCGTCGGGTTGGGCGGGTTGGGCGACGCGTCGGACCGAGGCGGCTCCGAGGCGGTGATGAGGGTCGCGAGGGGCACTGCGCGCGACAGCGAGTCAGTGCGAGTCGTCGAGAGAATGCGGGAGAGAGGGACGCACAGGCGGTGAAGATCTCCTCGGACAGCTTGAACGTCTGCGGGCCGTACTCTGTGCGGGGCAACGGCGGCGACGAGTACCTCGAGGTCAGGTCACGCTCGACCGGGACCAGGACGCTAGACGGCTCGGGACGTACTCTTTGTGCTCTCACCCTCGTAGCCGTAGACCCGGTTCATGTCGCTCGTCTCGTGGTTGCCGCGGTTGATGAAGACGTTGCGCGGGTACAACCCTGCGGACGACGGCGCTCAAGCGAGGTCAGCCTCCCGCTCGACGAGGAGGGAGGGAGAGAAGAGGAGAAAGGGGGCGGACGCACACTTGTAGCAGAAGACGGTGAGGAGGATCTCGACGCTCCAGGAACCGCGGTCGACGAGGTCGCCGTCGAAAACGAGCGTGTGTGACGACGACGGCGCGCCGGTGAGCGTCAAGAGGTGCATGAAGTCGTAGAACTGGCCATGGACGTCGCCGATGCTGAGGAGGACGAACGAGAGTCAGTACACGGCGGCAGAAGAGAGACGAGGAGACGGCGAGGACGTACACGTCGACCGTCTGGCCCTCGGGAATGGGCACGTCGACGAGCGTTTCCTCCTCCTTCAAGATGTTGTAGGCGCCGATGAGGATCTGCCACACGATGCGCTTGGGCAGGAGCTTGCCCGCCTTGAAGTGCTCGACCATCGCGTCGACAAAGTCCGAGGTCGGGCGAGCGTCGCCGTCGAGTCGCGGACCGTCATAGTCGGACGGGATGGGGAACGCGCCGTCGTCGAGCTGCTTCTGAAGCTGTGGGCACCGGGGCGCAGGTCGGCTTGCCGCAAAAAGCGCGAGAGGTTCGGGAGGAAAGGGGGACGGACCGTCACGCTCGGCGCCTCTTCCTCCTTGCCCTTGATCGCCGACTCGAACGCCAAGCGCCGTACGAGCTTCTGGGTCGCATCGAGCTGCGACTTGGCGGCGGCGTTCTTCGGGTCGAGCGAGATCACCTGTCGCCGGGCAAAGACGAGGTCAGAAAGGAGGATGGGTAGGACGACGAGGAGAGGAAAGGCGGTGACGGTGCGCACCTTCTTCAGGTCGACGATCGCAGCCTTTGGCTTGAGGATGGCGAGGTTGGCGAGAGCTCGTCGGTAGTACGCCTGCGCGGAGAAGGTCCGAGTGAGCACCTGCACCTGGGTGCGGAAGGGAAGCGAGGCCTGGTGCGCACCTTGACGGCACGGCTGTCGAGCTCGATCGCTCGGGCTGCGGACAGGGACAGGTCAGTAGTCGACTCGAGATGCGGAGAGAAGCGAGAAGAGGACGCACACGAGTCTGCGACGCCCAAGCCGTACTCCTCGAGCTTCAACCGGACCGCGGCGCGGTTGCTCCACACGATCGGGTCGAACGGGTTCTTGTTGAGCGATGCAGTGTACAGGTCGAGCGCCTCGCGGTACCGAGAACTGCTGAAGTGCGTGTTGGCCTGCGACTTGAGGCTGAGGGCGAGCTGCGGGGAGGGGCAAGAGGTCAGTGTCGCTCGCCTGAGCTTGCGAGTGCGCCCACCTTCCAGCGAGCGCTCTCGAAAGAGGACCGCCGCGCTGTACGCCCCTCGCGCGGCTCGAGAGAACGCGGAGACGCACCTTCTTGTCGTCCTCGCTGATCTCGTCGAGGCTCTCGGCCCGGACACCGCCCTCGCCGCCGCCGACCGAGGTGCCGTCGATGGACGGCTCTGGCGCCTCGCCGCTCAAGGGCGCGCGGTACCCGTTGAGGTCGTCGCTGAGAGAAGTGGCGGAGGTCGAAGGCGAGCTCGGCAGCGAGCTGGTCGGCGACGAGTCGTCGTTGGCAAAGGACATGGTGCGGGTCGAGAGGGATGCTGTGCACGAGCTGCAGGCGGCTCTGGCTGTAGCTGGGCGAGAGAGCGCGAGCGGTGCCTCGCCTTGTTGTCCAACTCCGCGCGCCGGCGGCTCAGGCGCCACTTTGTCTCGACCAGCTGCTGACTCGCACGAGCCGCGTTCCTGCTCTCAATCTCTCGTTACGCTGAGCATGGCGGCCAGACTCTGCTCGAGAGCATCGAGCAGTCGAGGCAGACGACACGAGCGAGCCGGCGTTTACGCTCCCTCGAGGCATCTCTCGGCAAAGACGAGTCGCACGACCACCCTCGTTGCAGCACCGACAGCTGCTACAGCTTCTTGACCTTGGCGCGCCGTGCGAGATCGTCGGGCGTGATGCGGAAGCACTCGTCGATGAGCGCTGCCCGGAAGGTGTTCGGGCCCTGGACGTCTGCGCGCTCGGCGGCGAGCTCGGCGGCGACGTTGATGGCGACGAGACTGTAGTACGAGAGCCCGAGTCAATACGTCGCAGGAACGAGAGGCGCCGAGAGCGGGAGCGGACGCACCCTGCGACCGCGGCGGACAGGCTGCCCGACTCGTGGCGCAGTCCAGCAAAGAGTGCGACGGCCCTGCGCATCGTCGGTAGTCAGTGACGGACGCTCCACGTCGAGCACAGAGAGAGAGACAGGCTCGCAGGGAAACAGGGGACGCACGCGCTCGCCATACAGCCTGAGCCCGTGATGCTCTCCTGCCACTCGCTCCCGTTCTCGATCGCAAAGACATCGCGGCCGTCCGAGACGTAGTCGACCTTGCCCGACATGGCTACGACAAGCTCTGCGGGTTGCGGCTCGTCAGGACGGCGAGGGCGGAACCGGGTCGAGGCGGGGAGAAAAGAGGACGCACTCTCCCTCGCCGCGAGCGTGCGCACGACGGATGCAGGGTCCTTGAAGCCGGCGCCGACGCTGTCTACGCCTCGCGCCTGCACCTCGCTAAGCCCGGCGAGCGCTCCGACCTCGCCGGCGTTGCCCTTGATGATCGAGACGTGGCAGGCGTTGAGGAGGTCTGCGAGGGAGGGCGAAAGGAGAGGGACGGGACGAGGGAGGAGGGGGCAAACACGGATGTCAGCTCGCCGTATTCCTCGAGAGCAGAAAGTCCAACGAGTGGAAGACGAGACGGACCGCTCGCGCTCTTTTTCCTGTACTCGGTCGCGCCGACGCCGACCGGGTCAAACACGACGGGCTTCTGGTTCCGGTTCGCCGCCTCGCCGGCGATCTTCTGCGACGCGATCTGCTGCTCGGTGATGGTGCCGAGGTTGAGGAGGAGGCACGAGATGAGCGTCGACAGGTGCGGCGCCTCGTCGGGCGAGGACGACATGATGGGCGACGCGCCGAACGCGAGCGTCAGGTTGGCCGTGTCGTTCATGACGACCTGGTTCTGCGGGCCCGACGGCGAGTGTCAGGGCCTTGCGCACCGCGACGAGAGGGATCTGAGAGACGCACCGTGATGTGGTGGACGAGGGGCTTGTGCGCGCCCTCGCGAAGAAGCTTGAGCATGTCGACCGCGTTGCGAACGAGCTGCTGCTCGTCGAGGGCCGCCGTCGACGCATTCAGGTTCCACGAGGGCAGCATTTTGCGGCCGAGGAAGAGCGCGCGCAGCTCGGTCGCGGCGGTGAACGGGTCGTGCGCGGCCGAGATGGACGAGACGACGGCGAGGCCGTCGAGGTGGCGGTAGCCGCCGCTCGCGAGAGGTGCGGGCGTCTGCGCGAGGACGTTGGGGATGGTGGAAGGGGTAATGCCGCCTGCGAATCGAAGGGACAGGTGAGCGTTCGTCGGCGTGCGCCGCAGAAGACGAGGACGAGGACGAGGACGCACCAATGACGACCGCCTTGACCTCGCTGTCGCCGAGGACCTCGAGGATGGCCCGTACACCCCTCGGGCCCATGATCGGGTTCAGGTTCTTCTTGGTCTGGGTCCCGAAGCACGGGCCGATGCCGACGTAGTCCGCGACACCCTCGTCGAGGACGAGGCGCATCTCGTCGACCGTGTTGACGCTGACGCCGAGAAGAGCATCGGGACCGAGGAGCTGCCGTGCAAGACGGGCAGGGAGGTCCGACTGGCCGACGTGCAGGTGGCACTTGAGGAGGCACGCGATGTCGAGGCGGTCGTTGACGAAGAGCGGGACGTTGTACTGCATCGAGGAGAGACCGAGTCAGCGACGCAGGTCCTCAGACCTCCTCAGGGTGCCCCTCGCAGCCCTCAAGTGTCCCACAGAGATCCGGCGAGGCCGGCAGCGCCACGACGGCGCCGTCGCCCAACGCTCGCACGGAGCGCTCGCTCAGGAAAGGCGGCGGACGGTCCTCGCTCCGGGTCTGGGCAGTACAGAGCGCAGGGACCCGTCTGGGCTCGCGTGTGCAGTCCCCCTGCCTCGCCCGCCCCCGCTCGTCCTCATCAGCTCCTCCTCGTTCCGATGACGATTCCCTGCTGCCACCTGCTCGAGAGAGGAGAGGAATGGGACGCACACGGTCGCACACCTCCTTGCTCCTCCTTGCCACCTCGTAGAACTCGCCGCCGTCGACGTCCTTCTCCCTGACCTGGACGACCGTCACGCCGCCGGCGAGGGCTTGCTCGAGGTGGGCGAGGTACCAGTCGCCAGGCGGACCGGTGTAGCTCGTCGGTGCTGGTGGAAGCAGGGAGCGGCCCGTGACGTAGTACAGGCTGTAGTCGATGCGAGGGCGCGACATGGTCGAAGGAAGACGAGCAACGTGTGGGGGGAGCTCTCGAGGCGGCGCCTTTCGCAAGCTGTGCGCTGCGCTCGTTCCCTTTTGAGCCTTGTCGTCGCAACAGATCGCGGCAAGAATAGCGTCAAGAAGCGAGCCACGGCGCAGAGACAAGAGGCGGCGGCGCTCTCTATAGAGCTCTCGCGGCGAGGCGACGGTGGGCGCGACTAGCAGAACCTCGATGCAACACACAGCTAGTGCACGCTACGAACGAGAACTCGACCAGATCGCGAACCTTGTTGGGCGGCGAGCATATTTCTGCGGGCGCGAAAGAGCGCGAGTCAGTTTACGAAGGCCGAGATGACGAGGGTGGGATGCAGGACGTACACTCGTCGTCCTCCTCCGACGAGCGCTGCTCCTCGACGATCGCCGAGGCGATGCCTGCATGAGACAAAGGCGGCGAGGTCAGGTTCAGGTTCTCGAGGATGGCAAAGGTGGAGAGGGAAGCGCAAGGCGAGACGCACGGTCAAGGTCACGCTGGCCGTCGACGGTGATGCGGCGACCACCACGGGCAGTGTCGTGCTCGAGGACACCGATCTTCTCAAGGGCCTGGAGGACCTTGCGCTCAACCGAGCGCGAGCCGTCGGCGTGCTGCGAGGGGTCGAGCGCGGTCAGTACAGGCTCGCCGCCGGCGCCGCCGCCACCAGACAATCAGGAGAGACGCAGACGCACGTGCGACGGGCGCTGGCCGCGGTTGACCGAGCCGCCGTGGAGCTTGGCGAGGGCGCCAACACCGACGTGCTTGCCTGCGGACGAGGAGCGAGGGGTTAACACGCGCGCTCCGATTCAGGCCGGGAGAGGAGGAGAGACGAGGACGCACGGAGGTAGATGTGGCGAGCGACGGCGGCGGCACGGATGTAGAACCAGTCCTGGTCGTACGGCGCGAGCTCCTTGCCAGTGCCGGTCTTGACGACGTCGACCCAGACGGGGATCTCGAGCTTGCCTGTGTGCGCGCACGCCGGCAAGAAAGGTCAGGCACGGTTCGTCTCGGCATCGGGGACTGCTCGGGCGGGCGATAGGCGAGGCGAACAGCGTGCTCAGTTGCAGTCCCGCGGAAGCCGCGCACGGGGCGAAGCCGCGCGCGCGCCGAGACCGGCAGCATAGACCCTACGGCGTCACACGAGAGGTTCATGCCCTTTCGGGCCACCTAAGGTGCTAAGCCAAGGGTCTATACAGGTTGCCGGGCGGGCTGCTCGAGGCGAGGGCGGTCGGGCCGTCGACGATGGCGCGGGCGAGCGCAGCACCGCCGTGAAGCCGGCCTGGTACAGCCGCGCTCGTCGTGCAGGCGGGTCGGCACGGGGCAGGGTCGTCGGGCGAGGGCGAGGGCGAGGGCGAGGGCGACTAACCGGAGCGCTTGAGGTGGGACGAGTAGGCGGCAATGAAGGCCTCGGGGGTAACGTCCTGTGGGGCACGACAGGCGTCAGTATGATTCAGGAACGAGGGGAGAGAGAAGGCGTCGGACGCACGCGAACGCCAGGCCTGCAGGTGAGAGGCGCGGGGGGAGGAGAGGGGGAGAGGCGCGAGGGTCAGTGAGTGCTCGAAGGGGCGCAAGGATCCGGTGCTGCGGCATTGCGGCGGCTCGATCTCAACGTCCATCTCGCAGTCCTCAACAGACCGCCCGCCGAGCCCTCAGGCGTGTGTCCCGCCTGCTGCCACCGCGAGCTCATCTCGTCGCGGCCTCGCGCTCCGCCCTCTGCCCTCCTGCGGGCCGGTCGGGCTCGTGGCCGTTTGCCGAGGCCCTGGTGGCCACCTTTGGCCCTCGGGCAGCGTTGTCGAGGTGCGAAAGGGCGGCGCTGGCGAGACGGGCGAGCTCGAGGCGAGAGGCGGGTTCAAGACGGCCGCGCTCGCCGACGGGGAGGGGGGTGCGTGGGGAGGAACTGACATGGTGAAGGAGCTGAAGGAGGGGGTGACCGCGGGAAGAAGAGCCGGTGAAGGTAAGGGGAGGGGACGCGGGCGGTACGGGGGCAAAAAGGACGGCGCGCTTGGTCCCGCTTCGACGAGCGGGCGCGCGGGGCGGAATTCACAAGTGGGCTCGTTTCGCCTCCTCCCCTGAGCCTCGTCGCACCTCGCCCAGTTCCTCGTCGTCCTCCCTCTTCTCTCTTCCCTCTCGCACACGGAAACCTTTTTCCCGCCTCGCCTCGCCTCGCCGCTTGCTGGCTTGCATCTTCTGCACTCGTGTCGCTCTCGACTCGGTCTGCGCACCGCGTTCCTAGTACCTGCGCCTCGGCAACTCGACCTCGACCCTCGACCAGCTCGACCACGACCGCAACTCGCGCCAACGTCGACTCGCAGCAGCAGCTCAGCAGCTCCCGTGCGACCCACTTCACTCGGTGAGCACCCTCCTCCCGTTTCCGTCCGCCCCTCTTTCCCCCTCGCGCGCGCACTCTCGACTTCCCCGCCCTTTCGTCCTCGTCGCCGTCGTCGGCGGTTGCCGATGAGTGATCACCATACACTACAGCATAGTTCAACCTGATCTGTGGCTACTACCACAATGTTGAACACGATCATCTCTTTCGCTCCTATCTGAGGCTCCACCCGACGCCAACGACGAGGACGCCCGGACGAGGCGCGCGCGCGCACCAGCAGACTCAACCTCGCTCGTTCGAATACTGATCTCGCCTTGCGTCCCTCGCAGACCTCTCGCGACACCAACGCTCAAGCGCAGAGGCGGCGTCGCGCCGGCTCTGAGCTCCTGCCGTAGACATGCTCCTTTCTCCTTTGCAACACTCGATCTCGCTTTCTCTTCCTTCCATGCCCGTCGCCTTCTGTCGTCGAAAGTTCGCTGTGAACGAGAGGAAAGGCGCAAGCATCTCTGTGCGCGAGGGCACTGAGTCGCACGCGGGCGATCGCCAAGTCGGTCTCGCCGCACGGACCCACCTCCGTAGCATGCTCGGCTCGCGCAGGAGCGGCCGTTCAGGTGGCCGAGCGTCTCGCAGACTGTCGCGCGGCAGCCTTGCCGAGCGAGCCCTTCGAAGTGCGCGAGCTGTAGCTGGACACGCCGACCAGGCGGGCGCACGCTGCGAGCACGCCTCGCATCAGAGTGGGTCTGCTCCGGCCGAGTCGGCACGACAAGGCGGCGTCGCAGCATGCGCCGCGTCGGCAAGCCTCTCGACGCGGAGAGACGGCACAAACGAGTACGAGCGAGCGAGCGAGCAGGGTCGCAAGCAGGGCAACGAGGACGCTGTCGAGCGCCTCGCACGCCTGGCTGCAGGGTGAGAGCGAGCAAGTATTGGCCGCAGCGAGTGCAGATGCAGAGCGGCCGGGTAGTGGGAGGGACGAACGAGCAAGGAGGAGAGGAGGAGCGGCGGAGGTTGACCAACCCACCACCACGCACTCACCTGCTGAGCACTTTCCGAGCACTTGAGCAGCCTCTAGCACACTCTACCTCGCCCCTCGACCCGCCGCACAGCCCGCACGAGCGAGTACCGACCTCGACCGCCTCATCACCTCGACCGCCGGTCCTCCCGCCGCGTCTCGACACCACACGCTCAAAGAGCCTGTCCGCCGCACACCATGTCCTTCTTCGGTGCCCGACCAGCAGCAGCCCTCGAGCCCAAGGACATCGAGGTCCCCAACCTCCCCGCCGACTCGATCTCGGCCGTCGCCTTCTCGCCGACCGCCGACATCCTCGCCGTCGCGTCATGGAGCAACGAGGTGCGCCTGTACGAGGTCAACCCGCAAGGCCAAGCCGTCGGCAAGGCGGCCTACTCGCACGAGGGTCCCGTCTTGGACGTGACCTGGTCCAAGGTGCGCACCTTGCGCTCGCCTCGTTCGCACACCCACAGACCGCGAATTGACTCGTGTGTCCTTCCACCACCTGCAGGACGGCTCCAAGGTGTTCTCGGCGGGCGCCGACAAGGCTGCGCGCATGTTTGACCTCGCGACGATGCAGGCCCAGCAGGTACGTCTCTACTTTCCTCGCCCTTCACTCGCCCGCCGAGCTGGTCGCGCACCCAGAGAGCTAACATGCCACACGACAGGTCGCACAACACGACGAGCCGATCAAGTGCGTCAAGTACTTCGAGGCCAACGGGCAGGGCATGCTGGGTGCGTCCCGGCTCTCTCGCTCTCTCTCCGCGACGCACTCTCCCGTCGAGCGGCTCACTGATGAGCGACCGATCTCGACGCACAGTGACGGGTTCGTGGGACAAGGTGCGCTCAGTCGTTCAAGCTCTCGACCGACAGGAGCCCTTCCCGACTGACCTCGTCGCGGAAACAGACACTCAAGTACTGGGACCTGCGCACGCCCAACCCGGTCGCGACGGTCCAACTTCCTGAACGGTGCTACGGTGCGTCCCTCGCCGCGTTCTGTCTCCCGTCCGCTGCGGCAGACGTACTCACGCTTCCCTTTGCCCTCGCGCCCGCAGCTCTCGACGTGTGCTACCCTCTCATGGTGGTCGGCACCGCCGAGCGTCACATCCAGATCTTCAACCTCACGCAACCGACGCAGGCGTTCAAGACCCTGACGAGCCCCTTGCGGTGGCAGACGAGGACTGTGCGTCCCGCTCTTTCGCCCTCGCGCCCTTTCCTTTCCGTCTCGGTACGACTCACTGACCTGCCTGACTGGCACCCGATTCAGATCGCGTGCTTCCCAGACGCGACGGGCTACGCCATCGGGACGATCGAGGGGCGCGTCGCGATCCAGTGCGTCCTCGTCCTCGTGCCGTCCGCTCGCCCAGACGGCCTTCTCACGCTTCTACCCCGCGCGCAGACACGTCGACGACAAAGCCGCAGGCTCCAACTTTACGTTCAAGGTTCGTCCCTCCTGTCGTCGCCTCTCTCGTCGAGACTTGCCGCGCCCTCGTCCCTGACCCGCCCTTCCCCGTCTACGCCCTGCTTCTCACCCTCTCGCAGTGCCACCGCAAGGACGACCCGGCGCCGTCCAAGTCGTCGAGCGTGTACGCCGTCAACGACATCCAGTTCCACCCGTACGGCACGTTCTCGACAGCCGGCAGCGACGGCACGATCAACTTTTGGGACAAGGAGAGCAAGACGAGGCTCAAGAGTGCGTCCCTCGCCTTTCTCTCTATCTCTCCCGTCGACGAGAAGTAACCCTCGAGGAGCACGGTGCTGGTCGCGTCCTGTATGGGCGCGCTGGCCCGTCGTCCTCGAGCCGCGCCGCCGTCGTCATTGCGAGCCGTCACTGACTCTGCGCTTCCCTTCTGCCTCCTCTCTTCCCCTCGGTCGTCCCTTTCTGGTCTCTCTATCTTCTCTATCGGCGCTATTGCATCGACAGCCTTTGACGCCAAGGGTGGGCCGATCGCGTCGACGTCGTTCTCGTCGTCGGGCCGGATCTTTGCCTACGCCGTCACGAACGACTGGTCCGGCGGGCACATGAGCAACAAGCCCGACTTTATCAACAAGGTGTACCTGCACCCGTGCAAGGACGAGGTGCGTCCCCCTTCTCGGTCGCCCGTCTCTCCCCTCTCGCCGCCCTCCTTGCCGCCGCCGCCCTTCCTCGAGCCGAGCCGGAGACGCCGCCGGCACTCACTGACTTTCTCTCGCCTCTTTCACGCGCTCACAGGAGGTCAAGAAGCGCAACAAGAAGTGAGCGGGCGCGCTCTCTCGAGGTGGTGGTGGTCGAGCGATGGAGGAAGGCGAGGAGGGCGAGGAGCTTTGGCAGCTGGTTCTCGGTCGAGGGAACGGCTCTCGCGTGTCATTGATACCCTGCAGAGGCTCTTTCGCGCTCTCGGCCGGACGAGAGTGGCCCGACGAAAGCTCGAGTCGAGAATGAGCGAGAAGAAGGACAGCTCGACAGACTCTGCGACGAAGCTTCGTGTGCAAGGACGAATGCGCTCTACGATGCAGAGGGGGAGGAGTGAGGGGCTATGGGCGAGGAGGGAGAGGTACAACAAGCTCGAGACGGCCGAGCGGGCGGAGGAGGACGAGGGGGCGACGAGGGGAGGGAGGGGTCGCTGCTCAAACGACGGGCGCCGAGCCGGCGACGGCGAGAGGGCCCTCGGCGGGGACGAGGTTGCCGAACGAGTCCCGGCGGGCGCGGCTGCGAGCGCGAGAGCGAGGCAGTGAGCGCCCGAGTCGAGAGCGAGGCAGTGAGCGCCCGAGTCGAGAGAGGGGAGGGGAGGCGAAGGGGACAGGACGCACAAGAAGGTGTAGCTGAGCGTCACCTCGCGGATGTCCTTCATGTTGGGGTCGTCGACAAAGTCGCGGTCGATGAAGAAGAAGACGGGGAGGTCGACCTCTTCGCCGGCGAGGAGGCGCTGCTCCTCGAAGCAGAAGCACTCGACCTTGGCAAAGTAGGGCGCGATCTGCGAGGGAGGCAGGCAGGGGGTCAGGCTCGGTCCTTTGAGAGAGAGAGAGAGGGTGCGCACGTTGTTGGGCGTGACGTTGTAGGTGGCGATGCCGACAATGTCCTCGTCCGAGTGGTTGGTGGCCGTGTAGAAGGCGAGGGCCGTCTCGCCGGGGAGGACGCGGACGTCGCGTTGCTGGGGCTCGAACGACCACGGGAGCGAGTCGCTCGAGTCGGCGTTGAAGGTGACGCGGATGCGGCGGTCGAGGTCGGTGCGGGCGACGAGGCGCTCGGGGACGAAGCGCGACTGGTCGGTCTGCGGGGTGCCGGCGTAGCCCGTCGCCGAGCAGAATACGCGGTACAGCGGGACGGCGAGGTAGGAGCCGGCGGTGACGACGAGGATGTGGCGGCCGAGTAGAGCAAGAGGGAGCGGTTGCGCTGGCGGTAGTGCTCGTGGCGAGCTCGCTGGTACGCTCCCTGCTGCGGTCGCTGTGGCGGGTGCGGCGAGGGTCGGGGTGCGGTGCCGGTGGCCGTGCTGGAGGTCGAGGCGAACCTGTGGCGGGCGAGGTTGGCGATCCGGGGAGCGAGTGGTCGGCGAAGGGCGAGGAGGGCGGGGGACGGGGACGACGCGAGAGGGGTGCGGGAACGCAAGGGTGTTGCAATGCGTGGCAGGGTGCGTGTGAGCATCTTGGCCTCGCTGCTCGAGGTGGTGGGCGAGAGCGAGAGCGTCGGCTCGAGTTCATCAGCTGCTCCCCCCGAGATCTCTCGTCCTCGTCTCGCCACTCGTCCGCACTCGCTGCCAGAGACCATGCCGCCGCGCGACGACTACAACCACGCCGCTCGCAAGCGCACCGCAACCCTCCCGCAAAAGCTCCGCACCGAACTCGAACAGCTCGGACACCTCCCGCCCAACTCGAACAAGCCCCGCAAGTCGCGCAAGGAGCGCCGCAAGGACAAGCGCACCCTCCCAAAGCTCAACCGCAAACTCGCCCACGAGGGCCCGCAAGCCGCCACCCGCAAGCGGCCCGCCGACGACGACCAGTCGACCAGCACCGCCCCCTCGTCGTCGCGCAACCCGCAACCTCCCGCACCACCCGCCAAGCGCACAAAGGTCGCACACCCGGCTCCCGACGCCGACGCGACCGCCGCTCCCGCCGCCGCCCAGCCCAAGCAAACCGCCCTCGAGCGCCGCCTCGCCAAGCAGGAGCGCGGCACCGGTCCCGACCCGCGCACGCGCAACAAGGACCCGGCCGCCACCGACGAGGACCGCGAGATCGCCTGGCTCGAGGCCAAGCTCGGCCTGCAGCAAAAGGCCCTCACGAGCGCCGAGAAGGGGAGGATGCGCAGCGAGTTTGACGACGACGGCCTCGGAGGTGCGCCCCGATTTCGTCCCCTTCCGCCCAACTCTCGCAGCCCGTCGGCCCGAGACTGACTTCCTCGTTCCATCGCACCCGCAGAGCTGTTCGACGGGCTCGGCGACCTCGAGGGCGCCGCATTCGGCACGGGCAAGAAGGTGCGTCTCCCCCTCACTCCCCTTTCGCCCTTCGCAATCCCGCACAGCCTGACCGGCTCGATTCCCTCTCGCTCGCGCAGAACTACGCCAAGCTCCTCAAGTCGGGCGAGCTCGACCTCGACGAGCTCGACCTCCCGTCCGACTTCGACCCGGCCGACCTCGACCTGTCCGACCTCGAGGGCGGCGAGGACGACGACGACGATGGCTCGTCCGTCGACGAGGCGTTCACCGAGTACGGCATCGACGACGACGAGCTCGTCAACCCGAGCGACGACGACGATCACGGCGAGATGGGCGAGCTCGGGAGCGACGAGGAGGGCGACGAGGCGATGCTCGACGAGGCCGAGGACGAGGAGTTTGCGGGCATCAGCTCGGACGAGGAGGAGGACGAGGAGGCGGACCGAGACGAGGGCGCGCCCGAGGCGGACGCGGCCGCACCGCGAGCGCGCATCGTGCGGTTCGCCGGCGACGATGACGATGAAGGCGCGTCGTCGTCGCCCGCTCCCGCGCCGGCAGCCCCTGCGCCGACCGCCTCTGCCGTCGGGCGCTACGTTCCGCCTCACCTGCGCAAAGCTGCCGCCGCTGCCGCTGTCGACCCTGCGGCCGCATCCGCACCACCCCGCGACGCTGCCCCGCCTTCCCCTTCCTCCTCCCTTCCTTCCGACGCGCCTCCCGCCCTCGCGCCCATCCCCGACGATCCTCGCCTGCGCCGTCAGCTCCAGGGCCACCTCAACAAGCTGTCGTCGGCCAACCTCGGCGCCATCGTCGACGCGCTCCAAGCCCTGTACCGCACCCACCCGCGCGCCGTCGTCAGCAACACCCTGACGCAGCTCCTCCTCGGCACGCTCGCCGACCGCGACCACCTCGGCGAGGCGCTCGTCGTCACGTACGCAGCCCTGTGCGCGGCCCTGTTCCGCGTCATCGGCGTCGAGTTTCCCGCCGGCGTCGTCACCGAGGCGGTGCGCATGCTCGACGGCGCGCTCAACCAGCACTCGTCGGCGGCGGCGGCAGCCGTGCCTGGCACAATCGCGAGCTCGAGTGCGGCAGGCGGCGAGGAGGGCGACTTTGAGGGTCGCCCGGGCGGGAAGGAGGCGCTCAACTTGGCGAGCTTCGTCGCCGAGCTGTACAACCTCCAGGTCGTGCACTGCGGCCTCGTGTACGACCTCGTGCGCGACCTCGTCGGGCGAGGAGCTTCGGGCGAGGGCATGGGCGAGCTCGAGGTCGAGCTGTTGAGCCGGATCGTCAAGCGTGCGTCCTCGAGCTCCTCTTCTCTCTCCCTTTCCTCGACGCATGGTCGAGCACGCACTCACGAGGAGAATCTACACACACAGGCTCGGGGCAGCAGCTTCGCTCGGACGACCCGTCGGCGCTCAAGGACATCGTCTCGCTCGTCAAGCACAAGATGGCCGGCGTCGACCCGTCCTCGATGAAGTGCGTCCGCCTCTCCTTTCTCTCCTCCCTCTTGTCCCACTCATTGACGCTCTCGTCTTGTACAGCTCGCGCACGCGCTTCATGGTCGAGCAGCTCACCAACCTCAAGAACAACAAGTTCAAGGCCGCCGGGTCCTCGGCGGGCGCCTCTTCCGGCGCCGACGGCGCTGTCGACCACCGCACGCCAGTGCGCAAGTACCTGTCGTCGCTCAACCGCTCGCGCGCGTCGGGTGCGGCGCCCGACCCGCTGCGCGTCGGCCTCGGCGAGCTGCGCGACCCCAAGCGCGGCAAGTGGTGGCTCGTCGGCGCGGCGTGGGCAGGCGACCCGCTCGCCGAGCACCAAGCCGGCCTCGAGCAGCAGGGCGGGCTCCTCGGCAAGGGCGGCAAGGAGGCGACCGGCGACGCCGAGCTCGCGCGGTTGGCGAGGAGTCAGGGCATGAACACAGACGTCCGCAAGGGCGTCTTCAACGTGCTCATGAGTAGCGAGGTGCGTCTGCCTCTCTCTCTCTCGATCTATCCTCGTCCTCGGCCTGGCCTAGCCGAGCGTGAGCTCACGAGCGTTCGTGTGAACGCAGGACTACATCGACGCCTGCGAGCGCCTGCAGCAGCTCGGCCTGTCGGACGTGCAGCAGCGCGAGATCGCCCGGGTCCTCTTGCAGTGCTGCGGCAACGTGCGTCCAGTCTCGCCACCTCGCGACCTGCATGCCGAGTCCTGATCCACCTTTTTGTCGCCTGCAGGAGAAGGTCTACAACCCGTACTACACGCTCGTCGCCTCGCGCCTGTGCGCCAAGTCGCACTCGTTCCAGATCACGCTCCAGTACATCCTGTGGGACTTTATCCGCAGCGACCTCGGCGAGCAGAGCGTCGGCGGCCAGGAGCTCGTCAAGAACCTTGGCGGCCAGGCGGCCGCGAGCGACGACAACAAGGTCCCGCCGCGCAAGATGACGCACACGGCCAAGTTCTACGCGTGGTGCATCGCCAAGGGCGCCCTGTCGCTCGCCGTCCTCAAGGTGCGCCCCTCGTCCTCCCTCGTCGTTTCCCTCTGTCGCGCACGGACCCCCTGACCTCCTCGACCCGCAGCCGATTCCCTTTGCGACGCCGCTCCCCGCCACGCGCACCTTCCTCATCCAGCTCATGTCGCACGTCATCCTCGCGACGCAGACGCCCTCACCCGCATTCGCGCTCCCGACGGCGGCGACCAAAAAGGACCGCGCCGCGCTCGAGCGCGTCGTCGTCCTGTGCGCGCCGCACCCTCGGCTGCAGCGAGGGCTCGCGCTCTTCCTCGACCCCGAGGGCGGTGCGGGCGCAACGCTCGCGGCGCAGTGGGTCGGCAAGAGGGTCGGCGAGAGGGAGAAGGCCGTCGTCAAGTGGGGGATGAAGGTCGCGCTCGAGACGCTCAGCGTTGGCGGCATCGTGCCCGGCGATGTGTAGCCTCTCGCTGTCATCGAAGAAGCTCCCTTGCAGTTGTTGCTCTCGCACATCAGAGAGGGCTTAGAGGCTCGTCCGTCGTTCCAGTTTGTCTGGCTCGCAAAGTGAGGAAAAGGAAGAGAGAGAGAGAGGTAGGGGTATCAAGGCGCTGGCTCACTGACTGAGCAGCGGCGCGAGGCGGATTAGACAGATGAGGGAAAGAGAACCACAACGAAGGGCGAGCACAACAAGGAGGTGGGGCGCACGACCGGGACGAGGGGAGGAACGGCCGGCGACGACGGAGAGATGGTGGAAGGGGAGGACAAAGGGACAGAGGGACATCGTGGGAGAAAGTCGAAGGGGGGAGAGAGAGAGAGAGATGTGTGGGTATCAAAGAGGAACTCATCGAGCTGGCCAAGAAACACGCCGTCGCCGCCACCGCCTCCTGCTCGCCGACCTCAACGCCGCGCCGTGTCCGCGCCGGCGATCGCGCGCAGCAGATCTCGCGCATCGACCCCTGCGCCCGCCTGCGTCGAGCCACCACTCGAGCCCGCCATTGCGCCACCAACTGCCGCCGCCGCCGCCGCAAGTCCCGCTCCCTCGCCTCCTGGCGCCGCCGCACCCGGCGCGGCCGCGCCGGCGCCGAGCTGCCCGAGGACGGCGTGCGTCTCCTTGCCGCGGTGGCGCACGTACGCGCTCGCGGCGCGCACAAAGCCCTCGAGGCGGTGCGCCACGTGCGCGAGCTGCGCCGTGCCGACGAGCGCGCGCTGGATCTCGGGACGGTCCGTCGCCGGCGAGGTCGAGGACACGCTGCTCGCCGCGAGGGACAGGTCGCCGGCGAGGACACGCTGCCCGAGGGCGCGGGCGTCGGCGAGGCTCGAGAGCGGGAGCGCCGAAAGCGGCGGGTCGGCGGCGGCGAGCGACATCGACGACGTGTCGAGTGTGCGGGCCATCTTGACCGGGTCGTCCCACGCGCGTTGCGGGGCCGGGGCTGCGTCGTGAGCGGCCGAGCGGCGGTCGAAGAAGGCCTGGTACGTCGGCTCGAGGGCGTGACGGCGGGCTTGCTCCTGGGCGATGCTGCGGGCGACGGGGAGTCAGTCTCCCGTGCGCCTTGGCGGAAGAGAGAAGGACAGAGAAGAAACGAGAGACGTACGCTGCGTAGGCGGCCTCGAGCTCGCCGAGACGAGCGGCGTTGGCCTCGTTTTGCGGGTGCGGAGGCAGGGTCGCCGGGTCCTGCGACGCGCTCGGCTCCTGCGGACACAGACAGAGTATGTCAGGAGCTGCGACACGAAAGGACATAGACACGAGAGAGAAAGGGAGAGGCGGACGCACCGAGAAAGGCACGCTCGTGTCGACCTTGAGGCGGCACACGTCGTCGACCCAGCTGTCGACGATCTCCCTCGCGGCGCGCTCGACCTCGTCGCCCTCGCCCTTGTCGCCGAGGCCCGACGGCGCGAGGACGCGGCCCCGGGTGCGCTGCGACGCCCAGCTGAGGAGGGCTCGGAGCCGCTTGGCGAGCGGGTCGGACGCGTCAGTCGAGCGGTACAGCTTGTCGTCGGCGACTTGCGGATGCGGGACGGCTGTGCGCAAGGGCGGGCGTCAGTGGACTCGTCGTACGGCGAGACGAGGATGCAGAGAAACGAGCGACGCACCGTCAAACCCGCCGCCGATGCTGCTGCCCCTCGTCGCGCTCCCCCTCACGCTGTTCCGCCTCGCACTCGCTGCACCCGATCCGCCCATCGTCCGCTGCACCGTCGCCGGCGTCCCCGGCCCAGCGCCGGCGCGAAACGCGATGTTCTTGACCTGGACGGGCGTCTCGTGCACGTGGACGCTCGCGCGGCCGTCGGCGGCGGCGGCGGCAGCGTCGTGCGGGAGCGGGTGCCGGCCCTGAGCGCGAGGCGGGGTCGCGTCAGGGCGGGCGCGGCGAGCCGAGGTCGAGGCGGCGGCGGCGTGCGAGGGAGGGTGGGCGGCCGAGTCGGGCGTGACGTCCGTGTCGGAGCCGGCGGCGTTGTCGTCCTCGGCGTCTGAGGTAGGCGAGGCGGGTCGCACGACTCGAGGGGCCTGTGAGAGGGGTCGAGAGGTGTCAGTGAGCTCGCTCTTGAGCGAGAGGGGGACGAGGAGGGAAGGGGAGGAATGAGCTCTCGGCGACGCACCTTGCCCTTGCCCTTGCCCTTGGCCGCGCTCGCCGCCTTGCTCCCTGCCGCACCTTGCGACTTCTTCTTGGCGTGCGGCGTCGGCGGGTTGGTCGTGAACGGGAACGGGTCGGCGGCGCCATCGCCTGCATCGTCGTCGTCGTCGACGAGGGCGGCGGCATAAGTCGGCGGCAGTTTGTTGACGCGTTGTGCGAGGTCGGCGACGGCTCGAGGCTGTTGCAGGGAGTCGATGCGAGTCAGTGAAACGCGTCCGACGCGTCGAGGGAGCGAGATCGAGTGGACGAACAACAAAGCCGCGGCGGGCGGGGGCCGGCGCAGGAGGAGCGCCGCTGCTGCTCGACGCGACGGGTGCGGCGGCGGTTGCTAGACTGGACGAGGCGTTGTCGCCGTCGGCGTCTTGACCGGGCGCGACTCGTGGCCGTTTGGCGGACGACTTGGACCTCGAGGGTGCTGGTGCGGGCGGGTGGTCGGGCTCGTCGGCGGCGTCGTCTGGGTCGGACGCCGAGCGGTCGTCGCGATGGGGCCGCTTCTTGGCCTTGGACAAGGGCTTGGCCTTGCGCGCCGGTGCCGAGGTCGAGGCGTTGTTGGCGCGTGATGAGGACGAGTCGGCGCCGACAGGGTGGTCGTCGTCGTCCGGGGCGTGCTCGTTCGAGAGGCGGGTGCTCCTCCTGCGGCCGTTGTCGGCGATGACGGTGCCGCGGACGGGCTGGGGGCCCTTTGAGCCGCGGCGGCTGAGCTGCTTGGAGGCGGGCGGGGCGGGTTTGGCGCGTTTGGGCGGGGGCGGTTGGTCGTCGCTCGAGGGGTCTGGGTCGTCGCCGTACAGGTCAGGGTCGGGGACGGTCGACTTGCGGGCCCTTGACTGGGCTGGCGGACGGGGTGCGGGCATGGTGGTTGAGCGTGGGAGGTCGATGAGGGAGGAGGGGGGGGGGGGAGGGGGTCGGCGAGGAGCGAGGCGGGCCTGGGTGACGGGCGGGCGGCCGTGCTAGTGTGTGGCGCGGTGCAGGGTGGAGGTTGGGCACAGGTGGGCCGGGTGCATGCACGTGCAGCGAGCGGCGAGCGGCGAGGAGGACGAGGCGAGCGATTCGGCCCCAGAGGCGAACCACCTCGAGTCGCTCAACTCGCTCCCTCGACTCGCTCTGGCGTGCATGGGGACACCTTGGTCACACTCATAGCCACCTCACTCGATTTACTAGAGCAAGAACCGATTTACCCCGAGAAGAGGCCGCCAGCTCATCTCGTCGCCACCTCTCGCTCCCTCCACCCTCTCCCCCTCGCACCGCTACACGCTCGGCACCACCACACAGCCGCACAGCAGCACCTGCACTCGCCTTCAACAAGCGCCGCACCAGCCCCGGTACCCGCACCGCCCTTCGCCCCGCCTCCTCCTCCTCCTCCCGCAACCCCCGCTCCCCGCCATGGGCAACGACGGTGGCTCGATCCCCAAGCGCCACGAGCTCGTAAAGACCAAGACGACCCGCTCGCGCGACTCGGACGCCGCCCTCACCCACCAGCAGTGGGCCTTCTGCGCCCTGTCCAAGCAGCCCCTCCGCGCACCCGTCGTCGCGTGCCCGCTCGGCCGCATGTACAACAAGGACGCCCTCATCGCCCACCTCCTCGCCCCGTCACCCGCCGCCAGCCCTTACGGCCTCGACGGCCACCAGGTCGCCGGCCACATCCGCTCCCTGCGCGACGTCGTCACCCTCCGCCTCACCCCCAACCCGGCCCTCGACACCTCGTCGCGCACCGCCGCCGACAAGGACGACGAAGCGACCCTCGCCGGCGCCGCAGGCGCGTCGGACCGCCCACCGCCCGCCGCCTTCGTGTGCCCGGTCTCGCTCCGCGAGATGAACGGCTCGGTCCGGTTCGTGTACCGCGTCCCGTGCGGCTGCGTCGTGTCCGACTCGGCCCTGCGCGAGCTGCGCCGCATCGACCCGACCCCGTCGACGTCGACGTCGTCCTCGCCCGACGACGTCAGCGGCGGCGGCGCGCGCGCGTGCCCCGTCGACGGCGCGCCCGACGACGAGGCGAGCGCCGCCCGCGCCGAGCAGTACGTCCCGCTCAACCCCAAGGGCGAGGAGCTCGAGCGCATGCGCGAGGCGTGGGACGTCCAGAAGGCGCGCGACAAGGAGGACAAGCGCCTCGCCAAGAAGAAGCGCAAGGCGGCCGCTGGCGGCGACGGCGACGAGGTGGTGGCGGCGGCGGCGGCGGGCGAGGGCAGCAAGAAGGCGCGCAAGGCCGACACTGCGGCGGACGTGCGTGCGGCGGCGGCGGCGCACGCGCCCGCGGTCAAGGCGGGCGCGAGCGTGCCCCAGTTGTCGGCGACGCTCGCGGCCAAGCTCGCCGACGAGAAGCGCAAGCAGAGCCCGGCGATCGCGAGCCTGTACGTCAAGAAGGGCGAGGACGAGATGCGGGTGCGTCCTCCTTTCTCTCTCAGCGTCTCGAGGTCGAGCGAGCGCGCCCTGACCTGTTCTCTCGTGCGCCCGCGCAGGACAAGGACGGGAGGAGCAACTGGATGACGATCGGCTCGTACTCGCGGTTCTGAGCGCGTCGGGCTGTACTGCAAGGCGTCTGTGTTGTTGTCCCTCGAAAGCGCGAGCTCGAGAGCAAGCGAGAGGAACTTGTCAAGGTGCGAGCGAGAGGGCCAAGTCCATCAGGTCGTCCACGCTTCCAGCGCCCTCCCTCGTCCGCCTCACCGCATAGGATGCTGCTCCGCTCAGCATATCCACGCCTGCCTCTCCTCAGCACCCGGCGAGCAGCACGGCACCTCCCTGCGGCCTCGTTCGCCCTCACCTCGCCTCGTCCCCCGCCCCCACACCTCGCACCTCTCGCCAGCTCTCGTCTCCTGTCCAGCTCGGCAGCGACACAGGCGCTCATCCCCTACGTCGTCACGCGAGAGGTGCGCACCCGCTCCCTTCTCCTCTGCCCTCCCCCGTCGTTCTCGGCCACTGACGCCTCGTTGCTCGGTGCTCGCAGCCGAGGGGCGAGAGGGTCTCCGATGGTGCGCCTGGCTCCGAGCGAGGGCGCAAGAGAAGCAGTACCGAGTGCTGACACCCCGCTCCCGCCTGCAGTCTACTCTCGACTGCTGCAAGAGCGCATCGTCTTCCTCAACGGCCCGGTGCGTCGCTCGACTCGCTCCTCTCGGCCCGCCGGCTCTCACGCAGGGCGTGCGGCGCCTCCTCGGAGGTGTACCGACTGCTCACTGAGCCCTCGCCCAACCCGCAGATCGAGGACGCCCTCTCATCGGTCACGGTCGCCCAGCTCCTCTTCCTCGAGGCCGAGTCGTCGGCGCCCATCTCGCTCTACATCAACTCGCCCGGCGGTAGCGTCACCGCCGGGATGGCCATCTACGACACGGTGCGCTCGGCGTTCTCCTCTCTCTGCTCGTCCTTCTCGCCTGTCGAGGCGAGAGGACAAGAGTTGACCATTCTCGGCCGCGTGCAGATGCAGTTCGTGCACTGCCCCGTGCACACGATCGTCGTCGGCCAGGCGAGCTCTATGGCGTCCCTCATTCTCGCCGGAGGTGCGTCGACCGCGGTTTGTGTCGGTCCCTCGTCCTCGAGAGCGAGGAGCTCACGGCCCTTCCCCTTGTTGCGCCCACAGGTGAGCCAGGGCACCGCAGCGCCTTGGCGCACTCGTCGGTCATGATTCATCGTGCGTCCTTGTTCTCTCTCTCTCTTCCGCGTGTTTCGTCGTCGACCCGCCGTCGCCCTCGTCGCAGAACCCTCGGGAGGCGCAGGAGGACAAGCCTCGGACATCTCGATCGTTGTGCGTCTCGCTGCATCTCCTTATGGGTTCTCTCTCGCACAGTCGCGCCGAGACTGATTCTTCGATCGACGGCAACTCGCAGGCCAACGAGATCCTGCGCATTCGCGAGAAAATGTTCGACCTCTGTGCGTCGAGCCTCTCTCGCTCCCTCTCTCCTCGTCGTGCACAGTCGGCGAGACAGTGAGGGTCGAAGGTGACGTTGATCCCGTCGCAGACGCCGACCACTGCAAGTTCCCGGACGAGGACCGCCAGGTGGCGCGAGAGCGCTTCGGTCCGTCCTCTCTCTCTCGCTTTCCTCCCTCTCTCCCGCTCGGTCGCCCTACCCCGTTCCTCATCGTACTGACCGCCCTGTTCGCCTCAATCTCCCTCGTCTCGCAGCCCGCATGCTCGACCGCGACCACTACCTGACGCCGGACGAGGCGATCAAGCAGGGCATCATCGACCAGGTCCTGTCCAAGCGGCCGAGCGCAGGCGCTGCGGGTCCTGCGGGCGAGGGTGAGGGACGAGGAGAACGGGCGAACGCGCCGTAGAGGAACGAGGTGCAAGGACGTGTCCTGTCCGTCGAGCTGCGGCGCTGCGAGAAGTCCTGGGAGATTTCGAGAGCTCGCTCGCTGCACTTGCCTGACCGACTCGGCTCAGCGAGAGACGTTGTCGCACAAAAGAGAGAGCGTCTCGAGAAGCTTGTGCTTGCCGACGGCGTCTTGCGAGGACCGAGGACCGAGCAGTCCCGCCGCGAGCGATTCTGAGCGGTTCGAGCGAGCGCTGAACGGACTTTGCGCGCCGGGTAGCTAGTTGCCACCCTGGGCTGTCGTCAAGACGCGGTAAGCGCACGCTCAGGTGGCCGCGACGGCGCGCAGGCTCGAGGAGAACGGTCGACGCCCGAGGGACCGTGCACGGCCGAGCCGCACGACAGCTGTCTCGAGCCGGCTTCCACTTTGTTCAGCAGCTCTTCTCGCCCGCTCTCGACTCTCGAGGCTCGGCGAGAACGATGCGACACCTTGTTGAGCAGGAGAAAGAGCCTCGCTGGCTCTCGCGAGAGGAGAGGTGGAAGGACTGGCGAGCTGCGGTTCGTATTACAGTTACACCGACCGATTGGCCCTCTGACGCGCCTGAAAATACCGCTCGAGCTCCCGTCTGAAGCGATTCCTCGTCGCGAGCGGCATGAGGTCGGCGGCGTCGACCGCGTCGAGCACGCGCTGCTCGCCGGTCGCCATGAGGGCGTCAAGCTCGAGCGGCGCGATACGCGGCGTGCCGAGATGGAGGATGGCCCACGTCCCGAGCGTCATGTTGACGACGAGCTGGCGGTACAGCTTGTTGAGGACGACGCACGACCCGGCGCCGAGCCACATGTTGTCGCGCGCAAAGGCGTCGGGGTCGCTCGCGAGGGCGTCGACGCCGCCCGCGGCCCACGACTCGAGGTACAGGGTGCGGGCGTCGCCTGCGCGCATGGCGAAGAAGTACCACGCGGCGCGTGAGCGCTCGACGACGATGCCGTGGGCGAACGGCGGGCGCGTGAGGACGGCGAGGAAGCGGTACGCCTCGGTGAGGTCGGCGAAGCGGTCGTCGCGGGCCTCGGCCAGCGACTCAAAGCCGGGTCGTGGGCGAGCCTCGGTCGACGTGATCGAGGTGACAAAGTTCTGGATGGCGGCGACGAGTTGGCGGTCAGGCTCGGCGCGACGAGGAGAGTGACGAGCGGGAGGGGACGCACCTCCCATGGCTTGACGTCGCCTGGATGACCCTGCGGGTCGGCCTGGGTGATGTCCTCGTAGAAGGTGGGCCTGCCAGGACCGTCCAAGCGGCGGTCCTTGTGGGCGCACACGAGGTCGAGCTCTCGGGCCGTGAGCGGCGGGATGTAGAAGACATCGGGGTCGCGCTTGCACAGGACCTTGTGCGTCGGCCAGAGCTGTGTCGAGGAAGGGCGGTCAGCTGCGGTGGAAGGGGGTCGACGCCGTGTCGAGAACGCCGAGGTGGGGGAGAAGGAGGGGTGGGACGCACGAGGGTCTGGCAGCGCCTTGAGCAGAAGCGTACGGCTTTGCAGGCACTGCAGTGGCTGGTGGCGGGTGTTGGGCACACGGCGCACTGGCCAGAGCGAGCTGGGGGAGCAGTGCTCATCGCAACTGATGAAGAGGGCGGGTTGGACGACGGCGAGCGAGGCGAGAGCGGCACTTGCGGCGGGCAGCTGGGGTGCAGGTAGGGCGATGTCTGTAGCTGATTGCAGTGGTGCACAGGTTACTCTGGCCTGGTGCGAGGCGTGAGAGAGCGGGGCGAGGTTCGAGTCGAGCTTGAGCTCGCCTTCATCAGCTCACGGCTCTCTCTCTCGCCCTCCCTCGACCCAGCTACAGCTCCAGGCCCCGCCATGAGCAAGGCCAAGCAGACCGTCTTCGCCGACCTCGAGCCTCAGCTCCACCCGCTCCTCCTTCGCGCCCTCTCGTCCCTCTCGTTCCCCGTCCCGACCCCGATCCAGGCCACCCTCATCCCGCTCGCGCTCGAGTCGAGCCGCGACATCCTCGCCCGCGCACGCACCGGCAGCGGCAAGACCCTCGCCTACGCCATCCCGCTCGTACAGGGCATCCTCCAGCGCCGCGACCGCAACGAGCTCGACGGCACCCGCGCCCTCGTCCTCGTCCCGACCCGCGAACTCGCAGAGCAGGTCCGCGGCCAGCTCAACAAGCTCGTCGACGGCCTCGGACTCGGCGACCAGGACGGCGACCGCATCCGCGTCGCCAACCTCGTCGGCGACCACGCCTCGACCCGCAAGAAGCGTAAGCACGCAGCCGGCGAGCGCATCGAGCGGTCCGTCCCTTGCTCTCCCTGCACTCTCTTCGACACTGTCGGGCGTCGTACTGACCTTGCTGCCCCGGCCCCGACAGGATGCAGCTCGCCGACCGCCCCGAGATTGTCGTCGCGACGCCCTCGCGCGCGCTCGCCCATCTTCGCGCCGAGGTCCGTCCCCTCGTCCTCCTCCTGCCTCCCCTGCGCAACCTTTACTGACCGCTCGACGCGCTCGCCAACAGACGCTGCACCTCGAGCACCTCGACTACCTCGTCATCGACGAGGCCGACCTCATCCTGTCGTTCGGCCACTCGAGCGACGACATTCGCTCGATCCTGTCGGGCCCGTGGGGCCTCCCCAAGGTGTACCAGAGCTTCCTCATGAGTGCGACGTTGACGGGCGAGGTCGAGGAGCTCAAGGGCGTCGTCCTGAGGAATCCGGTCCGTCCTCCCTTCTCTCCTTGTCTCTCTCCTCCTCGAGATCAGCACTGACTCGCTCTTTCGTCGCACTTAGGTCGTGCTCAAGCTCGAGGAGGACGAGGACGAGCTCGCCAACCTGTCGCAGTACTGCGTCCGGTGCGTCCCCCTCTCGCTCCTTCTTGCGGTTGGGTACCTCGGCTCACTCTCCCTCGCCCTCTCCCTCTCCCCACAGCTGCTCCGAGGAGGACAAGTTCCTGCTCTTATACGTCATCCTCAAACTCAAGCTCATCAAGGGCAAGTGCCTCATCTTCGTCAACGACACGGACCGCGGGTACCGCGTCAAGCTGTTCCTCGAGAAGTACGGCATCAAGAGCGGCGTCCTCAACGCCGAGCTTCCCTTCAACTCTCGGTGCGTCGCACGTTCTCTCTTCTCTTGTCGGTGTGCAGCTTGGTCCCTCGTCTTCGAGCCGGCACTGATCCTTGGTGATTGCGCGTGCACAGGTACCACGCCGTGCAGGAGTTCAACCGCGGCGTGTTCGACTACCTCATCGCGACCGACGAGAGCGGCCTCGAGGGTCACGACCGGGATACCAACGAGGAGGAGGAGGCACAGGTCGAGGCAGAGGGCTCGGGCAGTGCGTCCTCTCTCTCGCCCTCTTTTTCCGCCCGTCCTCGTCCGTATTGACCCGCACTCCCTCTCACCGGCGCAGTGATCACGACCCAGCCTTCTGCTGCGGGCGACAGCGACGCCGCCGCCGCCGCCGACGCGCCGACCGCCGCACCGGCCGCGTCCAAGAAGCGCAAGCGGTCCAAGGACGGCTCGGGCTCGTCTCGGCCGTCGACGTCCGAGTACGGCGTGTCGCGCGGCGTCGACTTTGTCGACGTCGCGTGCGTCATCAACTTTGACCTGCCGTTCTCGTCGCGGTCGTACACGCACCGCGTCGGGCGCACGGCGCGCGCCGGCCGCACGGGCACGAGCCTGTCGTTCATCGTGCCGCGCGACCAGTGGGGCAAGCAGAAGAAGAATGACGTGAGCCTCGAGACGGCGCGGTACGACGAAAAGGTGTGGGCCCGCATCGAGAAGGCGCAGCGGGCAAAGGCGCAGGAGATCAAGGAGTACCGGTTCGACCTCAAGCAGGTCGAGGGCTTCCGGTACCGCATGGAGGACGGCCTGCGCAGCGTCACCAAGGCGGCCGTCCGCGAGGCGCGCATCAAGGAGATCAAGAACGAGGTGCTCAACTCGGAAAAGCTCAAGGTGCGCCTCGGTCCTCTCCCTCCTTCTCTCCTTCCCTCTCGAGGTTCAGCTTCTAATCCTGTCCCTGTTCTCGTCGCCCACAGGCCCACTTCGAGGACAACCCTCGCGACCTCGCCTTCCTGCGCCACGACAAGACGCTGCACCCGTCGCGCGTCCAGCCCCACCTCAAGCACGTCCCGGGTTACCTCATGCCGCGCATCGCCGCTGTCGGCGCCAACGACGCGGCTGTCGCGGCGGCGGCATCGGCGGCGGGCCCGGGCGCGGCAGGCGACGGCGACGGCCCCGTGCTCGGCAACGTGCCGTTCCACAAGCCGGGCCGCGGCGGCGGCGCACGAGGAGGACGCGGCGGGCGCGGCGGAGCGAGGGGCGGCGGACGCGGTGGCGCAGGAGGTGGACGTGGCGGCAAGAGGCAGGATCCGCTCAAGGGCGGCGCGTTCAAGTTCTCGGGCAAGAAGTGAGGGGCCTGAGCGCGAGGAGGCCGAGGAGGAGGGGCGACGACTTTCGCTGTAGCTCGCGCACGTGTTGTACGACTTGCGGCTCTCCCTCGGACGCGACTCTCGCAGCGAGCCTGAGCGACAAAAGAGAGGCGCGAGCACGAGTGTCCTTGCAGAGAAACGAAGCGAAACGACAAGGGAGGGGGAGAGGCAGGATCAGGACAGAGACTTGCAAGCTTGCGCGCTACGAACGACGAGGGAGCTGTACACAGAGGAGGGAGAGAGAACACGGTCGACACTCAAGCGAACCCGCCGCCACCACCGCCAGCCTTGCGCTCCCTCTCCTGCGCGAGAATCTTCTCAGCCTGCTCCCTCGCCCTGCGCGCCTCGTCGTCGCCCTCGCCGTACGCCGGCAGGTCCTCGTTGCGCTCGTGCTCGCCCGACTGCCCGTCGAGGGACGACGACGAGCCCCACCCGGCCGCGTCGAACGTGCCCGGCATGCTGAGCGGCGGGATCGCGCTCTGCGGCGCCGCGCCCGCCGGAATCGGCTCGTGCGCGTGCGCGTGCGCCGTCGCAAAGCTCGACGTCGAGCCCGAGCCCGAGCCCGACAGGGTCGAGTTGCGGCGCGGGCTCAAGGTCCCGCTCGAGGGCCCGCCCGTGCCGAGGATGGGCGCGCCCGTCTCGGCGACGGTGGGCTCGGGAGGCGCCATGCCCGGGCTCGTGTCGACGCCGGGCGGCGAGAGGTCGACGGCGACGGCCGTCGCGGCGCGGGTCGGCGACGTCGGGAGGACGGGCGAGGTCGGCGAGAGGTTGATGCGCGAGGCGGCGCCGGGCGAGAGGGGCTGGCTCGCGCGAGCGGGGAGAGGCGGCGGGATGCTCGAGGGGGAGGGTGACGAAGCGCGAGGAGGGAGAGGCGGCGGCACGCCGTGATGGGACGACGACGACGAAAAGGATGACGTGTCGAGCTCGGCCTGCGAGTGGAGCGTCGCGAGAGGCGGCGGGTGCGAGATGTGGTGGTGGTGCGCGAGAGCGGGTGCGTGCGCAAAGGCGTTCGCGGGCGAGTCGTGCGACGAGGGCGCCGATGAGGGGGGTCCGTGCGAGTCGAGCTGCGAGAGCTGCGGGCCGTGCGTCTCGCCGAAGCTCCTGCGAACGGAGTGTGTCAGGTGGGTCGCAGGTGGAGAAGGAGAGAAGGGACGCACCTCGTGTCGCTGTGGTTTAACACGCTCGCGCCATCATCGTGCGCCTGCTCGTTGAGCTCTGGCGCCGGTCCCGGCGTCCAGCCAGCGAGCGCCGCCTCGAGCTCGACCTTGACGCGCGCCGTGCGCTCCTTGCCCTTGTACTCGTTGCCGGCGCCCTGCGTCTCGAGGCCCTGGAGGAGGAGCTCGCCGTACGCGGCGACGAGGGCCGACTTGTCGCCGAGGGCGCGCTGCGCCATGAACTGGCGCGAGAAGGCCTCGTGCAGCTTCTGGCGCTTGAGGACGGCGAACGACTGCTCGAACGTGCGGTTCTCGGCCTCGACCTGGGCGTGCTCGGCGCGCAGCTTGTGCAGCTGCTCGGACGCCTTGAGGTCGGCCTTGGACGTGGTGGCGGCGGCCGCCTCCTTGCTCAGGGTCGCGATCTTGTTGGCGAGCTGCTTCTCGTTGCGACGACGAGGGACGAGGTCGTTCTCCATGTTGCGCTGCGGGGGCGAGTACTAGGTGAGCAACGGGTTCGGCCGAAAGAGAGGGAGAGAGGACGGGGGGACGCACAATGTCCTTGAGGATGGCGCGGCTCTCCTCGACCTTGTTGGCGCACTCTTGCTCGAGCTCGCTCGTCTTGAAGAGCATCCACGCGAGGCGGTCGCACGTGTCGGCGACGTCGAGGCCGTCGTCGTCGCGGGACCAGGTGAAGAGCTGCTTGGCAAACACCTGCTGCTCGCGCGCGAGGGCGTGGCGGTCCTGGACGCAGCCGCTGAGCGACTTGATGACGAGCTGGAGCTGGAGCGTCTCGGCGTGCTGGCGAGGGTCGACGCGCGCTGCGCCTTGGCGAGCGAGGTGGGGGAGGGCGGAGAGGGGCGGCACGCGCTCTTGTGCGCGCGACAGGAGCGACGAGATGCTGGTGCGGGTCGTGGGCTTGTCGTTCTCGCTCATGGTGCAGATGGGCGGGCAAGGGAGGTGAGAGAGAGGGAAAGCGAGGGCGAGAAAGACCGACAGACGTCGGTGAGCGAGGCGGTGCAAGCTCCTCGGCGGCAAGCCCGGCTCCGCATGACACACCTTTCTTTCGCTGCGGATTGCCTCGCTCCAAGACGGAGGCAAACACACTCGGCCTTGAACTGCGTGTCGAACGAAAGCTTGGTACAAACGAGCGCGAGAAAGTACGACAAAGACACGCCCGCCCCGAGGACCGTGCACCGCTCCTGCTCCTTGCCCCTCGCCTCCTCCCGCTCAGTACCGCCCCGCAGCATGCGGCGCACCGTGCACCGTGTGCCCTCCTGCTCCTGCGCCCGGGCCGCCGACGGCGTGACCCGCGCCGAGGCCCGAGTGCTCCGCCGCCGCCTTGCCCTCGGTCTGCTTGATCTCGCCGATGGCGACCTTGCCCGGGTTGTGCGTGAGCTGCGAGAGTGCGAGGTGGGTCGAGTCGAGAGGTCAGGCTCGGGCGTACAGCACGAGAAAGTGCAAGAGAGAGGACGGACCTTCCCAATGGCAACGTCGACTTTGCCTGCGAGCGAGACGAGGCATGGTCAGGTCCTGCCCCCTCTGCTCGAGCCCGATGAATCCAGAAGCAGAGACGCACCCGAGAGCTTGTCACCAAAGCTAGGCTTGGGCACGGTCGTCGTGGTCGTCGTGGTCGTCGTGCCCGGGTCGCCCGGCTTGAGGCCCGTCGAGCCAGCGACGTGCGACGCGTGCGCCGAATGGTGGTCGTCTGTGGGAGTGTGCGGAGGGCGAGCGTCAGGACCTGACGAGCGAGGAAGGGTGTCGCGCAAGGAGAGGAGGGAAGGGACGCACGAGCCGCCGAGTGGGCCTTGGTGCCGGGAACTGTGACCGCGCGCGTCCTGGTCAGTGTCTTCTCACGTCGCCGTCCCCTCAATGAAGAGAGAGGACGCACCCATGCTCGCGACGCCCGCTCCGCCGTGCCCGCTCCCACCCGTCGCCTCGGTGCTCGTCGCGCCGTACCCTCCCGGCCGCGCTCCCTCGTGCCCAAAGCCCGCAGCGCCCCTCGCCGCCGTGTCGTACCCATGCCCATGTCCCGGGTGCGTCGCCTCGTACGCCTTGGTGCCCGGGACCTTGCTCGCGATCCCTCCTCCTCCCCCTCCTCCGGCCGTGGTGGTGCCGTGCGCAGGCGGCGCGCTCGTGAGGACGCCGCCCTGGGTCGAGCCGTGGCTCGCGACGGGCTGCGCGACGAGAGCGTCGGCGGCGGCGTCGGCGGCGTTGGACTTGCGGCGCGAGCCGGGGAGGAGCGACTTGAAGACGTCGCCCATGGGCTTTGGCCGCTCGCCGGGGTAGGGGGCGTAGGGGTCTTGCGCTGCAGGGGCGGGTTGAAGGCGGATCAGCTGGGCCCAGAGAGAGAGCCCTCGTGACGTGGGTGAAGGGCTTCGGGTGAGGTGGGGGACGGGCGGGAGGAGGGCGAGGAGGACGGGGAGAGGGCGAGAGGGGGGCGCACTGTAGGCTGTTCCGCCGAGAGCACCGTAGCTCATTGTAGCTTGGTGTGGTAGAGAGAGGGAGAAGCAAGAGCGAGAACTGCGCCAAGCGGAGCAGGGAGGAGGCACGCGGTCCGCCGGCGCTGCCGCGTGACGTCGTCGAGCTGCGCACGCCCGCAGAGCTGAGGCCTGAGGCTACAGCGCAAGCAGCTGAGCGTGTCGGAGGCTACGAAGAGCTGTGCGGGCGAGCAGTAGAGCTTGCGCCCTCGTCTCGTCGTCGGCCCCACTCGGCTCGACCTCTCTCCGCATCTCTCGCCTTGTGCACCAGCTCGAGCACCTGTGCGATGACTCAAGACGCCCTCAGCAGCTCATATGCACGCCCTGCACCCAACTCTGGTGCGTACCCGGCCCCCCTCAAGTCCCTCTCCTCCTCATCTCGCTGACTCTCGCACGCACGTCCACAGGCCTCAGCACACCTCGAGCACCCCCAGTTACCTGCCCAGTACCGCCAGATACTACGTCTCGCGCCACTCCAGCTTCTGCAACGTGCGAGCCGGTCGCATCCAGCTCGCGAGAAGCGGACGAGGCGTGCGAGTCGAGCGGCGAGCGGGTTTCGGCGTACGGCGGCACGGTGGACGATAGCGCGATGATCGGGCGGGACTCGGCTGGGGACGACGGTCAGAGTGAGCGGCGGGACCAAGGTGCGTGTCGAGACGTCGACCTCAGCCTTGCCTGCTCCTCCCCTCCTTGCACCTCGCACCTCGCGCTCTCGCGACTGCCCGTTCCCCTCACAGCCGACCCGCAGCCTGACTCTCTTCCTCCTCCCACAGCTGCTGGACCGTCCTCCTCCAGCGCCGCCGTCGCCGCTCCTCCACCCCCACCGCCCGACAAAGCGCTCGACCCGACGCACCACCGCCCGAGCGCGCCTCGGCTCCACGAGCGCAACTTTGGCGCGCTCGGCAGTTGAGCGGCGGCAGGGAGGGCACAAGGAGGTCCTGCTGGACGAGAGGAGAATTGCCGGGACGAGACGCAGAACGAGGAGCGTCGAGGAGAAGGAGGAGGAGCACGGCAGTGGGCAGGTCGTCTCTGCGAGCCGCGGCGGAGCAGTACTTGCCGGTCCTGCATCGTTTTACAAGGCTCGGTTCGACAGAGCGGTTCGCGTGCGCCAGAGATCCGAGAGGCGCAGAAAGAGAGCTTCCCTCGCCGCAGTTGCTCGCTCTCGCTCTCTCGCTCGCGTCGGCACGACCTCGAGGCAGGACTCGATCGTATTGCGAAGGATGGATCGTGAGGGCGCGTGATGAGTACGTCGGGATCAACAGGGCGCGGGGCGCAGGGGACGAGGGTTGAGAGGAAGGGAGGGAGGGAGGAAAAGGGGGGTAGTCGAACGTCCGTGGTATGAAGTGGCGCGCAGCAGCGAGGGAAAGACGAAAGAGTGTCGAGGTGGAAGAGAGATCGAGCCAATCACTGTGTGGCAGACTTGGTGAGCGAGAGAAGGGCGAGAGGGAGAGAGGGCAGAAGGGGGGCGCACCTGGTTCAGGATCTGCTTGACGAACGAGACATAGTTGATGTTGCCCTCGCTGTGGTGGGGACGAGTCAGTTCGAGTCGGGCTCGGGGCAAGAGAGAGAGAGAGAGGGGGGGGGGGGGACGTACGCCGTGACCTGGACGCCCTTGAGGAGGTCGTCGACCTCGTCGTTCGACAGCTTCTCGCCGAGGCTCGTCAGGACGTACTTGAGCTCGCCCTGGCCGATGTAGCCGTTGCCCTCCTTGTCAAACACCTGGAAGCCGCGGATGAACTCGTCTGCGGCGTCGAGGCGAGTGAGTGGGCGCGTCGAGGGAGCGCGAGAGGGGAGAGGGAGGGGACGGACCCTCGGTGCCGGCCGGGTCAAATCCGCCGGGGCGGTTGAGGATGTCGAGGAAGGTGTTGTAGTCGATGTCGCCCTGGCAGCGGGCAGCGAGGTCGTGGACGTCCTTCTGGGTCGGGTTCTGGCCGAGGGCGCGGAGGACGTCGCCGAGGGAGTCCTGGGGGATGGCGCCTGCGCCGCGCTTGTCGAACAGGGCAAAGGCTTCCTTGGCTGCGAGTGTGGGAGTGGTCAGGGACGGGTGAGGGGCGAGGGCGAGGGGCGTGTGTTGGGTGAGAGGAGCGTGGAGGGAGCGAGGAGCGAGAGGGCTCACCTTCGTCGGCGGACTGCGTTGGGGTGCGGGTTCAAGGTCAACTGGGTTCCTGTTGCAGTGCGAGAGAGTCCTGGTGCGCACCATGGCTCGAGTGTGGGTGTGGGGGGAGGACGAGAGCCAGACGGCCAGCAGGACGACAACGACGACGACGACGAGGCGTCTCTCTTCGCACTCACCCACTGTGCTTGCTTGCTCTAGTTCAGTCTCGCTCAAGCACTGCTCCAAGCCTCGCCGCCCAACCCGCCCGTCGCCTCGTCCAGCTCCCACCACTCTCCTCCCCTCTCCACCATGGCCTCGTCTCCCCACGCCATCGTCTCGCCCTCGGTCCTTGCCAGCAACTTTGCCGACCTCGGGAACGAGATCAAGCGTATGATGCACTGCGGCGCACAGTGGGTCCACATGGGTCAGCTCTCTCCTCTCCCTCTCCCCTCTCTCGTCCTCCTGCCCCACTCACCTCTCCCTCGCTCCTCCCTGCAGACGTCATGGACGGCCACTTTGTCCCCAACATCACCATGGGCGCACCCGTCCTCGCGAGCGTCAACAAGACGGTCGACAACGTCTTCATGGACTGTCACATGATGGTCGCCGACCCGGCAAAGGTGCGCCCCTCGTTTCGCCCACAGTCCCGCTCGACCGCACGCTCACCCTGCCCTCACATCGCACCGCAGTGGGTCAAGCCTGTCGCAGAGGCCGGCGGCAAGTCGTACACGTTCCACATCGAGGCCCTCTCGCACCCTGGTCCGTCCCTCCTCGTCCTCTCCCTCGAGCGCGCCCGCCCTGACCCGCAAAGCGCCCACGCAGAATCGGCGCACGAGCTCGTCGAGCTCATCCACTCGACCGGGATGCGCGCCGCCGTCGCCATCTCGCCCGACACGCCCTCGAGCGCCATCTCGGACAAGCTCGGCGAGAGCGTCGACATGCTCCTCGTCATGACCGTCGTCCCCGGTCCGTCCCCTCGCCGTCTCTCGCTCTCTATAGTTCCCTCGTCCTCGCCCCTCCCGAGACTGACTGTCGTCCCGCGTCCGCAGGCGCCGGCGGTCAAAAGTTCATGCAGTCGTGCGTGCCCAAGGTCGCAGAGCTGCGCACCCGGTTCCCGACCAAGGACATCCAGGTCGACGGTGGTGTCGGCCCGGGCACGGTCGGCTGCTGCGCGCGCGCCGGTGCGTCTCGCCGGTCCTTCCTTCCTTCTTCCTCCTCCTCGAGCCCGCCCTCAGGGCGAGGCCTCACTTGCCCCGATTAAGGCGCACCCGTCCTGACGGTCCTCGCCGCTCAACCCTGCAGGCTCGAACGTCATCGTCGCCGGCACGGCCCTGTTTGGCGCCGACAAGCCCGCCGAGGTCATCGCCGACTTCAAGCGCCAGATCGACGAAAGCAAGAGCAAGTGGGGCACCGACGGCGCGCTCGAGGACAAGTAGAGCTCGACGAGCGAGCGTCGTAGAAGAGTGTCCATAGGCTGTGCAAGGAACGCGTCGTCTGCAGTCGATCCGCCTCTGGAGAGAGAGCAAGCCGTCGTTCCCCTTCTGCGCGCCTGCGCTCGCTCGCTTGGCTACTCGACCGTCTGCTCGTCGGGTCGATCCTTCTCGTCGCGCGTGCGCCGGGCAACCTCGGCGGCCGTGCGCCGACTTGACTGCTCGTTTTGGAGCGACGGCCGTCGCTCGCGCTCTCGCTCCCTGTTCGAAGCCTTCTTTCTCTTGTGCCTCGCCTCGAGCGCGTCGTCGCGAGCGCTAGAAGGGCGAGAGCGCTACAGTACAGTGCGCACGGCCGTCGCTGAAGCCGCTGCAGCAGCTACTTCTGCTCGAGACGTCGCTCGAGCTTCTGTGTGGCGTCGTCTCTCAGCGACAGGCCAGCAGAGCCGCCGAGAGCTACATCGACAGGCCACCGAGCGTCGCTTGAGCAGCACCAGACGCGTGAGCATGCGCACGGGCCCCGAGGGCGCAGCCTTCCCAAGTCGCGAGTCGCGCTTTCCTCGCCTCGCGCTCTCGATTGAGCGTCCCGGCGCTCGCACACACGGTGCCAGAGACGTTGGCGAACGTCTGAGAGACGCGTGGCAAGGTTCTGCGGGACAGCGCTGCCGCCAGAGAGCTTGGGTCCTCGAGGCTCTTCCCCCCGGACCGCTTCTCGGCCGTCTGCGTCGCCAAGCACGCTGTCCGAGGCTCTCTCGTCTCTCTCGGCGCCCCTCGTCTCGACAGAGAGGTGCGGCACAGGCGCAAGAAGGAGGAAGAGGATCCCGACGCGCCGTCGTTGCACAACCAAAAGGGTGTCGCGCAACACGCTTTACGCCTCCTTCTCGACGACGTTGCCCTTCTCGCTCACGTAGATTCCGTCAAGGAACTTGCGGATGTCCTTGTTGCGGACGAGGGTGCAGCCGTGGATCGACGCGGCCGACTGCGAGACCATGTCGACGTCGTTGCCCTCGAGGACGATCTCGTCCTTCTGCGCCTTGGACTCGGAGATGGTGACACCCTCGAGGAGCTCGACGTTGCGGACGCGCTTCTCGCCGAGGAAGTTGCTGTGGGGCGGCGGGGCCAAGTCAGGCGAGCCTTCTCGAGGGGTACGAAAGGGAGAGAGAGAGGGGAGGACGGACCGGATCTCGACGCTCTTCTTGTCGTCGGCGATGATGACGTTGATGGGGAAATGCGCGTACACGAGGCGCATCTTGTACGCAAAGCCGTACGTGACGCCCGTGATCATGTTCTCGATCTGGGACCGGATCGTGCGCAGGCACGCAACGTGCTTGCGCGCGCCGTGCCACACGACGAGCTTGACCTTGGCCGGGCCAACCTTCTGCTCGATGACGCGGATCGACATGGCGACGTGCTGCGCGTTCTGTTGAGGCGAGAACGGGTGCCGCAGGTCGAGGTGGTCGGAGCGAGGCGAGGTGGGGGCGGACCGAGGGCGGGCGGCAGGGCAACGCGGTGTCGACGGGATGGCGTAGGAGGGGGAGCAGGGCGGTGATCGTGAGGCGAAGGCAGGGCGCGGCGGGAGGGGCGAGAGGAGAGAGGCGGCGAGCACGGTGAGCACTCGCTCCGAGAGAGAGAGGGGGAGCCAGGGGGCGCACCTTCTGGAGCGTGCCACGCGGGCCGGTGACGGTGATGACACGGGCCTTGACGGCAACCGTGACGCCCTCCCTGCAGGACGTGGATAGAGCGAGTCAGTCGCAGGGTCGAGGAGATCGAGGCGAGGGGAGAAGGGGGAGAAGCGAGGACGCACGGGACAACGAGCTCCTCTTCCTTGTAAATCTGGAGCATGCTGTGGGTGCGTCGCAGGCGGATGCGCAGTGCAGGTAGGCGGTACGAGTGCGAGGTCGAGGTCGAGGTGGGCGACGAGGGAGGAGTGGGAGGGAGGCGAGAGGTCAGCGCTCGTTCAGGCGACGGGTGGACCGGCTGCTGTTGGGCCGTGCGGCGGGTGCAAGGCTCGATGCGACGACTGGCTGCACTGAGCGGGACCTGGCTGTGCTGCGGTGGCCGTGTTGGCGGCGTCGAGCCCGCTGCGAGCGCGAGCCTGGTCCCAGCTGCCGAGACGCGCCGCTCGCCCGCCCGCATGCCGCCCGCGCCAAGCCCGCCGCTGGTCCCGTTCTGGCCGCATGGTCGGCGTAGACGCTCTGAGCGCAGGTTGGACCGGCGGAGCGAGTGCTGGCGGTGGTGGGCGACCTGTCGAAAATTGGAGGGTGCGAGGCGAGGGGTGGTTTGACGGGCGGCGAGGGGCGAGGGGGGGCGTGACGGGGTACGGGTGGCGAGTGTGCACCTTGCGAGAGTGGTGGAGCAAGAGCTTACGTCGGCAGAAGAAGCGGGCGACGAGTCGGAGAGGAGGAGGAGGCGCGCTCGCCTCCGCGGACGACGACGACGACGAAGGCGAGGCTCGCCCTCCCTCCCTCCGTCCTCCCTCTCCCTCGTGGCGCATCTGCCCCAGTCCAGCGAGGCTCACTCTCACCACATGTCGTGGTACCCGCCGCCGCAAGACCCCTACGCCGCCGCCTACGGTGGCTACGCTCCCCCCCCTCCTCATCCTCCAGCACCACAGCCCGCCTACTATGGCTACCAGGCCCCGCCGCCGCCCCAGCAGCAGCCCTACCCGCCCCAGCAGCCTCACGCCTACGGCCGCTACGACTACGCAGCCTACGCCGGCTACGCCCAGGCCCCACCGCCTCCTCAACCCGCTCCTCCGCCTCCCCACTACTACGCCTACCACCACCACCAGCCGTCCCACTCGCCCGCACCTCCACCCGTCGCGTCCCCGCCCCCGCCACAGCACCAGCAACCCCCGCCGCTCCGCGAGGGCGAGCTGCGGCCCCCACCCGACGTCGGCGTCGACCCCAACTCGTTCCGCCGCTTCTTCTCGCAGCAGCTCCAGGGCCTCACCTTCAACTCGAAACCCATCATCACCGCCTTGACCCTCTTTGCCCACGAGCACCTGTTGCGCATGAGCGGCGTCGTCGCCCAGTGCCTCGACGAGCACCTTCGTTCCGTGAGTCCCCTCTTCCCTCTCCCTCTCGAGGTCGTGCGGCGACGAGTACTGGACGGCGGCATGGGGCAGTCGAGAGGAAGGGTGGCGGCGCAGTGGCGGTGAAACCACGGATCCAGGAGACTCGGCACGCGAGCGCGTTCGGGCCCCGTTCTCGTCCTTCCGGTCGCACTCGGCGACTCGTCCCTCTCTCTCTCTCTTTGTCTCTCTCGCGCCGCGCCTCGTCGTCGTCTCGATGCTTGCTCTGCCTGCGCTGCTTCTATGCGCCTGTCCTCGCGACTCTCGATCGAGCGAGCGAGGGAAAGCCAGCCGCGAGGGCAAGGACGAGTTGCGCGAGCGAGCCGTTGCCCGCGCCGAGCACCTTTCCCTTTCTCTCGAGAGCAATGTCCCGACTGACCCTTGGTCCTCTTCCGTCGCCCTTTCCCCCTCGGTCACAGTGCCCGCCGCAACACGTCCTCCCGACCTTCTACCTCCTCGACTCGATCTCGAAGAACATCGGCCCGCCGTACCTCGCCCTCTTTGGCCGCTTCCTCGAGCGCGCCTTCCTCCAGGCGTACCACGCCGCCGACGCCGCGACCCGCACAAAGCTCGAGGAGCTCCTCGGCACGTGGAAGACGGGCGGCGCCGACGGCGGCGAGCTGTTCCGCGCGCACGACGAGCCGAGGGAGGGCGGCAAGGTGCAGAGGGGCATCGAGGGCGCCCTGTTTGGCGCGAGGGGCAGGGGCGACGGCATCGGCGGCAAGGCCGTCAAGGACGCCGACATGTACAACGCGGGCGTGCGTCCCCCTTCTCTCCCTCAGGGTCGTCCTGCACACGCACGACCGGAACTGACCCTCGCGTCTCGCCCTCTCGTCGCAGGTCCAGCAGGTGTCGCACACGGCCACGTCGACCGAGCGCTCGGGCGTCCTGTACGACGTGCGCCGGCTCCTCGCCCTGCGCACCGAGGCGCCGCCGGCGTCCGACCCGACCGCCGAGGCCAACAACCAGAGCCAGATCGTCGCCCTCAAGAAGCTCGAGAGCCTCATCCTCAACACCCAGTTGACGACCGAGCAGGTCAACCAGATCCGCGCCCAGCTCAAGGCGCTCACGCCCGCTCCTGCGCCGATCCCGTCGCCGTCACCCGCACCACCAGCACCTGTCGCCGCCGTCGCCGTCGCCGAGCCCGCCGCCGCGAGCCTCACGCCGCAGCTCCTCGCGCCGACGGCGCCCTCGTTCGCGCACGGGCACTCGCCCTCGCCCGCACCAGCTCCCGCCGCCGAGTCGACGCCCGCACCGTCAAGCCTCGTCGGCGGCATCGACCTCGGCCTCCTGTCGCAGCTGAGCGCGTCGGGCGCGCTCGCCAACCTGTTTGCGCCCGCCGCGTCGCCCGGACCTCCCTCGGCGGCAGCAGCGGCGGCGCCGGCCGTCAAGCTCGAGGACGCGTTCGCGCAAGGGCATGGGCACGGTGCTGGGCAGGTCAAGGCCGAGGAGGACAAGCCGCAGCCGCTCGGGCAGGGGCCGGACAAGGACGAGATGGCGCGTGGGTGGGAGGACGAGATCCTGAGGCTCAACGTCGGGCTCACGAACGCCGAGGTCGCAGTGTGCGTCCTCAGTCTCTCTGTCTCTTCTCACGTTGTCGTCGACGGCCGTGTCCGTCAACGCCTCGACTGACCCTTTCCCCCTCGCCTCGCGCCGCAGACCTCGCCCTCAAACCCCGTCGCTCCTGTACCTCGCGCTCGCGCTCCCGTGCGCCCAGTGCGGCCTGCGCTTCTTCGCGTCGGCGTCGGGCAAGAAGAAGATGGACCAGCACCTCGACTGGCACTTCAAGCACAAGCGGCGCGTGCGCGAGGCGGCGGGCAGGACGGCGGGCAGGGGTTGGTTCACGGGCGAGGAGGTGCGTCTCTCTCTCTCTCTCTCTCTCTCTCTCGCATCCCGACGCTCCGACCTGACCGACGAGGACGAGCGCCCGCAGGCATGGTACGCGTCGGACGAGACGACGGGCGAGGTCGCTCCCTCGGCCGGCTTCTCGACCTCGGGCCAGCCCTCGACGGGCAACGTCTCGTCGTCGTCCGCCGCAGGAGGCGCACCGACGATCGACCGCGCCGCGCTGCGCAAGCTCAAGGTGCCCGTGCCGCCGGCGTCGGCGACGTCCGAGGACGGCGGGCTCGGCGACAAGCCGTGCCCGGTGTGCCAGGACAAGCTCAAGAGCGAGTGGAGCGACGACGAAGAGGAGTGGGTGTGGTGGAACGCGGTCGTCGTTGACGGCACGGTGCGTCCTGTCTCTCGCCCGTCGTCTCGAAGCCTGTTTGCCCGCAAGCACGCACTGACCCTCTTTCCTCGCCCCCTTTCCCCCCTCAATCGTCCCTCGCGCAGCTGTATCACGCGACCTGCCACGCCGAGGCGACCCAGGCGCAGCAGCAACGCGCCGCCGCCGCATCGACGACCGGGACGGGCACGCGCGCGCTCCCCTCGCGCGAGTCGACGCCCGCCTCGACTGCGGCGGCGGCGGCGGCGGCGGCCGCCTCGCGCAAGCGGCCTGCGCCGAACGAGGAGGAAGGTGCGAGCGAGCAGGGAGGGGTCAAGCATGAGGAGGGGGCGGGCGCGCAACAGCAGCAGGGCGAGGGGGAGCCGCAGCTCAAGCGGGTCAAGAGCGAGCCTGGGCTCGGCGGGGCAGACGAGTAGCGCAGCTGGACAGTCGTCGTGCATCGTGTCGTTGTCCATCTTTCGAGCGAGCCCTTGCGAGACCTGAGAGCCAACAGCACGAGAGAGAAAAGGCCAGCCTCTTCAGCGCTCTCGAGCACGGCGCGAGCCCAAAGATGGACACGTCTATTGCTCATGCGGCTACTGCTTCTCGAACGCCACCGTCGTGATGCTCGACCCTGTACTGCCGCCGAACTGGAAGCTCGCTCGCGGCACGTGCGAGTGGACGCTGAGACCTGTTGTCGCGAGAGGAGGTTCAAGCTCGTGCGGGGCGCGAGAGAAGGAGCGAAAGAGAGACGCACCTGATGCCGGGGTAACGAACGCCTTCTCGAGCTCGGCCTGGGTCCAATTGCCTGCGGGCGGCGGGGCAGAGTCAGCTCGCTCGTCGACCGAGCGACGGGAAGGAGGAAGGGCAAAGACGCACACGACGTGATGAGGAACAGGCCTCCCGGCTGCAGCAGCTTCGACACGCTCTCGACGTACAGCTCGCGCAGGTTGCGCCCTTGCCGCACCTCGTCGCTGAGGCACACGGCGTCGTACGTCCCCTTGTCGGTCACCAAGTCCCACTTCTCCTCCGAGTCGGTGACGTGCGGGACCGTCTCGCCGAGCGCAACGTCGAGAATGTCGGCGGTGAAGAAAGATGGTGGCGGCGACGAGACAGTGTGCTCGTCCGAGGCGAGTCGTGCGGCGAGGACCGACTCGGCGAGCTGGATCGAGAGGGGCGAGTAGTCGACGCCGGTGAGGGAGGTGTAGCCGGCCGCCGAGAAGGCAAAGAGGAGCTGTCCGTTGCCGGTGCCGACTGTGAAAGAGGAGGCGTCAGATCTGCGCGACGGCGAAGAGGAGAGAACGAGTCGGACGCACGGTCGAGGATGCGGCCGTCGAGATGAGGGAAGTGCTCTTCTGCCCACTCGACCATGTCCTGCGCCGAGTCCTCGCCGAACCTGCAGGGATGGTGCCGCCAACGAAGGTCAGCTGCGACAGGAGGAGAGGGAGGAAGAGGGAGAGGAGACGGACCAGACCTCGCCCTCGTCCCCGATCTCGTTGAACATCTTGACCTCGCGCTCATAGACCTGCGTACGCGTGATAGATGTACTCAGCGACCGATCAGGGGAGCTAGTCGAGAGGGGAGAGAGCGAGGGCGTACCGAGTTCCAGTGGTCCTGCGTGCCGAGGCGGGAGGGAGGAAGAGGTGCGCCGAGCTCTGGCGCGTCTCCAGATGCGGCGAGATCGGCCATGGCCTGCTTGAGAGCTTCGCTAGCCATCTCGAGCGGTGTGGAGAGAGGATGGTCGTGAGGAGAGTGGCCGCAGCGATGAGAAAGGCGGGCTCGCTCTCTCGCTCTCGCAGAAATGGGCGAGGGGGATCATGGTGCTCTAGAGTAGCTCACGGGCCTGGTAGTAGATGCAGCTGAGCACCGTGCGACTTTGACATTTCGCCGGTGTCGTGCTTCGACTCTCCACCTCGCTCTCCTTCTCCCTCCTCCACACCACCTCTCAGTGAGTTCGACGCAGCTCGCACTTACTCGGCTCGCCTGTCGCACCAGGTGCCGCGACCGCTGCGCCAGCCGCCGTGCCCCCTTTGCCTCTCCACCTCGAGCGCTTCCCCATCTCTCCCGCGCCCGGCACTCTTCCAGCGAGCGCGAGCAGCAGCCCGATACACGCCCACGCACTCCTTCAGTCCTCAAGCGCGCACTGACACCCTCTTGTTCCCCCTGCGCAGCTCGTCCTCCCCTCCCTCATCCTCAGCATGTCGGCCGCACCCAACTCGACCTCGGAGCCCGTCTCGAAGAACATCGTCTGGCACGAGGGCGTCACGCAGACGCAGCGCGAGGAGCTCGTCGGCCAGAAGGGCGTCACCATCTGGTTCACCGGCCTCTCGGGTGCGTCCCTCTCCCTCGTCCTCATCTCGTGCGCCAGCCTTGGCTCGTCAAGCTGCGCGACATGCGGGTTTCTCGGCGACAGGGACTGACGCCTGTACTCTCCTGCAGCCTCAGGCAAGTCGACCCTGGCGTGCGCGCTCGAGCTCGAGCTCCTCCAGAAGGGCAAGCGCGCCTTCCGCCTCGACGGCGACAACGTCCGCTTCGGCCTCAACAAGGACCTCGGCTTCTCGCCCAAGGACCGCGAGGAGAACATCCGTCGTGTCGGCGAGGTGCGTCGGCCGTCCTCGACCTCGTTCGTCGAGAGAGCGCCCGGCCATGCGGCCTGCCGCTCTCTCGAACCTGCGGGTCATGTCCTGACCGTACCTCTCGCCCCTCACGCAGGTCGCCAAGCTCGTCGCCTCGTCGTGCACGACGACCCTGACGGCTTTCATCTCGCCGTACCTGGCCGACCGCGCCCTTGCGCGCAAGATCCACGACGAGAGCAAGATCCCGTTCCTCGAGGTGTTTGTCGACGCGCCGCTCGCCGAGGTCGAGAAGCGCGACCCCAAGGGCCTGTACGCCAAGGCCCGTGCCGGTGTCATCAAGGGTGCGTCGCAGTGTTTCCCTCGCTCTGTCGCGCTCGTCCGTCGGCGTTGGCGACGTCGTCGGCAGCGCTCTGCGCTTGTCAGAGGGTCACTGACATTCGCGCCTCTCGCCTGCAGAGTTCACCGGTGTCTCTGCGCCGTACGAGGCGCCCGAGTCGCCCGAGCTGCACATCAAGACGGCCGAGGTCGACATCGAGACGGGCGTCCAGATCATCGTCGACTACCTCGAGAAGCACAAGTTCATCTGAGCGGGTCTCGGTCACTCGCGACAGGAGGTGGACGTGACATAGATTGGCGGACGTTTGGTGTATTGCATCGCTGTGGATACCCGCTCGCCGAGCCGGTCGAGGAAGAGGAGGAGGTGGTCGAGGACAGGGAGAGCGCAGGCGAGTCTTTCTCGGCCGGTACCGCAGCGCGACTCGATGCTAGAGAGCTCTACACGAGCAGCTTTGCGGCCGTCTACGTTCGAGACGAGCAGCTGCGTTCCCCACTTCCCCTCCTGGTCGACCTTCAACCGCTCTCTCTCGCACCCACCACGCCTCATGCCAGAGGTCCGTCGCTCTCGTTCTCTCGGTCCAGCCAAGATCCGAACTGACCCGTGCCGTCCCACAGATCACGCTCCTCTACTTTGCCGCCGTCCGCACCTCGCTCCCCTCCGAGCCGGCCTCGCAAGTCGTGCGCCTCCCCGACTCGCCCTCGCCCTTGCCGCTGTCGAGCCTGCGCCACTACCTCGTCGACGAGGTGCATCGCGGCAACGACGACTTTGCGCGCGTGCTCGAGCGGTGTGCGTGGAGCGTCGACGAGGAGATGGTCGACGACGACGATGAGGGCGTCGCTCTCAAGGGCGGCGAGGTCGTGTGCCCGATCCCGCCCGTGAGCGGCGGCTGAGCGAGCGGTGCGCGAGGGTGGACGAGAAACGCGCTGGTACAACAACGAGGGCACGGCGCTACAACCCACCTCCCCCCTCAAGCCGCCTTCGCCCTCTTGGCCGCGCGCCGCTCCTCGACCTCCCTCCTCTTGTCCTCGATCCGCCTCTTCCTCTCGTCCCTCTCGCGCTCCCTCTCGCGCTTGACCCTGTCCCCCTCGACCTCGCGCTCGCGCCTCTTCCTCTCCGTCTCGGCCCTCGCCCTCTCGAGCTCGTCCATCTCGCGCCGGCGCTCCTGCTCGTCGGTGCTGAAGGCGTAGAACCCGGCGCCGCGCGTCCGGTTCTCGCCCGTCGCCGAGTAGTGGTCGACGAGGGGCGCGGCGGCGGCGGCGGCGAGGGTGGCGGCGCGCTGCGCGAGGATGGCCGGGTCGGGCTCGTACACCGGGAACGACGTCTGGTCGCCGTAATAGACGTTCGAGCTGCATGACGGGTGCACCGAGAGAGTCAGTCGTTGCCCAGAACTGCAGAGAGAGAGAGAGAGCACGCACGGGTCGGGACCCTCGCCTGGTGCCGGCTCCTTGCCCATCTTGGGGACGCGGTCGTCGACCCTCGCGACGTACTGGACGGGGGCGTGCGCCATGTCGTGGCTGACGCCCTCGGGCGCGTTCGGGTCGCGAAAGGGCGCACCGCGCGGCACCTCGGAGCGCGGGATGAGGCGCGTGCGGCCGAACTCGTCGGTGAACTCGACGAGCGGGTCTTGCGTGTGCGTGAGCGGTGCGACAGGCTGCGGGTGCGTCGAGCGGTCAGACAGGTGTATCTCTGGGTGCAGGGAGAGAAACGAGGGGACGCACTGCGTCGTCTGCGTCGTCCGAGTCGGCGGTCGAGGAGGACGAGCCCGAGGGCGAACCGGAGCGCGCTCGCTGGTCAAAGTCGACGAGGAGGGCGTCGATCTGCGCCTCGGTCAGGCCGCCCGTCTTGCCCTTGCTGTCGGCAGGGAACGAACGTGAGTGCGGTGTGCAGAGAAACGAGGAGGGAGGGAGGGAGAGAGAGAGAGAGGCGAGGCGCACCGGATCTTGTCATAGATGGCGGCCTTTTTCTCGAGGTGCTGCTTGACCTGCTGCGGGTCCTTGCGGCCGGTGGTCGGGTCGTCCTCGTAGACGACCTGGTCGCGAGCCTGGCGCTGCGCGAGGCCCTTGTTCTGGCGAGCCCAAGCGGGGAGCTTCTTGTTGGTGCCGCGCGAGACGCCGCCGGTGATGGTCGAGGGCTGGCCGCGCTCGCGAGACTTGCTGAGGTCGTCCTCGTGCTTGCTGCGTGGGGCCAGAGGTGAGTGAGGGGGCACGAGAGCTCGAAAGAGATGAGGAGACGGACCTGAGCTGGGCCTTGAGGTCGAGGAAGGACGCGCTCGAGACGGGTGCGTCGAGGTGCTTCTTCGGGGGCATGCGCTGGCTAGCAAGGTGGCTCAGCTGCAGGCTGCCGTGGTGGAGGAGGAGGAGAGCCGGGCTCCCCACCTCGGGTCCTCCTCCTCCTCGACCCTCTTTCGCTCGACCACGCTCTGCCCACCCCCTGTGGGCCAGGTCACACTCGCTCGACACAGCCTCACAGCGTCTCGGCACACGATCCCGGCCATGGACTCGCTCGCGCACCCGTTGTCGTCGTCGTTCGAGACGCAGCTCTCGTTCGTCCGACACTCCGACCTCGACCGCCTCGTCACGGTCCGCATCGCCTCGTTCCAGGGTCACTTGCCCCAGCGACCCCTCGTCGACCTCCTCGACCAGCCCTCGCTCAAGCACCACGGCTTCCAGCAGGCCACCCCGTCCGACCTCTATGTCCGCCTCGAGCTCTGGGCCGACAACAACCGCCTCGTGCCCCCAGTCCAGACGGCCCACAAGCACTTCAAGTCGCGCGAGCAGGTCGACTGGAACGAGCACGTCACGCTCCCCGTCAAGTACCGCGACCTGCCCGCCTCTGCCCAGCTCGCCGTCACCGTCTTCGACATTGCCGGCCCGCGCCAGCTCGCCGTCGTCGGCGGCTCGACCCTGCGCTTGTTCGGCAACAAAGCCACCCTCAAGAAGGGCAAGCAGCGCCTGTACCTGTGGAAGGGCGTCGAGGCCGACGGCCGCGTCGAGTCGGACACGCCGAGCAAGGTCGGCCTGCGCGACGAGATGGGCCGCCTCGAGAAGCTCGTCCGCAAACACGAGCGCGGCGACATTGCCCGCCTCGACTGGCTCGACAAGCTCGCGTTCCGCCAGATCGAGAAGATTCACAAGGTGCGCCCTCTCTCACAGCCCTCTCTCCCTTTTCCTCCTCCTCGTCTCTCGTGGCCCTTATTGACGTCCTTCGTCCGACCCGACGACATCACTTTCCGCAGGCCGAGTCGGAAAAGTCCGACAACCTGTTCCTGTACCTCGACCTGCCGCGATTCGACTTTCCCGTCGTCTTCAGCGAGCCCGTGCGTCACGAGACCCTCTCCTTCCTGCGCCTCGACCTGTGACCGACCTGAACGTGCCCTTGCAGGAGTACCCGCTGCCTGTCCTGTCGTCGCTCAACCTGTCGTCCGCCCTCGGCCCGGCCGCATCGGTCGCGAGCAGCGTGCCCTCGACCTCGGCCCAAGCCGCCTCGTCGTCCGAGCCGACCTTGTTCACCATCATCGACCCCGAGATCGTCCGCAAAAACCCTGTCGAGGCCAAGCATCGTCGCCTCGTGCGCGACCATCGCAACGGCCCGCTCGACCGCGAGCTCAAGCCCAACGCCAAGATCCGCGACGAGCTCAACGTGCGTCCCCTCGCCGTCGTACACGCCCTCCTCACTCGTAACGGCGCCCTAAATGTCTCGTACGCCTGCAGGAGATCCTGCGGTACCCGCCGACGCAAGAATTGACGACGCCGCAGCGCGACCTTGTGTGGAAGTTCCGGTTCTACCTGACGCGCGACAAGCGCGCCCTCACCAAGTTCCTCAAGAGCGTCGTGTGGTCCGACTCGGGCGAGGCGACCCAGGCCGTCGAGACGCTGTTGCCCATGTGGAACGAGGTCGAGATGGACGACGCGCTCGAGCTCCTCGGGCCGGCCGAGGGGTTCCGCGACAGGAGGGTGCGCGCCTACGCCGTCAAGCAGCTCGAGCGAGCAGATGATGAGGTGCGTCCGACGTGCCCCTTTCGTCTTGAGCGGACTCGGGCGCAATGCAGGACTGACTCGCTTGCACGCCGCCGACAGGAGCTCATGCTCTACCTCCTTCAACTCGTCCAGGCGCTCAAGTTCGAGCCCGCACCTCCTCCTTCGTCTCCCTCGGCCTCGTCCATCTCGCCCAGTGCCTCTCTCCGTTACTCGCACGTCCGCCACTCGACCCGCAGCACCGCCTCGCCCAGCTCCGCCGCCGCCGCCGTCGCAGGCTCGAGCGCGGCACCAGTCGACGTCCCGACGCTCGAAGACTTCCTCGTCGAGCGCAGTGCGAGGAACCCGGTCCTCGGCAACACGTTCTACTGGTACATCCAGGTCGAGCGCGAGGACAAGGGGCGAGGGCGGCTCTTTGACGAGGTGGCGCGCAAATTCGAGCGGCGCATCAAGGAGGTACGCCCACGCTCTCTCACTCTATATTCTCGCCGTCTCGTGACCGATGAGCGCGTACACGTGATTGACCAGTCCGTACTTCTGCAGCTCCATCGTCCAGGCGAGCCGGACCAGCTCGACGCGCTGCGGCGACAGAGCGAGTTCATCGCCCGCATCACCCAGCTCGCCTCGTCACTACGCCTGTCCAAGGACGCTCGACCCAAGAAGATCGACAAGCTGCGCGCTGCCCTCGCCTCGTCGTCGTCCGGGTTGAGCACCTTCTCGCCGCCGATCCCGCTCCCACTCGACGCCCGCATCGCCATCACGGGCATCGACGCTGACGCGTCGAGCGTCTTCAAGTCGAACCTGTTCCCGCTGCGGCTGCAGCTCCTCACGTCGGCGACCGGCGACACGGACCCGTTCCCCGTCATCTTCAAGAACGGCGACGACCTGCGGCAGGACCAGCTCGTGATCCAGCTCTTCACCCTCATGGACCGCCTTCTGCGCAAGGAGAACCTCGACCTCAAGTTGACGCCGTACCGCGTCCTCGCGACCGGCGCCGTCGACGGCATGGTCCAGTTCGTCCCGAGCCGCACGCTCCAGGACATCACGAACGAGTTTGGCGCCCAGGGCCTCCTCGGGTACCTGAGGGAGCACAACGCCGACCCGGGCAGTGTCGGTACGTACGGCGTCAAGCCCGAGGTGTTCGACACGTACATCCGCAGCTGCGGTGCGTCCTCGTTTTCTCTTTCGCCCTCTCTCCCGGGCCGCCAAGTCGGGGCCTGTCTCTCCTTCCGAGGATGTCGAACCGACTCGAGCCCTCTTGTACACGCAGCCGGCTACTGCGTCGTCACGTACTTGCTCGGCGTCGGCGACCGGCACCTCGACAACCTCCTTCTCTCGCCCGACGGCCACTTCTTCCACGGTGCGTCCCTCTCTCTCTCTCTTCTCTGCAATACGAGTCTCGCCTGACGATCATGTGTGCACAGTCGACTTTGGCTACATCCTCGGTCGCGACCCCAAGCCGTTCCCGCCGGCCGTCAAGGTGTGCAAGGAGATGGTCGACGCGCTCGGCGGCATCCACAGCCCGCACTACGCCCGCTTCAAGAGCCTGTGCTTCACGGGCTTCACGACCTTGCGCAAGAACGCCAACCTCTTGATCAACCTCGTCGCGCTCATGGTCGAGGCCGACGTGCCCGACATCCGGGTCGAGCCCGACAAGGCCGTCATGAAGGTGCGCCCTCGCTTCTTCTCCGACTCTCTCCTCGCCTGTAGTGCGGCACCGAGTCCTGACTCTCGCTCTCGCGTCGCCGCCGCAGGTCCAGGACAAGTTCCTCCTCGCCCTGAGCGAGGACGAGGCGATCCACGAGTTCGAGGCGCTCCTCAACGACACGAGCTACTTTGCCAGCGTCCTGGACCGCATTCATTCCGTAGCGCAGTACTGGAGGGCGTGAGCGTGCGGGCCTGTCGCCATCGTCGTCGTCGTCGTCGTCGTCGTCGAGGCGTTGTTGTGATTCAGACTGTCGCGCGCTCGAGCCTCTCCCTCTCGCGCGTCCTCTCATCGAGAGAGAAAGAGAGAGAGAGACGAGAGAGATAGTGTCTTTGCAGGCTGCGAGAGCGTGACAGAGCGAGTGTAGGGTAACGAGCGTGACGAGATAGGGAAATAGGCCGCCGACGACCAGTCGGGGCGAGAGGGGAGACAACCAGGGAGGGGGAGGACAACGGAAAGACAGAGGGAGAGACGGCGAGGGGGTATCTATAGAGACATCGCGGCTTCCGAAACGAGGGATCTAGGCAAAGAGAGCCATCGCGCCCGCGACCGCGAAGAGGGAAGCTCCCGCTCCGAGAACGACGCGACCTGCGCCCGACGTCCCGCTCGCCGCGAGTCCAGCGACGGTCGCGGTGCCCGACGCAGACGACGATGCCGAGGACGTGCTCGACGTGACCGTGACGGTCGAGACGGGCGCGCTCGAGCTCGTGCTCGACGACGAGAGCGAGCTGCTGCTCGCCGACGACGAGTCGGACGAGACGACGGACGACGACGACACGACCGACGACGACGAGACCATCGAGGTGGTCCACGTCGACGACGACGAGTCGGAGGAGGCGCTCGAGACGACAGAGCTTGCCGACGAGGCGAGGGAGGACGCGGTCGACGAGGCGGGCATGGCCGACGAGCTAGCGACCGGGGCCGAGGTGCTCGTCCTGCAAAGCGAGTCACTGTGTCAGGCGCTGAGGACGACAATGGGAGAGGAAGAGAGAACGAGGCGACGTACGCAGGGGAAGCAGCAGCGGCGGCGCCGCCGACGGTCGCGACGGCCTGGCAGTTGGACGACTTGCCCGCCGCGTGCGGGGTGGGTGCCGCGCCCTGGCTCTGCTGGTACGTCGAGAGCTGCCCGTTGACCATGTAGATGCCGGGAGGGCTGCGCACGAGAGCGAGGAGGGCGGCGGGGCGAGGAAGGAGGGGGAAAAGAAGAGTTTGCAGGAACGGGCAATGTGCTTCAGTGACTGGCTCGACGTGGACGAGGAAGGGAGTGACGCACTACTCGGTCGAGTCGCCGTCGCACGTGTCGAAGCCGCCGTTGTAGTTGCCGGGCTCGTTCCAGGCGCATCCTCTGCAGGAACGGGTCCGAGCGTTAGGGCAAGGGGTGCGGCACGAGAATGACAGGCAGGGAAAGAGGGGCGCACTGGATGTCGTAGATGTGCTGGCACCACAGCCACGCGTCGTCGGCGTCGTGGCAGATGCGGAAGCCTGCGACGAGGAAAGGGCGAAAGTGGGTCTCGTGAGTGAGGAACGCTCTGGCGGCGAGGCGAGAGCTCGGCCGACACGAAGGTCGTAGAGGAGAAGATCGTCGAAGAGAAGGTAGAGTGACAGGAGGCGGATGGTGGACAGTCGAGGCAGGATCGAGTGTTGGGGGTGGACGAGGGAGAAGCGAGGGAGGGAAAAGAGGGCGAGAGAGGGCGAGACGTACAGAACTCCTGGTCCGAGATCTGGAGAGGCATGTGCGTTAGTCTCGCGAGGCCTTTGGCGTATGGCAAGACAAGACGGAAGGAGGGACACGCACGAACGACGTCCACTCGTGAATCTGCACGCCGTTGTTGAACACGAGAGCGCCATGCGGGTTGCCGAGGCCGTCGGCTGATGGACGAAGGCGCGTCAGTACCTGAGACCTGGAACGACCGAGGAAGCGAGAAAGGGAGGCGAGGAGGAGAGGGTCGTGGACGCACCGCCGTGCGGGTCGAGCTCTCCACCGGCGTCGCCGCCCTGGACGTTGATCTTGGTAAAGTCACCGGTGCCCGTCACCTGCGTGTAGTGCGGCGTCTTAAGGTAGTGCGCCGACCGGATCGTGCCCTGCGGCATGACGCGCGCACCGTGTCCACTGGCGGTACAGTAGGCGACCTCGATCTGCTCCGTGTCGCCGATGGTCCCGCCCGGCGTCGGAGGAGCCCATAGGCAGAAGTCCTGCGCAGAGACGAGGAGGTGAAGGAAAGAAGGAGAGGGAGAGGGGAACGAGGAAGAGCGAGAGGGCGGGGGAGGAGGGAGAGAAGGAGGGTCAGTGGCGTCGTTTGCGGCTCGAACGCTCGCTCGAGCGTACGAGGATTGACTCACGGTGACGCTGTTGACGTGAGCGGTCTGGCACCTGCGGTAGAGGGAAAGGGAGGGACGCAAAGGACGGTCAGCAGGTCGCCCGGACTTTCCGACGAGGCGACTCGGGCGCACATGGACGACGGGCTGTCGGTAGTGCCGCAGTCGTTGTACTGCGAGCGTGCGGGTGTCGGCGAGTCAGTTCATGCCGGGAGAGGACGCTAGAAGGCGCTGTTGAGGGTGGAGAGGGAGGGAGCTCACGCCCGTCTGCTCGGACTCGCTCGTGTGCGGGAGGTTGCCGCTGCGGGTGCGCTCGCGGGAGGGTCAGCTCGTCGCACGAGGGAGGCCCTGACTGAGAGAAAGGAGGCGCACAGGTTGTAGTTCGAGTAGGCGGCCGCGACGGGGATGAGGGCGGGGAGCGCCGCGAGGAGGGACAACATGGCGGTGCGAGTTGGGGACGAGAGGGACGGGGCGCGCAGTCGAGGTTGTTGACGAGGTAGCAGAGGCGGCGAGCAGGTGCAGCGGTGAGCAGAGAAGAGCGAGAGCTGCAGGAGGGGGAGGAGGTTGAGGGAGCGAGCTGCGTTTCCAGATCTATCTTGGGCGCACACGCGCCTCGGGGTCAAAACAAAGCGCGAAAGTCGACAATGAAGCGGTCCCCCGCAGCCGGCGAGGACCAAACTCGGCTTTGCGCCCGGAGCTTCCGCTTCGCCCGGGCGCGTCGCTCTCTGCATCCTGCTCCCAAGAGAGCTCCGCTCGACCTGGCACCTGCTGCGAGGCCGCATCCAGCTCGACCGACACGCACCAGCCCCGCCCCAGCTGCGCGAGGCTCGCTCTTGCTCGCATCTCTCACCCGTGCTGAGCGTCATCAGCAAGTCGCCCTCGTGCCACGACCACACCTCGTGCCGCAGACCCTGCACCGCCATACAAAGCCTCGCCTAACTCGACCGACATGCGCGCTTGTGAGTCGAGTCGTCCCTTCCCTCGGTCCCCTCTGCCCTCCCTTCCTCCTTCCCTTTGCTCGTCCGACCCTCGTCGTGGCTCTCTCGAGCCCTCGCTGACTCCAAAGCGCCGGCAGCCAACAGCTTGACCGACTAAGGTGAGCTGCGCAGGCGCGCGAGCGTCAAGACAGCGATTCACGTCGAGCCTGACAGCTGGCCGAGTTGCCCCTCCCTCCCTCCCTCCTCGCAGGCCCACAAAGCGGCGCCGCACCTCGGCAAATCGACACAGTCGCGTCGCCCGACTCTACGACCGCCCACACCGCCGGCCTCCTCGACAAGGTCGAGCCCGCACTCGTGCGCAACGACCTGCGCCTCGCCGTCCGTCCGCTCCCTCGTGGCGACCGCCGCCCAGTACCGCACCCTCGTCACGAGCATGTGCGAGGACGGCGAGCGCGAGCACAAGATCAGGGTGTCTCGTCCCGTCGTTCGCGAGCCTCGGCGGGCTCGAGGCGATGCAGGCGAGCAGGCTGGCCGAGGCGCTGCGCTTTTTCGAGACGTCGCGGGCGTTGCCAGTAGCACAGCAGCAATTGCAGTGCGAGTATTTCTCCGTCGAGTCCCGTTCGCGAGCGAGAGTTGTCGAGGTAGACGAGGTCTCGGAGATTTCGAGGCGGCGGAGGAATCTCGCAAGGAGGAGGATGAGGAGAGTCGACCTTCCTCCGTCCCGCACGCCCGTCGACGATGCAGCGTTCCCGCCTCGCTCTGCGCACCTGCACGCGCGCCTTCTCGACCGCGCAGCCCGCCGCGCAAGCCGCCTCGTCGAGCTACCAACCTCCCGTCCAGCCTGGCTCGCTCCCAGCGTACGACCACGCCCTCGCCTACATCCAGCAGGACCGCGACGCCAAGCTCGCCCAGCTCGAAGACCTCAAGGCCAAGGGCGACGCCGACCCGAGTGTCCTCGACAAGCTCGAGGTCGAGGCGTGGAGCAACGACCCAGAGACTCGCTGGCGGGCAAAGCACGGCCATGGTGAGCTCGCCTGCTCTCTCTGCCCTCTCCTGTACCTCTGTGGGGACTTTTGGTGGCGGCACCGGGCTTACTCGGGCTCGCGCGGTCCGTCTCGAGGTGGTCCGCCGATGAGGACGGGCTCGAGGCCAAGGTCGCGCCGCAGCGAAGGCCAGGCCCGCAGGACTGGCACTGACAGCCTCTCCACCTTTACAGGCGACTTCTCCAAGCCCGTGTACCGTCACCTCGCCGAACGGGCATGGCGGAACGACGGCGACTTGGCCATCCTCGTGCGTCTCGCTCCCTCTCCGCGTCGTCCTGCGCCTCTTGCGAGCCATCGCCGACCTTCTACACCGCCCACAGATGCAGCGCGTGACCCAGATGCACGTCACGCCCGACCTCCTCCCCGAGATCAAGCCCGTCGCCGACGTCCGGCTCACCGTCGCCGGCTCGACCATCGAGCCCGGCTCGTACACCAAGCCTGCAGACGTGCGTCGACCCCTTTCTCTCTGCCCCTCTGCGCGTCTCGAGACTAACGCCCGCCTCGCCACGCAGACTCGGCAAGCGCTCGATGTTTCGGTGCAGGTCTACCACGCGGAAGAGCGCCTGTACACGCTCCTCGTCGTCGACCCTGGTGCGTTCCCCTCCCTCTCCTATTCTCGAGATTCGTCTCGAATGAAGCATGATCGTGCGACTGACTCGAGCGACTCCTGCAGACGTGCCCGACGAGTTCAACCAGACCTTCTCGACCTTTGCCCACCTCCTCATGTACGCCCTCCTCGCCGACCCGGCCCTCTTTCTCGCTCGCCCAGTCCCGCAGTCCTGACAATCACGTCTCCCCGCAGCCCCAACATCCCTCTCTCGGCAACCTCGTCCTCCCCGCTCGACCTCTCCTCTCTCTCCTCGACCCTCTCCTACGTCCCGCCGCACCCGCAAAACGGCACGCCCTACCACCGCTACACGGTCCTCCTCCTCGAGCAGCCGGAGAGCCTGTCGCTCTCGCCCGACTCGACGTCGCGCGACGCCTTCTCGGTGCGCGAGTTCGTCGTCGAGCACAAGCTCGAGCCGAGGGGCATCAGCTTCTTCCGCCAGAAGTGGGACAAGGACGTGTCGGCCATCTACAAGGAGGTCCTCGGTGCGTCCTCGTCTCTCTCTTCTCCTTCCTCTCTGCCATCCTCGCCGTCGCAAAGCGCACTCACGACCACTCGACCCGTCGCAGACCGCCCCGAGCCGAGGTACGGCCGCCCGCCCAAGATGGACCTGTACGCCGGCAGGCCGCCCAAGTACGAGCTGGTCTGAAGACGAGGAGGACGAGCGAGAAGCCGTGTCGACGAGTAGAGCCCTGTATCGCACCCCTTTCGAGCACTCTCTTTCTCTCGAGCCCGCTCTCGACGCGCGACCGCGAAAAGGACAGCGTTACAGCCAGACAGAGAGGAACACGAGAGCAACTACTTCTTGTCCTTGATCTGCAGCTGGAGGGTGGCGCCGTTGTCGAGGTTGAGCGTCGCGAGCGTCGTCGTGTTGGCGAGGATGCGGCCGTCGTACAGGTACCGCTGCTTGCCGACGGGGACGCCGACCGTCGCCTGCATGTCGAGGGCTCGAGTCAGTCGTGCACGACGAGGGGAGAGAGAGAGAAAGAGAGAGAGGGACGCACAGCGATGCGGTCGCGGACCGTGCCGACGAGGAGCGTGAGCGGCACCTCGAGCTCGACCTTCTGGCCCTTGCAGCCCCACGCCGGCTTGGCCGAGTACTCGGGGAGCTGCACCTGGATCTTGACCGGGTGCGGGTGGCTCGCGAGCCACTCCTCCTCGCCGACCGTCGTCGGACCCTCGGCCTCGCCCGTGCGCGCCCGCTTGGCCGACGGCTCGTCGTCGCCATCGGCGTCGGGCGCCGGACGCGTCACGCCCGCCGTCGACGTCGACGCAGCGGGAGCTGGCGCAGCGGCGGCCTCGTTGGCGCGCTGCGAGCCCGGGCCCGGACCCGGGAGCGCCTCGCCCGGCGTCGCCACCTGCGGGCGCTGCGGCAGGCCTGCCGGTAGCGGCGGCGCGTTCGGGTCGACCGTCGACGCCTCGACGACGTCGTCGGCGGGTGCGGGAGCAGGTGCAGGTGCGGGCGAGGACGCGAAGCCGGGCGGGACGCCGACCGAGCGGAAGTCGTTCTCGGTCGTGCGCTCGATCGTCACCTCCTGCTGGCGCTGCGGGCCGGCCGAGATGGTGGCGCCGCCGCTCAGGACGGTCGGGCCCGAGGGCTGTGCGGCGGCTGCTGGCGGCGGCGGTGCGGGCGCGGACCCTTGAGCGGGGAGCGTCGGGCCGATGTTGCTCTCCTCGGTCGGCAGGACGCCCTTGCTCTTGTGGATGGCGGCGATCTGCTCGTCGAAGTTGGCCGTCTGCTGGTACCGGAGCGTGATCGACTCCTTGGACGCGGCGTGGCCGTCCCACACGTTCTTCTCGCGCGCCTTCGACTGGGCGACGCGCTCGGCCTGCTTCTGCTTCTCGGCCGCGCCGATGTCGCCGCCGAAGATGTCGGGGCGGTGCGCCGCGATGGCCCGGATCGACGCCGAGACGTCGGTGCCGCCGGGCATGACAGCCGACGCGGCGCGGTTGAGGTCGGCCTGCTTCTTGTCCTCCTTCCACCGCGGGTCGAGGAGCTCGTAGCGGATGTGCTTGCTCAACTCGTCGACGGGCACCTGCTGGCCCTCGAACGTCGTGTACGCCTGCCCCGCCTTGGGCTTCTTGGCTGCGCGCGAGAGGGAAGAAAGGGCGGGTCAGTCGTCGAAATGGCGGAAGGAGAGGAGGAGAGAGAGGACGCACTGCGAACGTAGTCCTTGCGGATCTTGACGGGCGCACTCGAGTCGGCCTGGGTGATCTCGACGACGTCCTCGCGCTTCTGCTCGACGACCTCGACGCCGGCGGCTGGTGCCGGCGCCACCTCGGCCTCGTCGTCCGACTGGTCGCCCATCTCCATCTCCTCCTCGTGCGCCTCGCCGTCGTCGCCGTCTGCGCCGCCGGGCACGTCCTTGCCCTCCATAATCATGGCCGCCATCTTCTTCTGGGCGATGCTCATGTTCTCGACCTCGGCGAGGCTCATGGGCGGCGGCAGCTCGGCGATGCCGGCCTCGTCGTTCTCGGTGAACTCGATCGTCGACACGACCTGGAAGTCCTGCCAGTCGATCTCGGCGAACGCGATGCGCTCCTCCTCGGCCTGGTCCTCGGCCTCCTTGCGGCGCGTCGACTCCCACTTCTCCCACTCGACGCGCGCCTGGGCGTCCTTGAGCACCTCGCGGCGTCCGATGACGACGCGGTCGGCGGTCGAGTCGGGCGGGCCGCCGGCACGACGCTCGAGGCGGGCGACAAAGTCCTTGGAGGGCACGAGGATCTTGGTGTACTGCTCGACGAGGCTGCATGTGCGGGAAGGAGAGTCAGGTCGAGGGAGACGTAAGGAGTCGGTCGAGAGGAAATCGGGGCGACGCACCGGTTGAAGAAGCCGAAGAGTGAGTGCGAGGGCCGGAGGAAGTCGAACTGGTAGTTGCGCGACTCGCGAGCGGCGAGGTCCGAGGCGAACTTGCGACCCGAACGAGCGGTAAACAGGGCAGTCAGGCGCAAGATGTCGCTGTCGACGAGGAGCTTGTCAGTTGACGCTTTCGGCTATGAGGAGGGTGAGGGAAGGGGACGACGCACAGGTCGACGGCGTTGATCTTGGGTGGGTCCTCGACGAGGAACTCGAGCGCAGGCGGCTCAGGTGGCCGGCCATCGTCCTCGGCCTTGGCCGCGTCTTCTGCCTCCTTCTCCTCGGGCTTCTGCTCGGGCTGCTCGCCGGCCTTGAACGCAGCGAGGCGGTCGGCGTAGTAGGCGTGGTACGGGTCGTCGGCGTTGACGAAGGCGAACCGCGAGTCGCTCTTCTCGCGCAGCTTGAACTTCTCTTCGAGGAGCGCAGGGTTGGCCGACTTGGCGACAAAGGCGGCCGTCTTGTCGACGATGGCCTTGATGGCTGGCGGCGGGAGGATAATGGTGCCGTCGGGCACAGGCGTGGCCGTCATGCTGGGCGGGCGCGCGTGCTGCTGGATCGACAGGTGGGCGGACGGCTGCAGTTTGGCGCCTTCTGGCGAGCTGAGGAGTCGCGGAGGAGGGTCGCGAGGGTGGAGGCGGAGGAGGGGTGGCGCAGGCGGAGGCGAGGGGCCGGCGAGAGTTGTAGGGCAGGTGGCTGTTCTGCTGTGCTTGTGTGGGGGCAGTCGAGCGCTCAAGCGAGGCTCCAGCGAGAGCAGCCGGTTGTGAAGAGAGCGCGAGCTGATGAGGACGGTCGTCGCGGCGAGCGACCAAGTCCGGGACTTTGCTCGACGACAAGCTGTCGGGGCTGGTTCTTTCGTGCTCTGCTCGCTCGATGATACTTTTCAAAAGCAGTGCTGACCGTCGCAGAAAATCGCCGTGCCGTTGGGAGGCGACACCATGGCCGCCGCTTGCTCTCCCTCCTTCTTTGTGCTCGCTCTCGGCTCGCTGCCCGCGCAGGCTTTCGCGCACCGCCTTTGCCTCTCGCGTGGCTGCGCAGTGCGCCCTGCTCGCACGCCTCAGTGGCAGCGGCCGCGAGGCCGTCCGCTCGCCCAACTCGCTGCATCCGGCTCCTCGCCTCTGCCGCAGCGACCGCGCTGTTCCTACATGGAGCACGTGAGCTTGAAGCTCGAGGATCGCTGCGGGGAGGGCACACGCCGAGCGCCTGGCCACTCTCGTCGTTGCGCCCGTGGCGAGGGTGGAACCACCGCTGCCGCCGGCCGTCGCGACCGGGGCCGGCGCGTCTGATGACGGCCTCGACGAGTGCTCTTTCATTGTCGAGAGAGGCCAGGAGTGCGACGTCGCACCTTGCAATCTGGCGCGGGCGAAGCGCGCAAAGCTGGTGTCTCACCAGCCCCTTTGTTCTCCTCGACGCTCGATGCGCTGGCTTGAGCTTCCGGCAGATCCGGGGTGGCCGAAAGGCTGTCGAAGCCGGCCAAGCGCTCGCTCGCAACAGCTTCGCCGCTTCGTCGCTCTCGCTCCACCCCTCCTGCTCGGGCGGACACCTGCGCCTCGTCCTCGCCTGCTCGACCTTCTCAAGCAGCTTCAACCCCGCGCGCCGTCGCCTGCGTCGTCCGCCGCCTCGCCGCCGCCTCGCCAGTACAATAAGCCGCCGTCGAGATGGGTGCTTGTGGATCTACCGAGGCGAGCGGTGCAGCAGGGCAGCCGTCGATGGAGGAGGTGGCACGGTCCAAGGGCATCGACCGCATGCTGCGCGACGAGGAGGACAGGTTGGCGCGCGAGGCCAAGGTGCGTCGCGCCTCGAGTCCTACCGACGTCCTTGACAGTCAGCTGATCGTTCACGGACCCACAGATCCTGCTGCTAGGTGCGCACGACGCCGTGCACGGTCCCCCGAAGCGCCTCGAGACTGACCTTGCTTCGCGCTCGCAGGTCCCGGGTCGAGCGGCAAGTCAACAATCCTCGTGCGTCCTCTTTCTCTCTGTCTGCTCCAACGAGTGACCGCTGAAGATCCTCCGTTGGCTCTCGCAGAAGCAGATGAAGGTGCGCCGTCCCGCCGCTTCTCGCGCTTCTTCGGCCACTCACCCTCCTCGTCCGCCCACAGATCCTGCACCTGTCCGGTTTCACGCCCGCCGAGCTCGAGGAATACCGCCAGCAGATCTTCGTCAACGTGCGCGAGGCGATGCGGGCGTGCTGGGCGCTTCTCGAGCTCGAGGGGTTCGAGCTGGCGCAGCCGGCGCTCTTGGTGCGCTCAAGCTCGCTCTCCTCTCGCCGCACATCCCGACTGACATACTGTCGTACGACAGGACTTTCGAGAAGGCATCGTCTACGCCGAGGACCTGCGCGAGCGTCAGCCCTTTCCGCCGCACCTGCTCGTGCCGATCAAGACGCTGTGGGCCGACCGAGGGCTGCAGCAGGTGCTCAAGAAGGAGGGCTCGGACCTGTTGATACCAGAATAGTGCGTCGACCGTGTTCCTGTCTGTCTTGACCGCCGGTCACTGACCCTCTCTCGTCGCGCAGCACGCACTAGTGCGCTCCTCCCCTTTCCTCCGTCTTGGCGACCCCGTCCTGACGCATCGTCTCGCATAACAGCTTCTGCTCCCACCTCGACCGCCTCTTCCAGCCGACATACATCCCGACAGAGCAGGACGTCTTGCGTTGCCGACAAAAGACGACCGGCATCAGCGAGACGACGTTTGCCGACCGAGGAATGCAGTACCGGTGCGCCCGAGTCCCTCTCTTCCTCTTTCTCGTCGACGTTCGACTCATCTTCTCGAGCTCGTACAGCATCTTTGACGTCGGCGGGCAGCGGAGCGAGCGCAAGAAGTGGTCCGTCATCGTCTTTGTCCGACTTGGTCGAGCGACGAATTGACCCGCCTCATCGCCTGCAGGATCCACTGCTTCGAGAACGTGACGGCACTACTGTTCCTCGCGTCTCTGGCCGGCTACGACGTGCGTCCCTGTCACCCCTCCCTCATGTCGTTTCGCCGACTGACCTTCCCAAACCCCTCGCCTCCCTCCTCGCCTCGACTCCCCTTCCGCAGCAATTCCTCGTCGAGGACCGCGACTCGAACCAGATGCAGGAGGCCCTCATGCTGTTCGACTCGATCTGCAACTCGCAGTGGTTCGTCAAGACGTCGACGATCCTGTTCCTCAACAAGGTGCGTCCTCGCCGTCGGCCTCTCCTCGACTCTGAGCCGCGCTCGGTCCCCTGACGCACTCGCCGCACTCGCAGCTCGACGTCTTCCAGGAGCGGATACGCCACTCGCCGATCCAGGCGCACTTTCCCGACTACGAGGGTGAGCGCACGGTCCTCTCTCATCGCGGCGACCTGCAGCGGGCCTGACTCGCCGCCCTCTTTCTCTCCGTTCTCGCCACAGGCAAAGTCGGGAGCGTCGTCGAGGGCCAAGAGTACTTCAAGCGGCGCTTCGTTTCCCTCAACCGCTCGCGCCGCAAAGAGATCTGTGCGTCCTCGCGCGCTCTCTCTCTCTCACTCTCGATGCCGCCTCGTCTGACCGCCCTCGACTGTCTCGCAGACACGCACTACACGACGGCTATCGACACGTCGCTCGTCAAGGTCGTGATGACGAGCGTGTACGACATCATCCTGAACCGGTGCGCTCTCTTTCTCTCCCTTGTGCGTCCTCTCGACCGCAGCACTGACACCGCGCCTCGCCTCGTCGTACACGAGCAGCAACCTGCAGAACTTTATCCTGTGACCTGCCCTCGTCGCTCGCACCCCGTCTCCCTCGCCGTTCCCTTCGTCGTCCCGGCCTTTGCTCGTCGTTCGCCTCAGTTGGCCTTGTTGTACCACATAGCGTTCCCTCCTCTCTTCTTCTAGACTGCGCAGACGCAACGAGCTCGCCTTTCCGAGCAATCGGCCGGGCTCTTTATCGAGGAGAGAGCTGCGAGCGAGAGGGGGAGCTCGAGGAAGCGAGGGCTCGACCGCAGCGCTTCCTGTCTCTCGAATGGCACCATCGGCGGCATCGTGCGAAGGAATTCACAGATGAGGATGTAGTGCACGCGGCGAGGCGAGGTCTATATGGCAAAGAGGGAGGGCAAGGACGGACGAAGGCGAGGACGAAGGAGGGGGGAGGGAGGAGCGGAACGCCGAAGCGCTGTGCAGGCCCGCCGTTGCACCGTCGTCGCCTCGCCCTGGTGAAACTCGATCCACCTCACGCCGTCTTGGCCGTTTTCCAGCTCAGGAAGCACGTCCACGCGATGCCGGCGATGCTGCCGACGGGGACGCGGTACCTGCAGGACGAGGAAGCGTGAGCGCCAGCCTCACGGCGTTACACGTCACACCGACATGAGGCAGTCGGGCGAGGCGGTCGGGGTGGGCGCGGCGACTCACCTCAAGGGGATGTAGCGAAAGTTGAGGGTCTGCGAGAGTCGGGAAGGGGAAAAGTCAGTTCGCGCTCTGGTTCGACCGCGCGAGCCACTGAGAAAGGGGGAGAGAGAGTGGGACGTACCTGGAGCAACGGCCACACCTGCCAATTGACGAGGAGAATCGGCCAGTAGTTGGTGCGGATCTTCTCGCGCGTCTCCTCGCTGTCGAGGCCCTCGAGGAGGCTCATCGAGAAGAGGAAGATGAAGAGCGAGACCGGCGCACTGCGGAAGGTGACGAAGAGAATGAGTCCTGGTCGCACCACGACAGGAGAGCGGGAACGAGAGGGACGTACAGGCCGAGCTGATCCGCCGCGACACGCTTGGCGAGCTGCACGACGCTGACCGGCGTCTCGCCCGCCGCGTTGGCTCCTGCCGCACCTGCGCCCGCGAACCCCGGGCCGCCTCGCTCGAACCGCGCGCCCTTGGGCAGCTCCTTCTCGAGGCCCGGTATCGGGTTCTCGACCTTGACCTTGGCCATCGTGGCCGGCTGGCCCGGGATGGCCCGGCGCAGCGGGAAGTTGACCTCGAGGAACTCTGAGGGTGCGAGTCGAGTCAGTAGGGAGGCGCAGAAGAGACACACGTGCGCGAGGAAAGAGAGAGAGGACGGACTGTTCCACGCGCCGCCGAGCGGGCCCATCGACGCGCCGAACACGGCGTACCGCATCGTGCGCTCGATGTCAAACACCAACGAGGCGCCAGTCTGCAACAAGGACGGCACCTGTCAGTGTCGTTGCGGTGAGAGAGAGGAAGGGAGGGCGGTTTGACGCACCGAGAGGCCGATGATCTGGGCGCTCACGTCGCCGATCGACATGAGGAGGCCGTTGGCGACGCAAAGGGTGATGTAGGGACGGCGCTCGAAGTTGCGCGAGTAGGTGCGGAGGAGGGCCGACATGACGGGCGGGCTCGGCGCGAGGAGGCGGAGGTGAGGTCGAGGGGAAGGCGTAAGGCGAGGGCGCAAGGAGGCGGGTAAGTAGCTGAATGTTGCTGTGGGCTGCTACTGGACCGATCTGCTGGACTGCTGCGGTCGCTGGAGGGTGTGGTCTGGCTCGAGTCGGTGTTGGCGATGAGCGAGAGTCGGACGAGGCGAGGGCGGAGGTGGGCCGTGCGGTGCGTGTGTCGCGCGCGAGAACGTCTCTGACGGGTGTGCTTGTAGCTGTGCAGGCGTCGAGAGCGCTGCTGGTGGTACAGAGAGACGATACGAGCCTGATGACGGCAGTTGCCCCTCGCTCGTCGTCGGCGACCCTCTCCTCTCGCCCACACCTCGCTCGCTTGAGCACCCACTCGCTTGACGTCGCTCTTCATGACTCCTCTGCGCCCTAGTCGCGCACCGCAGCGCAGCTGAGCCTAAAGCAGAGACCGCCTCGTCTTGCTCGCCGCGTCCGCCGGAACCTCGTCTTGGGCGGACCGGACTCTCCGCGAGCGCCGAGCGCCGTTCGCCCGAGCACTCCTGCTCGTCGACGCCTCATCCTCGCTTGGCTCCCGCCTCTCGCTTCCAGGCTGCTCTGCCCGTCGACCCGTGCTCGCTCGACGGTCGCAGCATCATGAGCTCTCGCAACTGTGCGTCGCCCTCCTCTCCTTCTTTCTCCCTGGTCCAAACATTGACTCGCCTATCTGCAGACGCCTCAAGTCGCTACACGGCCCGCAGAAGCGGGAGAGGGTTGCGCGGCACTGCGCCCGACGACTCGGAGGATGGAGCGCCGGTGCGTCCCTCGCCTGCTCGAGTGTGCGGCGCGCACCAGTCTGACCGCGCCTCCTCACCCCACAGATCGACACGACCGCTCCCTCCCAAGACTTTGAGGTGCGCTCCTCCTCTTCGTCATGTCCCTTGCGACGCGACTGACTCGCTCGACCTCGCCGTCCGCAGCCGCTCGGGTCGGGGCCGTCTTCTCGGACCACGGCACCGCCTCGAACCTTGCAGGAGACCAAGTACCCGCGCTACTCGTACGTGGCTGAGCTGGGCGTGCCCCTCACGACGAGCAAAGGCCCGGTCAAGCCCAAGAGGTGCGTCCTCGTTTTCGTCCCACTAGAAGCGGCGCTCTGACTCTCCTTCTCTCGTGCCGATGCAGCATGCTCCTCGTCAGCGACCTCGACAACACGCTCTTTGGGCCCAACGGCGACGGCGTCATCGCGCGCCCGTACCTGCGCACGTTCATCCGGTACATCATGCATCCGTCAACGCCCTACTCGCTCGCCATCTGGACCTTCTCGGGCCGGATGTACGGCATCGCGCACCTGAGGCAGTGCGGCATGGGCAAGGTGCGTCCTCGTCCTCGTTTCGCGACCTTCTCAGGTCGGCAGCGCTCACGCCCTCTCCCCGCCGTCGCAGCACCTCTTCGACTCGGACGACCTCAAGGCGCCCAAGTTCAAGCCCGGTCTGCTCGCTGTCTGGGGCTACGAGGACTCGGGCTTTCTGCCTCACGAGTACGGCCGCATGGCGTCGGGCAAGGCCGTCAAGGACCTCGACCTCGTGCGCCCCGGTTTCTCCCTCTCTCCTCGCCCTGCAAGGACTCTTCCTGACGCTCGTCTCGCCGACAGATGTGGAGCATGCTCAACGCGACGACGGGCTCGGACTGGTCGCCGCTCAACTCGCTCCTCCAGGACGATCTCGCCTCGAACGGCCGCGCTCAGCCCGACAACATCATCAATTGCCCCGTCTTCACGACCAAGTGCCCCGACGACGACTTTCTCCTCGCCCAGATTGGCGTCCTCGAAGAGCTGTGCGTCGCCCTCGTCCTCCCTCGTAGCTCTCGCGCGCGCCCTCACTGACCCTCTTGAGGGAGGGACCGTGCGCAGCTCGACTACGTCCAACGTTGGCGCCGCCATCAAGCTCGGCAACCTCGAGCACGGCATCCCGCTCGACAAGCTCGACAAGTACGTCCTGCGCGCGACCGAGGTGTGCGGCAAGCTCGGCATCAAGGTCTCGAGGGGCACGGCGTACCCGGATCCAGGTCCGTCCCCTCTCACCCTCTCAGAGCCAACTCGACGTCGAGCCGCAGCCCTGACGCACGCGACAACTCCCTGCAGCCGTCATCAAGGAGCTCAAGGACAGCGCTCGACCTGTCGGCCCGGCGCACGACGCTGCCCAAGAACCAGCCGGTGCGCTCGCCTTTTCCCTCCTTCTCTCGAGCGCAGCTCGAGAACTGAAATCTCTCCTTCTCTCGACAGTCCCGCACCCCGGTGCGCTCCCCTTCGTCCACCCGTCGCCCAAGCGCACCGCCACGGGCATGGTCCTCTCGCCGTCGTCGCTCTACAAGTCCGAGGTCGCCGTCCCGAGCACGCCCGGTCGCATCCGCAAGCCGCTCGTCATCTTCGACCTCGACGGCACGCTGTACACGCGGCCGCCGCAGCACCTCGAGCACATCCCTGAGGGCGAGCCGTCCGGTCGGCCGTACCTGCGCTCGTTCCTCATGTGGCTCTTGCGCCCCGGCTCGCCTTGGAGTGCGTCCTCCTCTTTCTCTCTTCCTCTCACCTAGTTGCCGTGCCTGACTCGTAGCCCTCGCCCGCAGTGATAGACATCTGGACGGGCTCGCAGAAGGCGACGGCCGTCAAGTGCCTGTACGAGCTCGACCTCGGCCTCGTCGGCCCGTCGCTCGTCAAGGGCGAAGCCGAGCTGCTCCACCCGAAGCTCGTCGCGTTCTGGGCTCGCGAGGACGTCGGCCTCACCGACAAGGACTTTGTCAGCTACGTCGCCATCGTCAAGGACCTCGACAAGCTGTGGGAGCACCTCGTGCGTCCTCTCTCCCTCTTTCCCTCGTCCTTCTTTGCCGTCACCTGACGCACACTCTGTCCCACACAGGCCGACGAGCACCTCGGCAAGTTTGACCCGTCCAACACGGTCATGGTCGACGACACGCCGAGCAAGCTCCGAGCGCAGCCGTCGTCGCTCATCGCGGCGCCGACGTACGACTACCCGCTCGGGCCGTCGACCTACACGGTCGCAGCGCAGCTCGACGGGTTCCTCCTCGCGCTCGCCGACATGCTCGACGAGCTCGCGCCGCAGAGCAACTTTGCCAACTTCATCGAGCGCGCCAGGTGGAACAAGGTGCTCGGGCGCACGGCGATCACGGACAAGCGCAACGCCGGGCTCGAGCTGCTCGAGCGGGCCAAGATCCCTGTCGAGGCCGAGGCGAGGGGACTTCTGCCCGGGACGGAGCCGACGAGCAAGAGGGACCAGGGCGGGCGCACGGGTCCGTCTCTCTCCTTCTCTCCCGCCTTCCTCTCTACCTTCTCGATCGTGACTGACATTCCTACACGCTCGCAGCCCTCAGCAATACCGCGTCGTCAATCACCCGTCTCACCTCGTCGAGCCTCGCCGCCCTTCCTCGCGCCAAGCCGTCCGCCGTCACCTCGGACACGGACAATGCCGCGCCGAGCGACGACGGGTTCAGCACCGACACCGACACGACCGACGCGAGCGTCGACGGCGACTCGGACGACGCCGAGGACGAGGCGAGGCGCCCGGCGAGGAACTCGAGCAGCGCCGCGAGGAAGAGCTCGGGTGGCGGGAGGAGGTAGAGTGACTGCGATTGATCTAGCGGTTCGCAATGTACAATATCTATCGCGTCGTGCACTCGCAGTCGTTCAGCAGTGCTGCTTCGAGAGATTCGCGGGAACAGAAGGCTCGACTTGAGAAGGTCCCTTCGTCCGGTCGGTCGTACTGCACTCAGCTGCACGCCAATGCTCCTGAGCTTGCGGCAGCGAGCTCGAGGAGGTCCCTCCAGCAGGTAAAAGGTGGTCTGACCCCCTCGCGAGCTGATCTAGCCAAACAAAAAGGTGATCGCACCCAGGTTTGAACTGAGGACCTTCAGTGAACTAGATGTTAAACTGACGTGATGACCAACTACACCATGCAACCTTGCTTGTCGCCCTCAGGCAAGAGTGCGGCACACATAGTGTGCAACCAGAATCTGGTCGCACTTGGCCAAATCGGCTCCAGTACGCGAGCGCCCTCGAGCGGACACCGGTTCCCGCTGCACCGAAAGCTGCGTGCCGGCTCTCTGTTCACTCGTTCGACGAAGAGAGACGCTCGCGTGTGACCTCGTCAACTGCGCTCGTCCATGCTGGCGCGCTCGAGCCTGCTCAAGCGACCTTCTCGAGTTCGCCGCTTTCTCGTTCTCACGAGCGTGGCTCGCTCTCGACTGGACGACATGGCGAGGGACGCTCTCTGTGCTTGCCTGGGGCAGCTCTCGAGGCCGAGCGATGCGTGGAAATGCGCTGCAATACAGACCCTGGACTGCCCCTCTCGACCCTCGCAACGCTCTACAGGCCCTTGTTGAACTCGACATGGTCGTACGGCACCGCCTTGAACCGGTCCTCGAGCTTCTTGGGGTCGATGCTGGCGCGACTCGGGAAGGCGGCGATGGCGGGCGGGAGGAAGACGAGGAGGGAGGCGCCGATGAGGCCGAGGTTGAGGACCGTGCTGTTGCGGGCGCCGTTGGGGCCACGGAACGCGCCACGGCGCTCGAGGAGGGTGATGAGGAGGGGAGGGAGGATCAAGGTCGGGCTGCCGGGCGGTGCGAGGCAAGGTCAGTCGATGGCCTTCTCGAACGAAAAAGGGAACGAGGCCGACGCACATGTTGGTGAGAACCCGGCTCGCGGCCGTCTGTCCGACGGCGTACGTGCCGGCGACCGAGCTCTTGCCGAGCACCTCGGAGCTGGGCCTGCCCGTCACTGGGTCGCTCGGCGCGTACACCGAGATGCCGTCGCGCATCTCCTTCCACCGCATGAGGCCGATGTTGACGCACCCGGCGCTCGCGACGGCGGCAAACGGGACGAGCTTGCCGAGGAGGGCGCGCGCAGAGGGCGAGACGCGCAGGCGAGGGACGAGCTGGGACAGGCCGACGGCGATGGAGCACGACGCGAGCGTTGCTGCGGCGTAGGCGGCTGTGGCAGGCGAGCAGGGGTCAGGCTCTCGCTCGTGACGACTCGAGAGACGGTGACGAGGACGCACAGGCAATCTCGGTCGTCGACATGCTGATCGACTTGTTGGCGTTCGAGTAGTTGACGGCGACTGCGCGCGTGGGCGAGGTCAGGCACCGGTCGAGCTCACAGAGAGCGACACGAGACGCACCGTTGAGCGACTGGTTGGCCCACTGCCAGAAGATGACGCCCTTGAGCGACGGGTTGGGCATGAGCATGCCGGCGACGATGACGAGGTTGGTCGGGACGAAGGCCGACAGGCGGAACGGGAGCGGGACGGCCTCGCCCGTGTCTGCGACGAGGTAGAGGTGCAGCTCAGTAGGCGAACGAGGCGCGAGGAGGAAACGAGTGAACGTGGGCGCACCAGGGTGGATGGACGAATCGACAACTGCGGAAGGGCAAGAATTCGACGTGAGCGACGCAGGCCCTCGTCGACAGGCGCACGCCGAGAGGGAGGGAGAGAGACGCACGCTGTTTGGCCTTCCACACGCCGGCCTCCTCCTCGTGCCCCCACGCCTTGCGGCCTGCGCCGGTCCCGTCCTGGTACTCGCGCAGGAGGCGCTGGGCGTTGGCGAGGTCGGTCGACGAGGCGAGGAGGGTCAAGGGCGACGTGATGGACGCAAAGTGACGCAGGCGGCCGACTGCAGAGTGCGTCTGAGGAAGGTCAGGGCCCGCGTCGACGTCGAATGCGCAGAGGGAGGAGGAGAGGGGGAGGACGCGCCGTAGGTCTTGGTGTCGTAGCGGGGCTGGGCTGCAGGTCGTCGAGAGAGTGAGTACTGTGCTGGTCCGCGCAGACTGGCCGCTGCTAGCTCAGGCTGTCGAGCGCCAAGTCGCGCTCGTAGTTGAGTCGCGCGAGACGATAGAGCCGCCCTCGTCGCCGCCGGCCTCGACAGATGCGCCGTCTCGTGCACATGCTGCTGTACCGTACTTTGTACTTTTTGGGGTGCCCGATCACGGCCAGGACGAGAGGGAGAGGAGGAGAGGGGACGAACTGATGTCGACGGGGGGAGAGTCGGGCTGTTTGCCGCCGTGGGCTGCCGCCGGGGCTGCGGTCGCGAGCGGGGTCGACATTGCGAGTCTAGGTGCGCGTAGCTGGCGAGTCTATGAGGTCTAGCGAGCTGAGAGACGAGAGGAGGACGGAGCCGAGCACTTGCACCCGAGTCGCCCTTAGACTCTCTCGCTCACCAACCTGCTGCGAGCACCATGAGGGGCACCCTGCCACTCGCCATGCGCACTACCGCCACCGCCCGCTCCATCGCCAGCAAAGCGCGCAAGTTCAAGCCCCCCATCTCGACCCCGACCTCGCACGTCAACCCGCCGCCTGTCCACCCTCGACCGCACACCTGGGTCCCGCCATCAGGCGACCAAGCTGCAGCACAGGGCTCCCTCGGTCCAGCCGCCGACCCGCACCACCCGCGCCCCATCCCTCGAGCGACCCCGTTCGACGCACCCAGAGGTGGGGCACTTCAACGACGACCAGGCGAGTACCGCGAGCCGCCCGCCGTCGCAGCAGCCAGGAGGAAGACTGTCGGCGAGCGCAACGTGTGGGAGTCGTATCTCGGTCCGTCGTCCCTTTCTCTCTCCCCATCCCTGCTTCTCGCACTCGCACCCACCCTCTCGCTCTCGCTCTGCGACTCTCACACGCTCAGACTGACACCTCCTGGTCCCGCAGTACTCCCCTGGCAGACCCGCCTGTACCTCTGGCTCGGCCTCGGCGCCTTTGCCCTCGTCGGCCTGTACGGCGGCGACTACTTCTTCCCCGAAACGCCCGAGGAGAAGGCCGCCCGCGGCGAGATCGCGCCCGACGCATTGCCCGAGCTCGCAGGGCAGCAGGGTGCCGCGAGAGAGGGAGCGGTGGCGGGCGACGGCGCGACGAGGGAGCGAGGAGGAGTCGGGACGGCGGCAGGCAAGCAGGTCTGAGCGCGCATCTCTGCAACTCGAGCAAGGTTCTGCGCCTCTCGACCCGTTCGTACTCTCGTTCCGAAAGAGCGAACCGACAGAGAGAGAGAAAGAGAACGTCTCTAAGTTCAACTCGCTCGGGCTACTCCTTGCCCCTCAGCTTGCGAATCCCCTTGGCGGCGACGGCCCACCCGCCGAGCGGCGCGATCCCGACCCGCCAGACCCACACCCTCGCAGCCTCCTGTACTCGCCTCGCGGCGCGCTCGGCCTCCTGGCCCGGCGGCAGCACGCCCGCCTCCTCGCCCCACCCGCCGCCGCTCGCTCCTGCTCCTGCTCCTGCCCCAGCTCCAGCTCCCGCGTCCGTCCCTGCGCTCCCGACGCTCGCGCTCCTCCTCCCCCTCGCCCTGCCCCATCGCGCGCGCTGCTCGACCCTGAACCGCGTCAGGCGCCGCACGACGCTCGCGACGACGAGCACGACGGGCACGGCGAGGTTGAGCGGGCTCGGGAGCGGCGGCGTGCTGAACGCGCTCGGGAGGCTCTCGAGCCGGCGCCCGCCGCCGCCACTGAGCCCGCCGGCGCGCGGCGGCACAAACGTAAAGTAGCGGTTGACGGCGAGGCGCTCGCGCCGCGAGCGGAACGCCACCTCGCGCGAGTACCGGTCCCACCCGTCGAGGTCGTCGAGCTCGTGCCGGGCCGACAGCGACGTGGCCGGCGTCGCGAGCGACGACGACGACGGCGTCGGCGACACTGACGGCCGCCCGCCCGAAAAGTAGGCCAGGACGACGCCGAGGACGAGCGTAAAGGCGAGCGTCGTGCGCGCCTCGATTGGCGACGATCGAGGCGCCGACGCCGACGACGACGAGGGCGACATGTCGAGGGCGGTTGGCGAGGTCGACAAGGCCGCCGGCGCGAGGACGAGGCGCATCGGCGCCTCGAGGACGGCGAGCGCGACGCCCGGGTAGTCGATTTCGCCGCTCAGGCTCCACAGCGTCAAGAGACCAAACACGGCAAAGTAGGTCGAGAACTGGACGAGGCCGCCGAGGTTGGCCTCGAGGCTGCGCAGCGCGCGGTGCGACACGGGGACCGCCTTGGGCGGCGCGCGGTACCCGACGTCGCGCCGCTTGCGCCCGTCGCGGATCTTGGTCCACTGCTGGTGCGTCGGCGTGCCGAACGACGGCAGGTTCTGCGGCAGGACGCGCGACGCGGCGAGGAACGGCACGCTCCACGCGAGGAGCGACAGCGACGTCGCGAGGAGGAACGTCGGCTTGTGGTGCGGCGTCGCGAGGTAGAAGGCAAAGATGCGGATGAAGAGCGACACAAAGACGAGGGCGTGGTGCAGGAGCGGGAGAAGGGTCGAGGGCGAGAGAGGGAGCGACGATTGCGGGCCGTGGTTGAACTGCGAGGGGGTTCGTGCGTCGGCGTCGGCGACCGAGAGAGGGAGAGAGAGAGACGAGGACGCACCCATGCTCGCCCGACTTCTCCCGCCCAGCCGAACGTGCCCGCCACCCACAGCCACCACACCAACCCGCTGAAGAAGCTCCACGTCTTGATCGGCCGCCCTCCTCCTCCTCGCTCGGGGATGCTGACCTCGTCCGGCGCGAGCGGGTTGAACGCGTCAAAGTGCGAGTAGGACGAGAACATGAGGATGTAGACCGTGATGAAGGCGTGCAGGGTCGAGAGGATGTAAGTCTGGGTGTGGAGGATCCTGCGAGCGCGAGAGCAGGGTGAGCTCGTCGGCTCGAGTGAAGGGGGAGGGAGGCGTGCGACGCACCGAGGGATCGAGAAGCGGTCGAGGCGGATGAACGACTCCTTCCACGACAGGCTCGTCGTGCCGGACCGAGGCGAGGGCAAGAGGCCGTTGCGCCACACGTACTCGGTCGAGGCGAGGACGACCGGGTGCGACACGAGGTTCTCGGCCTCGACGAGGGGTGCCGACGACAGGGTGAGGAGGAGGTCGAGAGCTGCGGGCGCGCACGAAGGAGGGTCAGCGACCGGGAGAAGGGAGGGGGGAGGGAGAAGGGGAGGAACGAGGAGACGCACAGCACGTCGCGCGGTCCATCGAGTCGTAGTTGAGCGGGAAGTCGTGGAACAGGAGCGTCACGAGCGCATCCTCGTCGTCGTCGTCATCGTCGTCGTCCTGCGGCGACCCATGCCCGTGCCCGTGCGCCGACCCGGCGGCGTCCCTCGCGTCGCCCGAGAACAGGTACGAGTCGAGGAGGCCCTCGACGACCTTGTACAGGCGCTCGCCGAGCTCGCGACGCGCCTTGAACATGCGCAGCTCGCCGTCGACGCCCGGGTCCGTCTCCTGCACCGCGCCGCGGTACTCGGCTTGAAGCGACACGAGGAGCGACAGGAGGCCGGCGAGGAACAGGGCCGACGGCGACGGGACGACGGTCGGGTCGATCGTCTGCGACGACAGGGGCGAGGGACGGGCGGGGATGGTCGACGTGGTCGAGGACAGGGACGAGGTGGAAGAGGAAGGGTGCGACGGAGGGCGGTGGGCGACCACGGGGCTCGCCGCCGCCGCGAGCGACGCCGGCCGGTTCGTCGCCAGGATGGACCCGACGCTGTAGTTCCTCGACGGCGTGTCGACGCCTGCCGAGCCGTTGCTCGCGGCGCCTGGCGCTCCTCCGCCGCCGCTGCCGCCGCCCGACGCGCCGGGTGCCGTGCGGGTCAAGTCCGGCAGCCACCGGTCGAGGACGGTGCGGTGGCGCGGGAGGACGAGGACGGTGCGCAGGAAGGCGATCTCGGCGTCGGCCTCGTCCTCGGGCATGTCGTGCGGGAGGGTCGGCAGGCCTGGCGGCACCGTGTAGCCTCGGAGGCGCAGCTCGGCGAGGAGGGCGAGGACCATGCCCTGGATGGCGATGTCGTCCTCGGTGAGGATGAAGCCCGCATGCGAGTTGAACACGGCCGTTGAGGGCGACTGTCGCGGTGCCGGTGCTGGAGGAGGAGGCGGAGGCGGACCCGAAGCGGGGGAGGAGGGCGACCGCGGCTCGGGCGGCGCTGTGGTCGCGGCGAGCAGAGGCGTTCGCTCTGTAGTCGCCATGTCGGCGTGCTCGACTGGGCTCGAGCTCGAGCGGGCGAGCGAGCGTGGAGAGACGGCGAGCGTGGTGCGCCTCCTCCTCCTCCTCGTCAGCTACTTGCCCGCAGCATTTGCTCAGCTTCTTTGGCTTGGAGAACTGCTCCACAGTGTGTACGACATGCTCTCAGAGGTGATCCGCCAGACGCCCCAGCAAAAGAGAGAGAGAGCGCCAACTGTTGCTTCCTCCTCTCGACTCGGGCGCACGAAAGGGCACAGATCGCGTTGCATCAAGCTCGTCTAGAGGCGCACTGCGCCTCACTGCTCGACCTTGGCCTTCTTCGCCTCGGTCTCGCCCTCGCCGTCCTCGGCCTTGCGCTTCGGCGCCGGCGCCGCCGCATCGACCTCGTCCTCGCCCTTGCCCGCCGGCTCCTCCTCCTTGACGCCGACCTCGAGCCTGACGACGTTCTCCTCGTTGCCGCCCTTGGCAGCCTCGCCCTCGACCTTGACCTCCTCCTGGACGACGGCCGCCTCGGGCGCCTTCTTCTTGCGCTTGACGAGCCCGCTCAGGTCGTTGACGCTGCCGCTCTGCTGCTGCTGGGCGACGACGCCCTGCGACTGGCGCAGGAGGGCCTCGAGGGCCGAGTCGGCGGCGGTCGGGGCGGGCGCGGTCGGCACGGTGCGCAGGTCCTCGATCTGCGGGAGCGAGGAAGGAAGAGGACCGAGGCGCGGTCAGGGACGTGGCGACGGAAGAGAGGGAGAGCGCGAGGGGGACAAGCAGGGGCGCACCTTCATGTCGACGTCGCCGAGGAGGCCCTTGATGTCGTCAATCTCGCGCTTGATCTTGTCGTCCCTGTCGGCCTCGGGCGCCTTCTCGAGCTCGGCGAGCTTGAGGACGAGGACGGCCTTGGCCTGCTCGGCGTGCTCGACGGCGCGCTCGGTCCCGTTGGGGACAAAGTCGAGCGCGAGCGCGATGAGCATGTGCAGCTCGGACAGGGCGCGGTCGTGAGGCGCGACCACGGTCGACAGGGCCGAGAGCGCCGCCGAGTACTCGGTGACGGCCGGCTCGAATTGCTCTGCGGCGGGCCAAGGCGTCAGGCTCAGACTCGACGTCGACGGGAGAGTAGAAAGGGAGAGAGGGCGGACGCACCGGACTCGGTAGCGACATCGCCGAGCAAGCGGTGCACCTCGGCGAGCTTCTCCTTCTCGGTCCTCCTCGACGCCATGAGCCGGTCCGACTTGTCCTTGGCCCCATGCTCGACGGCAGCCTTGAGGGCGCTCTCGGTCGCGTCGACCTCCTTCTGCATGATGGCCCTGGCCATGTCGAGCACCTGGAACGCCGACTCGAGGTCGTCCTCGCGGTCGGCCCCCGGCGCACCGTCCTCGCCCTCGCCGCCCTCGTCCTCGCCCTCTCCGTCACCCGCACCGTCCGCGCCCTCGCCCTCGCCCTCGTCGTCGTCCTCGGCGTCGCCGCCAAAGTGGAACTTGTGGTTCGAGGGCCCGGCCGCCGCGTTCGAGGCGGAAGAGGCCGACGCGGACGGGCCGGCGGCAGCGGCGGTCGAGGGAGCGTCTGTGTACGACGAGGACCAGTCAGTGAGGATACACGAGGCGACAGGGAGGAAGGAAGGGGGGCGCACCGGCCGGGTTGTCGTTGGGAGCGGCGCCGCCGAGGACGGCACTCTGGGCGATGGCGCTGCCGAGGAGGGCCTTGCCGTAGAGGACGAGGGCGTCGACGTTCTCGGGCGAGAGGTCGCCGTACGTGCTGGTGCTGCGGGGAGGAGAGGTGCGCCGGGATGTCAGAGGACCGAGGGTGAGCGAGGCGTAGAGGGAGGGGCGAGGTGCTCACGAGTGCTCGACGGCGAGGGCGAGGTGGTCGCAGGCGTCAGCCCACCTCTTGAGGGCGAGTGCGCGGATGCCGTGCGCGAGGTGGTCGACCGAGGCGGACGGCGGAGCGGTGGACGAGGACGGGCTGCGAGGGCGAGGGACGAGGGGCCGGGGTCAGGTGGACGTGTCTGGTGCGAATGCGGTGGAGGTGCGCACCTGGCCATGGCTGCTCGAGTGCGTCAAGGTGAGGAGCAGAGTCACGCGTCGAGGACGAGATGAAGCCACGAAGCGCGTCTCGGCTCTGCTCGAACGCTCTGCGCGGGCTGGATAGGGCCACCGAGGAACCGAGGGTGCTTCACTGCAGGTTCAGGCCCGCACAAACTGCCCTGGACGAGGTGACTCGAGTCGCCCCCTCATCGGCCGCCGACTCTCGCAGCTCTTCGCGGTTGCTCTCTGCCACACCAACCTTTGGCGGCCATGGTCCGCCTCGTCGTCAAAGCCACGCTCTCTGGCTCGAGCTTCCCGCGTAGAACGTCGTTCCCGGACGCCTTCGCCGTTCGTCCTCCCCCTCCTCCTCCTCGTCCCCCACCCGACTCGGCCGGTCTTCGCAGCAGCGTCGTCCACCACGCTGACCCTCTCGAGCCTCGCCACGCAGCTCGACCGCCAGGACCTCGCCCTCAAAGTACCTGTCCACCTCGCCCTTCTTCGTCGCGCCGACGAGGACACGCACGCTGACCTGTCTTCCCCCTTGCGCAGCTCGCCCGCTCCTTCTCGCTCCAACCTGGCTCATTCGGCCTCGTCTGTGCGTCCCTATTTCGCCCTCTGAACCCCGACACAAGCTGACTGCTGCTCGCACGACAGACCGCGACGACGACAACGACCTGATCGAGCTCGCGTCGACCGACGACCTGCGCGAGGCGCTCGACTACTTCTCGTCCGACGCCTCATCGTCGTCGTCCGCCAGCACCTCGGGCTGGTTCGGCGTCGGCGCCGGCGCACCAGCGGCCGAGCCCGACTCGCCCGAGTGCATCACGCTCAAGCTCGAGCTCCTCGTTCATTACGACGGCCCGTCGCTCTCCGAGAGCGGGAGCTCGGTCTACTCGCTCGGCGCCAGCTCGCGCAGTCGCAGTGGGAGCAGCAGCGCCGGCAGCGACGACTCGCGCGGCTGGGCTAGCCTGCGCATCGAGGACGCGCCCGTCCCTCGCAGTCGGCGCGCGGCCTCGACCGGGTCGTCCGCCACCGATGCCGAGAGCGACCGGTGGATCTTGCGCACGGCGTACAGCGGCAGCCGAGCGCCAGGAGTGCGAGGACATGGTCGGCGGAGCGAGCTGCAGGACGAGCGCGACGGCGAGGGCGAGGACGACTGGGACCGCCGTACCGTCTCGTCGGCGTCGCAGGCGTTCGGCGCCGCTCGCCCTCACGTCTCGAGGCGCACGGCCCGTCACCACGACTCGGTCGACGGGCAGCGCATCCCGCCTGCGCTCGACTCGCGCGGCGACGCCCTCTCGCCCAATTTCGCCATCGGCCACTTTACGCCCGCCGACCCGCACCCGTACCCTCGCTACTCCGACCGCAACCTCGCGCATGCGCCCTCCTACTCGCACCTCCACGGCGCCTACCCGCCGCCGCCTTTCCACCCGCACCACCTCCCGCCGCCGCCGCACTTTGCGCACGGCTACCCGCCGCCCTTCTTCCCGCCTCTCCCGCACGCCCACCGACACGCGCTCTACGTGCCCCCGCCACATCCGGGCTTCTTCCCCGGCGCGACACCGAGCGACTATCCGCCGCCGCCGGCGTCGTCGTTCGCGGCGCTCTCGCTCGGCTCGGCGGGCGCGTGGGCGAGCCCGACGGCGTCGCAGCGGGACCGGGCGCGCGACCTGTTCGCGAGCAGCAGTGAGGGACGAGGGAGCGCGGGCGACGGCGCGAGCGCGCGCCGGGCGGCGAGGCCGGAGGAGGACGAGCTGGAGGGGGCCGAGCGCGACGAGCGAGCTTCGAGCTACACGGTGACGAGCTCGGGCGACGGTCGTGCCGAGGGCGATGAGCAAGGCGACGCGGGCGAGGGCTCGGGGGGCGCGCAGGGTGGAGCGTTCGTGTGCGTCGTGTGCGGCGACGAGATCTCGGGGCCGAGGTACTCGTGCGCCGTCTGCGAGGCTTTCGACTTGTGCCAGGAGGTGCGCCCGCTCTTTCTCCTTTTCCTCATCTTCTACGACACCGGCACTGACAGGTTCTGCTCATGCGCGCAGTGCGAGCGCCTGCCTGACCCGTCGTCGTCCTCCTCCTCGACTCCCCACGACCCGTCGCACATCCTGCTCAAGATCCCGGTCGCCTCGTCGGCGACGTCCTCTGGATCGAGTTCGTCTGCCTCGGCGTCGTCGATCAAGGCCGCCGTCTCGCGCGCTGCAGCGCTCGCCCACCCGTCAACTCGTTCCTCGACCGCGCCCTCGACCGCGCACCAGCTCGCGCCGGCGCCGCCGGCGAGCAGCGACGTCGCCGAGTACTGGAGCTGGTGGTCCGCCTGGTACGGCCCGCACGCGCATGCGCACCTGCGCGCCGCGTATCACCCGCCGCCGCCGCCGAGCTCGTGGTCCGCCTCGGCGGCGGGACCTGTCGCGGCGGCGGCTCCGCCTGCAGCGTCGGCGCAGCAGCCGGTCGAGCCCGACGCAGCTGTCGCGCAAGAGGCACCTGTCGCGCCTGTCGCCGTGCCGGCGCCGCCCGGCGCCCTCGCCCTCCCGCCCGCGGCGGCTCCTCCCCTTCCTCCGCCAACGCCCGCACCTCCCGCCCTCGGCTCGACGCCCTACCCTCTTTCTCCAGCACCTCCAGTTCCGCCTCCTCCTCCGCCCGTGTACCCGCTCGCCTCGCGCCGGCCACCCGTGCGCGCCCTCGCGTCGTACGGCCTGTACGAGTACGCCAATCACGGCGTCGCCTGCCGGCACTGCTCGAGGATCATCCCGGGCCCGTCGGCGATGGGCGTGCTCCCGACGGCCGACGGCAAGGAGAGGGGCGTGCGGTGGCTGTGCGCAAACTGCCCGACGTCGCCGTCGTACGACTTGGTGCGTCTCGCTCGAGCCTCTTCCTCTCTCCCCCCCTCTCTCTCTTTCCCTCTCCTCGCCTGAGCGCACTTGCTCATCAGCCCACGAGGCTCGTGCGCAGTGTCCCGACTGCGAGCCCCTGTCGCAGCAGATCCACGACCCGACGCACGCCTTTTTGCGCATCACGCACCCGATCCGCCGCCCGCTCCCCTCGGTCCGCGCCCTCCTCCCCGTCATCTACGCCCGCACTTCCGCAAAACCTCCATCGGCGGCGGCGTCGGCGTCGGTACGAGGCGTGCCCGAGCGCGACCTCATGGACCTGCAGAGCGAGTCGAGCGTGACGAGCGTCGACTCGGGCGGCTCGGGCTCGAGCGGCGGGAGCGCGAGGACGAGGGTGGGCTCGACGGAAGCTCGAGCTCAAGCTCGAGCAGCACGGCAAGGAGCAGGGGCGGCCGTCGGCGACGTCATCAACCACGGGCGGGTCATGTGCGACGCTTGCGGGCGGCGGGTCATGGGCATCTGGATGGCGTGCTGTGCGTCCCTCTCTCTCGCTTCTATTCCCTCTTTCTCCCTCTCCTCCCCTCGACGTTCCTCACTGACCCTCTCGCTCGCGCCGCACCTGCAGGTCACTGCCCGACGTCGTTCGACCTGTGCATGCCCTGCCTCCTCGCCGGCGCCTCCATCAAGCACGCGCACAACCCGGCGCACGTCTTTGTCGCGCTCAAACGCCCTGTCGACTTTGCGCTGCACGAGCGCCTGACGAGGCACCAGTCGAGGAGGCCGAGGGGACTGCTTGAGGTGGACCTGTACGCCTAGTCGAGCCGAGATTTGGTACCCGCAGCGTGCAACATGTTGTGTTTCAGTCTCCTCACGTGTCGAGCGTCGAGTACTGCGAGCTGTGCGTGTGCGAGAGCCGCAGCTCGCTCCTCCCGCTTGCGTCTCGTCCGTCGCTTGAGTCGTTCCTCTGCTTCGAGCAGCACGACCCTCTCTCTCGCGGTCGAGCGGGAGCCCATAGCGCTTGAGCAGGTGCGCAGGAAAGCATGCGCACGCACGACAGCTCTCGGCTGTGGTCAAGCAAGCAGGGTCGAGCGAGTCGAACTCGAGGGCTAGCGACTCGCCGACGAGCCGAGGCTGCTCTCCCAAATGGGTCCTCTCTCGCCCGACTCTCGCTCGTGCTCATGCGCGTGCTCGGGACTGAAACAGTCTCGTCGTTACAGTCGCAACTATGGGTGCTCTTCGACGCTCGCTCGTCGTCTGACGAGGCCAGAACGTGTGACGGAGAGGCGGGCCGTAGATCTGTGCGCATCGATCCAGGTCGCCTCGTGCGTCGTGTAGGCGCGTTCGACTGCTCGAGAGAGAGAGAGAGAGGAACGAACCGAGGACGAAGTGGTTGAGGGAGGAGAGAGCCCGCGGCGACCACCACGCGCGAGTCCAGGTTCCTTGAGCGATTTGTCACACGCCCCAGGTGCAGTAGACTGGGCAGCTTGCGCTCAGAGCAGATGAGCGGGACAGGAGAGAGCGAGAGAGCCGACCTCTGCCGCGACCTGTGGACGACGAGGACGAGGGGCCAGCTCTCGCTCAGACTGGACGAGCTCGCAGCCGCCCATGTGCTGCACACGCCGCTCGACACACCCGCAGGCTCAGCAAGGCCGGCCCCGGTGCGTCGAGACCGCTTCGCCCACTCCTCCTCTCGTTCCCCCGCACGTCCTGCACCACCGCCCTCGCACACGCCTTGGGGCTTACGTGCGGTCACTCAAGAGTCCTGTCTGACCCTCAGGCACCCCGCAGACGCCCTGCCGGCTCAGCAAGAGCGCACCTCGGCACCCTCCTTCCTCGTCATCGACCTCATCTGCTTCAGCGACCAGGTCCCCGACTCAGCCCCCTGTCGGCACCATCGCCCGCCCAACGTGACCTCGACCTCCAGACCCCTCGACTGCCGCCCGCGCACGCCGTCGTCAAGCGCTTTCGGTCGTCCTCGTTCCGCGGCGGCCAACTCGTCCTCGTCGATGTCGCGCCTGCACCGGGCCTGCGTCTCGCAGTTTCTTCGCGACACCTCTTCAACGTCTCGAGCCGGCACGAGTGTGGACGTGGCGGTCGCACCTCGCCGAATCGCTCGGTGAGCCCGCCCGCTCCCTACCCCTCTCTCATCCTGCTCGTATTTCCCGAGCTGACATCGCGCACGCGTACACGCGCAGGATTATCACGTCGACTGTCACGATCACTCGATGGACTGCTTCTACCGTCGACGCGACCTTGGCGGCAGCACCTGTTCTGCGGCAGCACATCCTCCCCCTTCCGCCAACCGGCCGACCTCGTCACGCCGTCGGCTCTACCTGCAAGACCTACACGACCGCATATTCGGCACCCGCGTCGTCTTCTTCAAGGGCCCAAACTCGTCGGCGCTGTACCGCCGCCTGTCCTCGTCCACCTCGACCAACCGGCCGACCGAGAACGCCCGACGGCCCGACCCGCACGACCCTGCGCACCGGCTTTGCGCTAGCTCGCCCACGCTCTTCCTCAACCGTCACGACGGCGCCCACTTGCGGCGTTGGCGACTTGGTCCCTCGAGGTGCGCTCGGCCGATTCTCTCTCGCTCTCTTCTCGTCCTCGTCGAGCTCACTGGCGCGTCGAGGCCCCTCCCTGCAGGTCCTTCTACCCCGACGTCGCTCACCATCTGCTCCAGTATACTGCCTCGAAGCGCTTGGCGCAGTAGCTCGACCGTCCGAGTCTCGTCAACTCGACTTTCGCCTCTCGCCGTCACACGTTCTGCCGACGCCGTCCTCCTCGCCGGCCCCGACTATGCGCCTCGTCGAGCACCTCCAGTAACGGCGCAAAAGAGTGCGCGCAGTGTAGCGCTTCGCGCCCGCACCGCAGGCGGCCTCCTTCGCCCCAACTTTCTTCCTTCTTGCCTCTCGACAACCCCGACTTTCCCTCGGGTTGCCTCTGACCTTGCTCTCCCCCTCTCAGTCTTCTTCGACGTCCTCGATGGTGCGAGTGGCCTGAACGCGATCGAGCCAGCAAAAGACGGTGAGCACCTCGGCTTCTTCCTCCTCTCCTTGGCCTCGTCGTCGACTGCCCGAGACGAACCTTGACGCGCTCTCCCCCTTCTGCAGGCACCTACAACCTCGCCGGATCGCCCCTCTCGACGATCCCGATGCTCTCGACCCATCTCCGCCTCATCATCCGCCTTCCTCCCTCGACCTCCTTCTCCTCGTCGACCTTCTCGCCGACCTTGGCCAAACCTCGACCTCGACTCGCTTAAATGCGTCAACGTAACCTCCTTCTTCGCCCCCCGTCGCCTGCCGACCTTCCCCGATTTGCCGCCCCGTCGCCCTCGCCCCTTGCCGCCGTGCTCGCGCCGAGCGAGCCGCCCTCGCCTCGCCAGATGTGCCGCACGTCGACCGAGCCCCAAGCACGACCAGAAGACACGGCGGCGAGGGCCGCTTGCGCGAGGGAGCTCATGGTGGACCGGCCGACGCGGCCGTCGTGCAACATGGCCAAACATTCCCCTCGTCGTCGCGCGACAAAATTCCGTGGCTCGCCTGGAGCGAGAGAGGCGGCTCGACGGCTCAGCTCGTTCGTGCGCCGGCGCTCTCGAGCGGCGGTGTTCGCCCTCGCGTCTCGACGGCCCTGGGCGTGCGCAGCGAGAGACGCTTGACCCGAAAGAGCGGTCTCGAAAGCTTTGTCTCGTGCCGACGAAAGGGCCGACCTCGCTCGCGAGAGTGCTGCCGACGGGCGCATGGCCGAGAGAGTGTCGCACAGAAGCAGGCCACGCGAGGTCCGAGTCGGCGACATCTTTGATCGAGAAGAAGCGTACGCTCGGTCTGTAAGGTCGGCCTCCGCACGTCGAGAGAAGAGCGGGGAGGCGGCGGTCGAGCTGCCGCCCTCGACACCGCCGCAGGAGCGCGTTTGAGAGGACGGAGCCACTGTACACAGTACTCAGAGCTCCTGCAAGCTAGCAGACCTGCCCCGCGAGAGCGAGAGCGAGGTGCAGACTGTCGGTAAACAACGCCGCGCCATCTCTCGCCTCTCTCTCTCCTTCTCTTCAGAGTACACCAAGCTACGGCACGATGATGCCGAGCTCAGCGTCCGCCCACTACGCGCCCGCCCATCTCCCCGGCTCGTACCACCCTCCCGCCTCGCCTCTCCTCCCTGTCGCGCGGACGACGACGACCTCCACCCTCGCCCTCGCCCTCCCCGTCCCGCCCCAGACCCGCCTGTGGCTCGGCAGCATGCCCGACGCAGTCTTCGAGGGCATCGCGCACAACCTCGCCTGTGACCGCGGCCCCGAGAGCCATCTTTGGTCGGCCCCGTCGCGCGACCTCGTCGTGTTCGCCTCGCTCAGTCGCGCGGCCCGCAGGGCGAGTCGACCGTACCTGTTCACGACGCTCAAGATCAGGAGTGCCCCGGCGACTCTCGGCGTCGCGAGCGCGTCTGGCCCGGCCCGCACCATCACGCTCGGCGACGTCCACGCCGTTCGGCTCGAGCCCGACAACCTGGCTGTCGCCAACCTCGGCGCAGGCCCGCCCAAGATCTTCATGACGTCGGCGCAGTGGCGTCACGGCGAGCAGGACGGCCGAGCCCTCGCGGCGTTCCTCGAGGACGGCCGCCTCACGAAGCAGCTCCGCCGCGTCCGCCTCGAGACGGACCGCCTCCCTCACGGTGTCATCCGCCGCATCGGTCGCGCCCTCTCGACCTGTCCCGAGCTCGTCTCCCTGCACCTCGACGACTTGCTCGTGTACGACGAGCCTGCGCCTCGTCGTTCGACCGGCCCACCCGTCCTCGCCCAGTTCAACAAGCTCCAGAACCTCCAGATCTTTGGCGCCGATTACCAGAACAAGGCATCGAAGGTACGTCGATTCTCTCCTCGACGCGGCACGTTCGACGACCCGAGATTGACCCCGTCCTTCCTCGTGCGCAGACCCTCGTGCCGCCCGACCTGTCGGCCCTCGCCACCTTGCGCACGGTCGTGCTCTCGAGATCCGACATACCCGGCTACACGTGCATCAAGTCGCTCAAGCCGCACCTGTCGCGGCTGACGGGCCTCGCCCTCGTCGGCGGCCGCTCGGGCCCGAACGTCGACGACATCCTCAAGGAGATCTCGGTACGTTCCCGCCCTCGCCCTCGTCCGGCACGGTCGGGCACTAATCGACTCTCCGGCCCTCGCACAGACCGTCCCGACTGCGACGCCGTTCGCGATGCGCGAGCTCGTCCTCAGCCTCGAGACGACCGAGAAGTGCCCGCAGCTGTTCCTCCGCCCGGCCCTCGCCGTCGTCGGGAGGACGCTTCGCGTGCTGTGCCTCATCAACTTTGGCAAGGTCTCGCCCGACGACTGCGCCGTGCTCGCCAACGTCGCGCCGCAGCTCACGACGCTCATCGTCCTCGCGAGCGACGGCGCATTCGTCAACCAGTGGCCTTACAAGGTCGTGAGTGATTTTCTCCCTCACCCTCTCCCTCTCGCTCTCGCATTTGCGACCGCAATTGACTCCCTCCCTTTACAGGAGCTGTACCTCGCCGAGCTTAAGAAGCTCAAGGGCCTGCGCCGTCTCGCGTGGGACAAGGCCCCGGACGCCAAGGCCGCCTCTCGCGCGAAGAAGAACCGCCGCCGCACCACGCCGACCGACAACCAGGCCCTCTTCAAGACGCGAAGGGCCGTCGAGCTCAAGCTCATCGGACGCGTCTTGGCCAAGGACGAGTCGCTCATATCGGTTTTCGTCACCGAGGGGCGAGTCAAGAACGGGTCCGTCGATCTGTTTCCCTCTGTCGCGCCCTCTTCTCGCAGGACCCAGACCTGAATCTTTACGTGATGCGCAGATGGCTCGGGACCGAGGGCACGTTCAACCCTGCCTCGGGCGAGAAGGTCATCATCGAGAACCAGCGTCTGGATGTACGTCCACTTTGCCTTCTGCCCTGCCTTTTCCGATTCTTCGGCCTCGACTCACTCACGGTATCTCGTCCGCAGCTCGACCAGAGCATCTACAGCGCGTGGGAGGCGGGCAAGGCGGCATGAAGGACGGCGAGGCGGGAGGGCCGGCGGCGATTCGGGTCGGGTGTGCTAGAAGTGACTTACAGAGTGCAACTTACTTGAGCCTAATGCTCGATCCCATGCCTACCCGGTGCCACAGCAGAGCGCGAGAGTCTCCTCGACTCGCAGGAGCTCGCGCGTCGGCTCCTCCGGATCCCCACCTCCCCACTTTGCTCTCCTTCTCTCTTTTGCCTCGTCACAGCTGCACAGCGTCCCTGCGCAAGCTCGAACGTGTCGTTGACGCACAGCTCGGTTCGGCCGCGAGCGTGTGAGAGAGCGCGAGAGTGCGCGGCCAGTCGGCGCTCCTGTCCACTTTCCTCCTCCCGCTCGTCCTCGCAATCTCGTGCGGGCACATCGAGCAAAGGTGGAAGGGCTCGAGCCCGACGTCGAGTACTCGTCTCGAGAGGTCGAACGAGCAGTGGACCACCGAGCGAGAGCGAGGCATGCCTGCAAGAATGCTCGCTTCGTCCTCCTTGTCCTCCTCCTCGGCCTCCACTCGTGCGAGCGCTGTCTCGAGGCGGTCGCCCCGTGTGCTTCAGGCGCGCGCTTACGGCTCGAGAGCCAAGACGAGCTCGAAAGGAGGAGCAAGGAGAGGAAAGCCTCTCACGCGAGCCGACCTTCTCAAACGCAGAGGTGCGCAGGAGACCGCCCTCAGCTCCTCCTCGTTCGCTCTGCTTCGAGCCTGAACCTGTCAAATGACTCTCTCTGCGCGCGTTGAGCGTCTCAGGCGAGAGGACGAAGCGAGACCGAGTGAGCCTGTCCTCCTTCCGCGTGAGTGACTTTTCTCACAGACAGTCGAGCCGGCCCCGCTCCTTCCTCTGGCTCGAGACGGTCGGCCGTCGCTCCCGAGCCTCTCTGAGCATCGGACGTCGAAAGCGAGGGCATACTGTGACATCGCGCTTGAACGCGCCCGCGGGCTCCTCCTCCTGCGCTCGAGAAGGTCGGGTGGCTGCTGTGCGAAGGACCCGCGCAGTGGTCGCGTTTCCCTCTCCGCCCTGCTCAAGCCGACCTCCTTCGTCGGAAACGAGTGGGTTGGTCGGCGGTGCTGCTGTGAACGGCCATGCCAGGAAGAGGCTCGTGCGTGTCCGAGCCTGCGCTCCAACCGGGTCCGCGCTCGCCGTTCGCCTCTCCTTTCTCGTTGTACACCTGCACAGCTGGGCTCTACCGCGGAGCAGCAAAAGCTGAAGCGTCTGGCGCCAGGACGATTGCGCGGAGCCGCCAAAAAAAGTGAGGGGGCCTAACCGGGGATTGAACCCGGGACCTCTCCCAAATTGTCGACTTGCGCCGACCCTAAGAGAGAATCATGCCTCTAGACCATCAGGCCCTCGATATGACCTCGAGCCCGCCTGTACACCCACAACCAGCACATCCTTTCCGAAACCGATTCCACCGCCAGCCGGTCCGGCCGCTATCCTCGCTGCACCGTGTGATCCCCAGGAATCCGCAGGTCGTTCACCGAACAGCACGAACCCGACAGGCTGCGACGCGCAAGACCGGCCAGCTGTTTCTGCAGCTGCGGAACTCTCGTCGCGGCTCTCGTCGGGCTCGGACCGCACTTTCCTCGAGGCACGTCAACTGTATTTGCAACGAGGCACTCGCTATGTGGGACCCTCACTCGCGACGCTCCCTCGATCGTCCAGCAAGGCCGCCTCGCTCGCCCGCGGCGGGTCCTCCCTCTCGCTCCTCAAACTCGCCGATGCCGCCTCGCGCGTAGAGTAACCCTTGTCGGGCGCCCTCTCTGCGCTCGAGATGTGCGCGTGGAGGTCCTGCGTGCGTGCGGAAAGGGGGCGCGTCAGGGCTCAGGACCAGGGCGGACGATCGAGAGGGAGAGAGAGGGTGCGCACCATCCTGGTCAAGAGGCCCATGAGCGCGCCCTGCCGGGTCAAGAGGACGAAGCGCAGGCCGATGCGCTGAAACATCTGCACGACGAGCTCCATCGGCGTGTCCTGGGACATGCAGACGGGGATCTGGCGAGGGGGTGCTCAAGGTGGGTCAGTGCACGGGCTCGACGGCTTCGAGGGCGCGAGAGAGAGAGAGCGAAAGGGAGACGCACCTCATCGACCCAGGGCGCCAGGCTGACCCACGCTCGCCCTTCTCCCTCGAGTGCGCCGAGCGAGGTAGCCGCCGACTCGTCGCCGTTGAACTCTTGCCCGAGGCCCCCGCCGTTGCCCACTTGCCGAGGATCTCGCTCGAGGTCGACGGCCATGCTGCAGCGCTGCGTTGGGCTGTGTGCGGGCGAGTGCGGGATCGGGATTTGCGTGCCTCGTCGGGGGCGAGAGGCAGAGGCGAAGAAGCACGGCGTGTCGGGCGTGACCTCCGAGACGTGACGCAGGTGGTCTGCGGGCGCGCGAGGCAGGTCAGGCGTGGGACGCGACGGTTCGAGGCAAGAGGCGGGCGTACCGAGCGCCTCCCGTAGCTCGGCTCGACCGATGTAGCCCAAGATGACCCTCGACCGCATCGACTTGAGGACCGGGAACCCTCGCCAGTCCTCCTTGTCAAGAAGCGCCTCTGCGATACGGAGCACGACATCAGGTTTCGGACGCCTCGGGACGAGGCGAGAACGAGAGGGCGAGGACGCACCGAGCCGTGCCACCTCCCACCCCTCGTCCGACACGCAGGCAAGCTCGGCGACGGGCGTCATGACGTGGCGAGCGAGGACCGTGTCGCGGCGATAGTCGAGCTTGTTGTTGAGGAACGGGTAGTTGCGCAGGTTGATCCAGGCTGCGAGGACGTGGGCGTGAGGAGGGCGTCGAGGAAGAAGATGGGGGAGGGCGATTGGACGCACTCTCGTAGATGCCGTTCTTGGAGATGTAGTCGCCCGTAAACTTTGCGACCATGACTGAGTACACGAGAGAGTGTGTCAGGACCGAGTCGAGGGGCGGCCGAGGAAGAGAAAGAGAGAGTGAGGGACGCACCGGCCAACATGAGCTGAATGACGATGTCGATGGCGCCCGTGAGCTCGAACAGGATGACGACCTGTGCGCGACGTGCGAGAAGGGATCAGTGACCGTCTTTGACGCCGAACGAGAAAAGGCACGACGACCTCGTGAGGACGGACGGACCAAGCTGATCGTCATCCTCGTCACGCCGCCGAGCGCGCTCGCGGCGCCGATGACGGCGTACACGCTCGGGTTGATACAGCCACCGTCGGCCGGGCAGTCGGCAAAGACCCAGCTCGCCGGGTGCGCCTTGTGGAGCGCGTCCATGACGAGACCGACGGCGCGACCGGCGCAGGCACCGACCGTGAGCGAGGGCAGGAAGACGCCGGCCGGGATCGAGGCGCCGAACGTGGCGGCAGTGAGGAGGGTCTTGGCGAAGGCGGCGAGGAGGAGGAGGAAAACGATGGACGAGGTCTTGGACGAGCTGCAGCGGGAGAGAGTGACGAGGAGGGTGTCAGGTCGCTCGGCGCGCTCGAGATAAGAGTGAACGGGACGCACTCGCACAGGCCATGAGCGTCGGGTCCACTGCAGTCCTGGAAGAGCGCGACGACGAGCTCGGCGCTCGGGACCCGCATGAAGACGACGAGGTAGCTGACGACGGCCGTGAAGAGGGCGAGGACGCCGACCTCGGTGACGGGCCAGTCCTGGAGCCCGCTCGTGCGCCGGATGCGCTCCCACTCCTCGTTGATGTGGATGAACCAGGCGCCCCAGATGCCGCCGGCGACGCCGAGGAGGAGCCACGGCACGAGCTCGAACCCGCGCCAGACCTGCGACGCCGTCACTTGGAACAGGGCGAGCTTGCCCGTGTTGAACGGGTCGATGTACTGGAGTGTGACAGCGGCGACGATGGCGCACACAAACGACTGCCACAAGGTCGAGCCGGGGAAGAAGGTCGAGATCTCCTCTGCGCGCGTCGGGAGCGAGGGTCAGTACGTGCTCTTGGCGGGACCGGCAGTGAAAGACAACGACGCACCGAGAGAAAAGAGAACGCCGCCGAGTGGAGCGCCAAAAGCCACCGAGACGCCGGCAGCTGCTGCCGCCGACAGAATCTCGCGATGCCGTGCTGCGGGAGGAAGCACTCTGTGAGCGCTCGTTCGGCCCGCCTGAGGGCGAAAGGGAACGACAGGGACGCACCGCCGTTGGTCCGTAGGGCCTCGAAAGGCCGCAGAACGAGGTCACAGATGCAGCACGCGACGTGGACGAGCGGACCCTCCTTGCCGAGGCTGAGGCCGCTCGCGACGGCGAGCGGGAGGCCGAGCGACTTGATGAGGAGCGTCATGGGCGACAGGAATCCGCGCATGACGTAGCCGCCGAGGAGGACCTTGATCTCGGGGATGCCCGTGTGGAAGGCGAACGGCGCAAAGATGTTGACGAAGGCGGACGAGGTGAGGGCGAACAGGACCTGCGCGCGCCTGGATAATCAGTGGCCCTTCCTCGACGGCGTCTGCTGCGTGAGGAGAAAGTCGAGCGCACCGCTGTCGCCATGTAGACGCTGTACTGTGCGAGCGCCCTCGCGACGACGTGACCCTCCTTTGCCGCAATCTCGCCCCACGTCATCCACGCCCGACACTGCTCACCTGCTGCGGACGGGGGCCTTGGCCGGCATCAGGTACGTGGCTCGAGGACGGTGACAGAGAAACGAGGGACGCACGATCGAGCCCGGCACAGCACAAGCCCTTGCTCATCCACCACATGTCGGTGCACTTGCCCGTCCTCAGGTCGCTCAGCCACGCACTGAGGATGTCGAGGCCGCTCGCGACCGCGCCCGTGAGGACGCCGACGAGGACGACAGCGACCCAGGGGCGACCGGCGTCCCACGTGCGCGCGACGACGCCGTGCAGGCCGGGGAGGGCGGCGAGGTGCGCCTTGCGCGCTCGCTCGAGGGCGTAGCAGTGCGTCCAGTCGATGGTGGAGCCGCTTGCGGAGAGAGAGGCTGGGTCGGCGTGCGGCTTGGCGCTGCGGCGGTCGTCGGGTTGGACGGCGCGACGAGCCGAGATGGGGGTTGGAGGAGAGGGCGAGGTCGAGGACGAGGACGAGACGCGCGGCGCGGCGAACAGGTGCGACGGGAACGAGGGAAAGTCGCGCAAGTACTCGGTCGTGCTCGGCGAGCGGGAAGGGCTGTGACGGACGGCAACTTCATCAGCGACGAGAGCTCGGCGGGGAGGGGAGGGGGAGGACGAGAGCGCGGAGCTCACCCGTTGGGCCTGGGAGGCGCAGTGTACTGGTCGGAGTAGCTCGTCGGCGCGTCATGGGCAGCAGGCATCCGCGCTGGCGGGCGAGCGGGAGCCGGTGGAGCGAGGGCAAGCGCGAGGACTTGCGGCGACACGACAAGTTCGATCCAGTCGCTCTCGCTCTCTCTCGCAGGGCTGTGCAGCACACGGAGCGACAACAACGACCCCGGTTTCAACCCAAACGTCCCGCTCGCTCCTCGCTCCTCGTTCCGTTCCAACACGCCCGCCCGAGTCCTGCCGTCGACCAACGCCGCGCTCTCCCCCACCGCGTCCCGCCCAGGTACCCCGTCCGACAGGCTCCACGCGCACCGAGAGATGCAGGCTCGCCAAAGGGAGAGGAGCGGGCGGAGGATGGTGGTGCCGGACAGGGCGAGAGGGAAGGTCGAGGGAGAGATGGGAGCGCGAAAGGTCGAGGCGGGGAGAGGGAGGGTGGGGTCGGGACCAAGGGGGCAGAGAGGCTCACAAGGACGGAGGAGCTTACTCCGCCTTGACCTTGCGGGTGGCGGTGGTGCCCTCGCGGAAGCTGCGGCGCGAGGAAGGTCGTCAGGGCCGGGCCCAGGGGAGGAACGAGGACGGCGACGACGACGCACCCGTTCTTGAAGCGGCGCGAGACGCCCTTCAGGTGCTGCATGCGGCCAGTGCCAGTGGTGTGGCGGCGCTTGGCCTTCTGTCCCCACTCGTCTGCGCGGCGAGGGAGAAGGCGAGGTGAGCACGACGGCGCGCGAGGGCCGGACGAGGCTGAGAGGGGGACGCACACGAGCGGAGCTTGGCCGCGGGGTAGCCGCACGAAGCGCACGACTTGTGCTGCTTGTGGAACGAGCGGCGGCCGCAGCGACGGCACAGACTGTGGGACCACGAGGGTCAACCGGGTGCTCGCGAGACAGGAGCGCGGCTTGTCTCGAAGCACGGGCAAAGAGAGCGTTGGACGCACGTGTGACTCTTGGTGTGGCGGAGACCGAACGAGGTGGTACCCTTCGTCTGTGGGGCGCAAGGAGGAGTGGGTCAGCGTCGGGCCTCGAGGCGCCTGGGTCGTCGACCTCGCCCGCTCCCGATCCTCGCGCCGTCCTGCTCCTCCTCTCTCCAACCCTGCGACGTGTTGCGGCAGCAGCAGCTTGCTGGGACATGTGGGGAGGGCGGCAAGGCGAGGGGAGGTCGAGGTGCGAATGTGGGTGGTCGCGCTTGGCGGGGCAGCATGTCGTCGCGGCCTCGAGCCGGGCGGGCGACCTGGTGGCCGGGTCGAGCGAGAGGCGTGGGAGGGAGTGGCGCAAATGGCGTGCGCTCAGAGGCGGGTTGTCGAGGCGTCGAGGCGGACGAGGTCGAGGAGGTCGAGGTGGGAAGCTGCTGCTGCTGCTCGGGCGTCGTCGCCGCGTCCCGAGTGCCCCGTGCGCGCCCCTGCTGCCGCTCCTTGGGCCGTCCTGGTCCCACCTGCCCGTGCCGTCCTCCACGAGAGCGCGAGTGGGGCTGTGCGCCGGGTTGCGCTCCAACTTTGCGAGAGAGCGAGGACGGGGGCATGGCTCGCTCGCCGGCCTCGGGTCGTTCGAGGGGTCGGGGGCGGGTTGCGGGAGGGTGGTGCGAGGTGGCGGGCTTACCATTGTCGCGTCGGAGAGGGGGGTTTGGCCTGCGAGAAGACGAGGAGACGAGAGGCCGGGGGAGGCGAGGCGGCGAGGCGGCGAGACGGCTCGGACCAAGCGCGCGCCGCCAAAGTCTGCCTCGCCGCTCGCGCTCGCCTCCCTCTTGCTCTCCACCTCCTCCTAGGACCACAAAGGCACCCTTGTGTAGGCGTAGGTCACGATGCAGATCTTCGTCAAGAGTGCGTCCTCCCTCCTCTCTGTCCCCCTTGCCCCACCCCCGTCCCTCGCTCACCCACCTCTCGTCCGTCCGTCCGCAGCCCTCACGGGCAAGACCATCACCCTCGAGGTCGAGTCGTCCGACACGATCGACAACGTCAAGGCCAAGATCCAGGACAAGGAGGGCATCCCGCCCGACCAGCAGCGCCTCATCTTTGCCGGCAAGCAGCTCGAGGACGGCCGCACCCTCTCGGACTACAACATCCAGAAGGAGTCGACCCTCCACCTCGTCCTGCGCCTTCGCGGCGGCATGGCCAAGAAGCGCAAGAAGAAGACGTACACCACCCCGAAGAAGATCAAGCACAAGCGCAAGCCGGTCAAGATGGCCGTCCTCAAGTACTACCGCGTCGACTCGGACGGCAAGATCAAGCGCCTCAGGCGCGAGTGCCCGGCCGAGACCTGCGGCGCCGGTGTCTTCATGGTGCGCCCCCTCTCGCCTCCTTGTCGAGCGACACCGTCGTCTACGACGCCAAGAACTGACCCTCCCCTCCTCCTCCTCCGTCCCACGCTCCCTCTCCTCCTCCTCGCGTCGCACCTCCTCGATTCTCGCGTACGACAGGCTGCCCACAAGAACCGCCAGTACTGCGGCAAGTGCGGCCTGACGTACCTCCACGAGTAATCGTGTCGTCGTCCGTCGTCGTCGACTGGAATGATCTGCCCCACCTCCCCCAGAAGGAGAGCGAGAGAGAGCTCGGCTCGATCGGCTCCTCGCTTCTCCGTCGTCAGCTTCATCCGCGTCGTCGCACCCGCCGCTGATGTCGCCAGTCGTCGTCGAGGTCCGAGCGAGCCGCTCTGCCCTTCGCCGCTTCTCTTTCACTGGCTCGTTGCTCGTTCTCTGCTTCCAGCCTTCGCTCTCTGCTTCCAGCCTTCCGCTCTCGGTCGCACGAGCTCGCGAGGGACGCGGCGAACGTTGCGCGAGCACCGCCACTCGGCTTGCGCCTCGCGTCGCTCTCGGGCTCTTTTGCACTCTCGGACTCTCTTCCGCTCTCGACCCGGCTGTGCGCGTCGTCGGCGTGACCATGAACGCGTTCTGCGTCTGCGCTGTCTGCTACAGCCTCGATCTGTCGCACGCCGCGACGACCTCTCAACCGTCGAGGCGACCCTCGCCAGCTTAGCGGCGGATGCGGGCAGGGACGAGCGGTCCTCTGCCGCCACCAGGCGTTTAGCGAGGTCGCAGCTGGGTCGTCCAGTCGCCGGAAGCAGGCTAGGGCGGGCTCATTCGAGAGAAGCCGGCGAGCGAGGAGCGTGAAGTCGGGAGGCGAGGTCGAGGAAGAGCGTCCACAGCTGTAGGGAGGGCTGGGCCAGCAGGAGGCCCCAAGAGAGCACACAGGCGACCGCGTGAGCTGTACGAGCTGCTGCTGATGCAGTCGAGAGCGGGGCCGAGGCGGAACAAGAGGGAGAGGAGCGGCGACGACGACGAAGGCGAGCTCCCTCTCTCCACCTCGTGCAGCGGGCCAGAGCCAGTCCAGTACCTCTGTGCACCTCACATCAGCCTACCGCGCCACTCGCCCGCACCCGCACACGCGCCAGCGCCCTCCCCGTCCCCTCGACTCGCCTCGTCGCCCTCCTGTTCGGCTTCCTCCTCCGCACGAGCAGCTGCAGCCGTACCTGCACGTGTGCAGCGTCCAGCACACCAGCCTCGGCATCCTCAGTACCACCCTCGCCGCCACCTCGCTCCACTTCGAGCACCATCCGCCCCGACTCGCCTCATCTCCCCCCACCTCGGTTGATCGAGGCTCAGGTGCGTCGCACAGCTCGCTCTACCAGCCCTGCGCTCGCCCAGTTGCGCAGAAGGACTACTGACACGCTCGACACGTCGGCAACAGCCTCTCATCACCTCCCTCGTCGCCGCCACCTCCGCCCTCCGAGTCGTCGGGCTCGATCAACCATGAGTGGGGTTGCTCAGCCTGTCCCGGCGGCCCGCGCGGCATCCACCTCGGCCACAGACGACGCCAGCCTGCTCGACAGCCTCTCCTACGAGGTTCTCAACATGATCATCGCGCACGTCTGCCCGCCCACCACCATCACCCTTCTCGGCGACGTCCAGCAACCCGACCCGCTCGACGACTCGCACAACCTCCTCGCCGTCCGCTCCACTTGCCGCCTCTTCAGGCTGTTGTGCCAGCCGTTCGTCGACGCGGTGTACGGCAAGTTCCCCGACGAGGTCGAGGCGTCGACGCAGCAGATCTTGGACGTCTTCCAGGTGACGAGGCCGCGAGCACGCCGGTGCCGCAAGCTCGTCCTCGCGCAGACGACGTCCAAGACGATCGAGCAGCTGCGCGCGACCGGGGCGGAGTGGGCGACGGTCTTTCCCGCCCTGAACGAGGTCGTCCTCTCCGGCACGGCCACGTTCGACCTCAGCTACCTCCCCAACTTCGATCGTACGTCCTGCCCGTTCCCTCAAATACTCGAGAGATAGAGCCTCACCCTTTCACCTTGCAGTTCTCGCCCACCTCGATGTCGCCAACCAGGCGTTCTGCACCTCCTCGCCGCGCCTCACCTTTCCCTCCCTCGTGTCCCTCAACCTCAACATGGTCAACACGAAGCAGTGCTGGCTCCTCACCAAGAAGAGCATGCCCGCACTGCGCCACCTGTCGATCGGCGACATCATGGTCAAGAAGAAGCCGTCGCCCCCCTCGCTCGCGACGACCGACCTGCTCGGGCAGCTCGAGTCCCTCGAGATCGGCGAGGACACCAAGGCCGGGTCGGACACGTCTTGTCTCATCCCCATCCTCGACCTCCCGCCCTCCCTGCCCGTCCTGTGGTGCATCAACCTCGACTCGACCAACACGCGTCCCGTCACGCCGTCGCCGCGCCGCACCTACGTCCGCATCGACCGCGTCGACGTCCTTGCCGCCGACGACGTCGAGCCCCGTCTCGCCCGCCTCACCAAGCTGAGCGCCGTGCTGGCGGCGCTCCCGGACCTCGAGCTCGTCTTCGTCCCGCGCGAGCTCTGGGCCCCGTCGCAAACGCCGTCGATGGCCGCCACGGCGGCGCAGCAGGCGCTCAAGGAGTCGCTCAAGGCGCGCGGTGTCGAGGTGAGAGCGTTCGACCCAGACGAGCGCGGCGGCGCGTCGCGGCACCTCGCGGCGTTCCTGCGCGAGCGCGCCACGGCGACGAGGGTCGGGCGGCAGGGGGCGACGAGGGTCGGGCGGCAGGGGGCGACGTAGTGCGAGGTCGAGAGGAGTATCAGTGTCGTTCCCAGATTTGCAACCCGCTTATAGTGCCGTCGTTCCCTCGTCGCGAGCGTTCCGAGAGTGCGAGTTTGAGAAGGTCGGCTCGGTCGCGAGCTCTCGAGCGATGCGGCAGCCTGGCGGTCTCTCTTTCTCTCTCGCTCTCGCCAGCAGAATGCTTCTTGAGCCTGATAAAGGTCGAGACGGCGGCAGAGCCGTGAGTGCGACGCGCTCGGCGGCTCGTGAACGTCGGCAACAGAGTTGCAGTCGGTCTCTACAGCCTCCTCCGGTCCTCGCGACACGTTCTGCCTGAAGCTCGTCCTCGCAGCTCACGTCGCTCGGAGTGTGTCGGTGTTTGCGCGCTCGTGAGTGTCGAGCTGCGCGCCGCCGACAAGATCGTGCGTCGCACTGGCGACGTCCTCGAGCCGAGGCGAGCGCGTCTGCGGCAGCGTCGGCGCCCACGAAGCCAGAGGTGAGGCGTCTCGTCGAGTCGAGCGTGCTGCTGTGAGCGACGGTTGGCGTGGGTGACGGCGAGGGCGAGCGCGAGACGGTCGAGTTGGTCGAAGGACAGAGCCGAGGGGAGGAAAGCAGGGCAGACGTGGGTCGCACTTCTTGACGTCCCGGTGCGCATGACCGAGGTGCGGCTGCGCGCCGAGATGGACCGGGCCTCGCCCAGTTCGAGCGAGCAGGGCGAAGAAGCGGGCCGCAGGGACGAGCGAGAGGCGGACCCGGCCGTCCACCTCGCGCGCTGCGGCCGAGCAGGAGCTGTGCGCCCACAGAGAGCAGCTGTGAGCGAGTCTAGAGACACAGCAAGCGCGCAGAGCGAGGTGCTGCGACGAGGGAAGCGAGGGTCGCGCGCGGTCGACGAGGGGAAGAGCGGGCCGCGCAGCGCGTGGGCTCTGGTCGCGCGCCCGCGCAGAGCGGTCGCACAGAGGTGCAAGCAAGCAGGGGGCTGTTTGGCGCAGGAGCGAGAGCGCGGGCGAGGGAAGAGGCAAGCCAAGCGCCGGCTCGGGAAGCAGCGTCACTCCTTCCCTCTGTCCTCACCCTCTCGCTGTGCGTGCCACAGTCCGCGAGCACCACCATGGCACCGTTCCCGACGCGCCACACGCGCAAGCCGAGCGACACGCTCCTCCCGACCTTCCACTCGCCCTCGCCCGCCTCGTCGTCGCCGTCCCACTCGCCGCCGCACTCTGGCCTCGCGACGGGCCCCGGCCACGCCTACCCGCCCTTGCCCGTCTCGCCGAGCCCCTCGCAGCCGACCAGCCCGCGCTCGCGCTCGCCCGTCGAGACTCGCCCTCCCGCCGCCGGCCCCGAGCACCACTACGCCCCGCAACACCACCACGTCGACCCGCTCCAGCTCTTTGGCGCAATGGCTCCCCCGACAAAGGGCAACACGGGCGGTCTCGGCGGCATCACGGCTGCCAGCACCGACACGGTCCGCAGGTGCCTCGAGGTGCGTCCCCCTCTCTCCCCCTCTCTCCCTCCCCTCGACCGCGCGCCCGACGGAGGCTGTGACGACGGTCGGGAGCGGGCTCGGCCGTTCTCGTGCCGCTCGTCGGCAGGTGGACAGCGTTCTGGGCGAGGCACAGCTGGGCCGGACGAGCTGGACCCGCCGTGCAGCGTCGCGTCCTCGGCGTCGGCAGGACCGCGGCGCGAGGTCGAGGTGGGGGAGCGCGCATCGGGCCTCGGGCGCAGGCGCAGGGGAACGAGCCGAGCGTCAGAGTCGCTTGTCTACACGATGCGCAGGCGCCGAGCATGGCCAACCCGCCCGCACACGCCTCGAGCAGCCACTGACTCCTCCTCTTTCTCCTCCTCGCGCAGGAGAACCACATCCGGTACGTCGAGGCGACGGCCCTGTCCGCCAGAGATGCGACTGACCCGGTTCCCTGGACCCGCAGGTCGCACACCTTCTTCAACGACAAGGGCTTCCACAACCACTGCTCGCATCACCGTGAGCTCCCCGTTCTCCCTCTTCGTCTCATCATTTGCGGGCAGACGGGTTACTGACGACTCGGCGATCCTGCCACAGTACTCGCCTCGTACTCGCTCGGCGCGAGCCCGGCCCTCCTCGAGGACATCTACAAGCTCCACCACGAGACCGCCTTTGTGCGCCCACTCTCCCTCGTCTCGTCCAGCCGAGCGACGCTCACGCGTCTCCACGCTCTCGCAGAAGCCCATGCCGCCTCTTGCACCAGAGCAGATCACCGAGGCCAACTGGACCGACCACCTCGGCGACGAGCAGTCCGTCCTCTTCTCTCCCATCTTGACCCGAGGGTCCGCCGTGACGCTCTCTGCCTCTCGCAGGTACTACCCGAACTACCTCGCCTTCTTCCACCGCCTCATCGCCCCGTTGCCGCCTGCCTCGAGCGCCTACGCCGGCCGCAAGTCGAGCGCGATCCCGGTCCTCGAGCGCTTCCTGTTCGGCGGCGACGGCCAGATGCTCGCTCGAGCCGTGAGCGGCGCCATCCACCCGCTCATCCACATCGGTCACGGCATCGAGTTTGGCCTCGACGCGCACGTCGCTGAGGGTGCGTCCCGCCGCCCCTTTCCCCCTTTTTCTCCAGACGAGGTCGCTCACTCTCTCGACGTCGCAGGTCTCGCCCAGTGCGCCGTCCACCAGGCCAAGGCGGCACCGCTCTTCCCGGAAGAGTGGCCGCCTTGCCCGCCCAAGCCGTCGCAGCTCCAGTCGACCCTGTCGTCGGCCTTCCTGTCGCTCGGCTTCACGTCGTCCATCCCGTCGACCTCGGTCTACACGTACTTTGGCGGGCAGAACGTCGCCTCGCCACGCATCTCGTTCGCCGCGACGGCCGCCGCCCTCCCGAGGGACAAGCGGTTCCCGCGCGTCGGCCTCTCGGGCTTCACGATCCTGTCGCGCATCCTGCACGACGAGGCGCTCGCGCCCGGGCGTGCGTGCACCCTCGACGACTTCCCCAAGCTCGACGCCGTCCTGCGCAATCGCGCGAGCCGCATCGTCCAGTGGTGCGAGGAGTGGCGGTTCAGCAACGAGCGCGCCGCCGCGTGGGAGGACGCCGAGGCGCCGAGCGGGACCAAGCCCAAGCTCACGGGCGTCACGCCCGAATGGGCCGAGTGCGTCGAGAAGTGCGAGGAGCTGTTCTGGATGGCGACCGTCATCCACGCCGCGTCGAGCCGGCCCGGGTACAAGGACGTCAAGCTCGACTTCTTCCTGTGCGTCCTCTCTCCCTCGCTCCCTTCCTTTCCCGCGACCCGCACTGACTCGACGCTTTACGCAGCATGCACGGCCTGACGAGCGTCCTCTTCCTCCCGCCGCTCCTCGAGGCCATCTCGCCCCACCTGCGCCCGTACCTCCTCACCTCGCACTTCCGCATCCTCGTCGCCTACTGGGTCTCGCGCGGTCGCCCCGACCTTCACGTCGCCGACACGCTCATGGCCGCGACGCCGTACCCCCGGCCGCCGCCCGTGTCGTCGCCGCCGTCGACGACCGCCGTCCGCCGCGCGCTCGACGAGAACCGCCACAACAAGGGCCACGACCCCGAGGACCCGTCGACGAGCGCAGACGGCGGTGTCGAGTCGCCCGCAACGCCCAAGGCGATGCACGCCCAGCCGTTCCCGGCGCCGGACGCCGACTCGAGCTCGTCGCCGCACGACCAGGACGACGGCTCGAACCCGTGGATGCGCGTCCTCGCGAGCGCCGTCGACCACGACGACGAGCACGCGACCAAGGTCGTCCGCTCGCTGTACTACGCGGCGCAGCACTTTGGCACGAGCCAGAAGGGCATGTTCACGAGCTCGCTCCCCGGTTCCGAGCTCATGGACGGCTCCATCTTCATCCGAGGTGCGTCTCTCTTTCTCTCTCTCCCTTCTTCCATTCTCCTTCAAGAGCCTCTCCCTGACAATGTCCTACACGCACTTTACGCAGCCGCCGGCCTCACGCTCGCCTCGGTCGGCTGGGCGCACGAGGGCGTTCCCGGCGCGCCCGGCTCGTGGGACCGCTCGTCGCTCGGGTTCCCCTCGACCTGGGACGACTCGGAGCTCCTGCCCGGCGCGTCGTGGCCGCCGTACCCGTCGTCGTCGTTCTCGGACCGCAAGGGCAAGAGCCGCGAGCCGAGCGCCGGCGGCGCCTCGTTCTCGTCGGCCTCGAGCTCGCGCCCGGCGTCCTTCTCGCGCTCGAGGAGCGGCACCATCGTCGCCGGCGGCAACGGCAACGGCACCGCCGACCACGAGGTCGTCCACTTTGCCGCGGGCGACTCGGCGCTCTTGAGCCCGCAGTCGGCCACGGGCGGGTTCGGCTTCCACCGCGCCGCATCGCCCAACGGCAGCGCGTCGGCGGCGTCGTCGCGCGCCCCGTCGCATCAGGGGAGCGTGAGCGACAGCTTCGCGCCGGCGATGAACCGCGAGGGCGAGCACAGCCGCAGCGCGAGCCCGGGCCTGGGTGCGAGCGGCAGCGTCGAGGGTAGGGTCGGGTGGAGGAAGGTCGGTGAGGAGGTGACGGACGAGGACCGGAACCGGCAGGCGATTGACGAGGAGGAGCACGAGCTCATGGGTTGAGAGCGAGGGCGCCCTTCCTTTTCCTTTCTTTCGCGTCGACCTCCCTTCTCCTCTCTCTCTCTTTCTCTCCTTTACCTCTCTCGCCAAGCCGTAGACACTCTTAGCATCTTTGTACTTGCACCGTCGGTTGCGCTTGCCTCTCCTTGTCGTGCTCTCGGACCTCGAGAAGAAGAAGGACGAGAAGGAGGAAGACGGGCCTTGCGAAAGTGGCACAATCTACAAATGGCGATGCACGAAACGGAGAGGGTGACAACAAGGGAAGCGCTCGCTCAGAGAGCCGTACCGGGCGCGATGAAGGAGGGGAGCGGGAAAGGCGTCGAGTTGCCGTCGAGGGGCGCGAGCTGGAACGCCGAGCCTTGGAGCGACATCGGGTGCGGCGCAGCCTGCGACGACGACGTACGTCAGGTCGATGCTCGTCTCGTACGAGGAAAGAAAGAGAGAGAGAAGGAGACGCACCTCGAGGCCGATGTTCAGGAACGAGAGCAAGAGCGGGAGGAGGCTGTTCTGCTCGGTCGTGAGGACGAGCTCCCTGCCCGTCTTGAGGAACCGCCCGTGCACGCTCCTCGCGCCCTCGAGCTCGTCCCTCGTGCCCTGCGCCGCTGCCGCTGCGCCGTTCGCGGCGCGCGCTCGTCCCGCCGCGCCGAGGTCGGCCTCATGCTTGAACTGGGCCGGGTACAGGCGGCTCACGCTGTTGCTGCGCGCGAGCATGAGCCCGGCCCGCGTCGGCGTGCCGAGGCGGCCGCCCGTCGTGCGAGGAGGAGGCGCGACGGGCTGCCCGAAGCGCTGCGGCGCTGCGGCGTTGGGTCGAGGCGAAGGTGCGGCCGAGGGAACGAGCGGCGCCGGCTCGTCGGACGGGAGGAGGACGTCACGCAGGGCGTGGATGCTCGCCGTGCGGGCGGCGGTGAGAGTCGGGTCGTCGGTCGAGGCGGGCGCCTGCGCCGAGTTGGCCGACGCGCTGATGCGCTCGCGCAGGAGGCGCAGCCACTGGTGGCGGCTCCCAGCGGACGCGCACGAGAACATGTACTTGCGCTTGACGTCGAGGTGGTTGGTGAACGAGACTTGGAACGTGTGCTGCATGAAGCCGCGCTCGACCGAGAAGGCCTTGTTGAGCGGCAGGCCCTGGTACCGGGGAGCGTGGCGCCGCGCTTGATGAGGAGCATGACGCGCACGCCGAGCGCCGTGCCCGTCACGCGGAACGACTGGCTCTTGCTCCGGGCGAACGACAGGACGGGCGGGTCGAACTGGAGGTCCGTGCCGTGCAGCTTGATGGTGAAGCGCGGGTCGGGCTCGGGGATCGAGATGGTGAAGACCTCGCTCGGCGTGCGGTACGTGAGCCGCGTTGGCAGCTTGCCGGGCACCATGGTCGCCTCGATGTCGGGCGTCATGCTAAAGATCGAGTTGTCCGACGCGTGCTCGATGCGCTCGCGCCGAACCGACGTGTAGACACGCGTGAGGAGGTCCTCGGGCACGACGGCGCGCGTGTCGAACGAGCGGAACTGGGCGATAAAGTCGTCGACGCTGGGTCTGCGGAAGAGAGGAGCGGGTCAGGACCGGGCTCGCGAGCGAAAAAGGGAAGGAGCGAAATTGGGGACGCACGGTGCGGAAGAGGGCGAGTCGGCGAAGAAGCGCCCGTCATCGTGCTCGCCGTCTCGGTCGGCGTGCATCGAGTCGCTGAGGACGAGGAGCTGCCGCACGAGCGCGAGCGTCAAGGACGGGTCGAACCCGGTCGAGCCGTTCGTCTCGGTCCAGCTCTCGGCGAGCACCTCGAGGACGTGCTCGGCCGCCGGCCTCGCGTGCGGCAGGCGCACGCTCATGAGGAACAGGCGCACGGCGTCGTCGATGCGGACGCCGGCGAACCGGAAGCGCTCGACGAAGGCGCGCAGGACGCTGCCGTGCTTCGGGTTGGCGAGGTAGGCGCCGAGCTGGTTGCGGTTCAGGTCCGTGTTGCGGAACAGGAGGTTGGCGATCGTCGGGCCGTCGTTGCTCAGGCCGCCTTTCTGGACGAGAGCGGCGATGGCGCGCGCCGGGTCGTTGGCGAACCGGTCGACGAACGCGACGAGGAGCGGGTGGCGCTTCTTGGGCCCGCCGCTGCTGTTCGGCGACGCCTCGTCGGCAGGCTCCTCGACAGCCGACAGCTTGACGTCGCGGCACTCGACGATCGACTTGACGACAAAGTGGCTGTCGAGCGTCGGCGGGAGCGGCTCGCCCGTCAAGGGGTGGTCCTCGATGATGGGCTTGGCGATGACGAGCACGTCGGTGAACAGGAACAGGTGCCGGTCCTTGACCGTGTTGGCGTTGACGACCTGGAGGACGGGCGCGTGGAGGAGGAGCTTGCGCGGCGGCGAGTCGAGCGGGCTGGGCCCGTGCCCAGGCAGGGCCTCCTCGGACGCCGCGAGGAGCGAGTCGAGCTTGGCGAGGATGCGGCTCGACGGGTGCATCGACGCAGGGAGCGCAGGGACGCGTGGCGCCGAGGGAAAGATGTCGCTCCCGCTGCCGTCCATGGCGCTCAGGGCGCGGCGCATCGACAAGGGCGAGTGGTAGCTGCTCGCGGCGGCGGACGACGCCAACGAGTCGCCCGACTCGGTCGACGCCGACTTGACCATCGTCTGCGCGCTCGGCGCCGGCGGCGTCGCCTGCCGGGTCGACGAGGCGGACGACGTCGGCTGCTGAGGGAAGACGAGGGCCGACATCGGGTCGGGGATGACCGACGTCGGCGAGATCGGGTCGGGCATCAAGGGCGAGGCCGACAGGTGCGTCGACGAGGTGAACGGCTGATAGTTGGACAGCGAGAGGGCGAACTCGCGGCCGCGGCGACTGGGCTTGGACGCGAGCTGCTGGAAGAGCCTGCGGGTGCATCTGGGGTCAGAAAGGGCAGGACTCGGGTTTGAGCACGAGAGAGGAGAGAGGACGGACCGTTGAGGGTCTTGTGGCGCGCCGCCGTCGAGGTTGCCAGCCGCCGCCTTGGTCAAGTCCTGCGACTCGCGCGGGCTCTGCGGGAGGACGAGCAAGGTCAGGTCTGGATGGCGGACGGCGGTCCTCGAGCTCGAGGAAGAGAGAGAGAGAGACGCACTGCGACAGGGCTCGGGAACTGGTAGTCCTTGTCGGGCGGCGGGAACCCTTTGCCCTTGACGCCGCCGCCGTTCTTGCCCGGGCTCTCGGCCCGGCCTCCTGCCGGCGCCGCCGTCGATGCCGCGCCGTGCAGGGGCACGGGTGGCGGCATGCCCTCGACGCCGAGCCCGACGACGCCCGCCGCCGACATGGCGCTCTCGCCTCGCTCGCCCGGTCCCGCTCGCGCCCCTCCCGCGCCCGACACGCTCCTCGTCGCCGAGCCCGTCGAGCCCGCCGGGCCCGCACGCGCAATGCCGGCGCCGAGCATGGGCACGCCCGGGAGCGGCACGGCGTCGCTGCCCCGCCACCGGTCGGCCATGGCGCCCGCGAGCGAGCTGCTCGCGCTGCTGCCGCGCTTGCGCGCCTCGCGCGCCCACTCGTCGTCGCCCGACAGGTCCGAGTCGGGCGGGTACTCGACGGCGGGGATGCCGAACGTCGGCCGGGGCGCGAGGTGGCGCCGGGGACCTGGTGCGGCGGGAGAGCGGTCGAGGGACGAGGAAAAGGGGTGGCCCGAGGCGGACGAGAGCGAGCCGGACGACGAGCTCGAGTCGGCGGTCGAGACTGACGTAGTGGACGAGGTGGACGGGGCGCGGTGCGACACGGGCGCAAGCGAGGAAGGGTCGTCGCCTGGCGCCGGGAGGGACGGCAGGCGCGGCGTGCGCTCCTCGAGCGCCGAGCCCTCGAAGCGCGACCGCTCGTGCTCTACGCGCGGCGTGTCCTGTATGTTCTCGTCGCCGTCGAGGAGGCGCGGCGTC